TCTTTCTCTTCTATTCTGCTATCTCCAGGCACTGCCACGTCCACTATCCAGACTTTTTTGTCTTTCTTATCGACAATTGTTAAGTCTGGGGTGTTATGTTGCAGGTGCTTGTCTGTTTGAATTCTGAAGTCCCAGAGCAGTTTAATTTTATCATTTTCTATGACTTTCTCTATTTTATGATCCCACCAGTTTTTGCTTACAGGCAAATGATATTTTTTGCAGATCTTCCAATGCACCATTGTTGCTACTTTGTCATGCCGCTGCTTGTAATCAGTTTGTGCAATCTTCTTGCAACAGCTTACCAAGTGGTCCACTGTTTCTTCAGCTTCTTTGCATAGGCGGCACTTACTGTCTGTTGCTGTCTTCTCAATTTTGACTTTGTATGCATTTGTCCTTAAGGCTTGGTCTTGTGCAGCCAGAATTAGTCCCTCGGTCTCTTTCTTCAATTTTCCTGCTCTTAGCCATTGCCAGGTTTTATTATTATCTGCTTTCCCAGCTATTTTTTTCATGTATTGGCCATGTAGTGCTTTGTCTTCCCATGCCTCTATTCTGTTCTTCATTTGGTCTTTCTTGTAGGCCAGTTTGGTCTCTCCAGTAGTTAGTAAGCCTTCCTGATATACTAATTTCAGTGCATCTTCATCATTGTTCTTCAGATATTCTTCCAAAGCCATTTTTTCTTCTTCAACCATCTGATGTACTTGTAGCATTCCACGCCCACCTATTTGCCTTGGTAGATAAAGTCTATCAATGTCACTGCGTGGATGAAGGGCATGATTCATTGTCATTATTTTTCTGGTCTGCCTATCCATTGCTTTTAGTTCTGCTTGAGTCCAGTCCACTATTCCAGCTGTGTACCTAATGACTGGGATTGCCCAGGTGTTGATTGCCTTTATGGTATTTCCTCCATTGAGTTTGGACTTTAAGATCTTCTTCACTCTCTTGATGTATTCACCTCTAATCTTTTTCTTGACTTCAGTGTGCTTGATGTTGTCAGCTTGAAGGATACCCAAGTATTTGTAGTACTCTTCCTCATCCAGACTCTTAATGTTATTTTCGTGGGGCATCTTGATTCCTTCAGTTTTCACTATTTTTCTTTGTTTGTATTATTATTATTATTGATCATCGCACAGTCAGCCAGATGTTCAGACTTGATTTGGCATTTTGTCTACCTATCGAGTCCTTACCCAGGACCTGGGATAGGCAGATGTGGATGTTTGATGGTATTACAGGTATCGTCGCAGAATGGAAGCAGTTCCTAATAAGGCCGCCTTTTGCAATTGACTAATAGCGAATTTGTCAATGCCAATGGTGTTCAAGTGGTGCTCCAGTTGTTTTGGGATTGCACCCAAGGAGCCTATGACTATTGGTACTACCCTTGCTTGCTTTTGCCACAGTCTTTCTATTTCTATTTGTAGGTCTTTGTATTTTGTTATCTTCTCCAGTTCTTTCTCTTCTATTCTGCTATCTCCAGGCACTGCCACGTCCACTATCCAGACTTTTTTGTCTTTCTTATCGACAATTGTTAAGTCTGGGGTGTTATGTTGCAGGTGCTTGTCTGTTTGAATTCTGAAGTCCCAGAGCAGTTTAATTTTATCATTTTCTATGACTTTCTCTATTTTATGATCCCACCAGTTTTTGCTTACAGGCAAATGATATTTTTTGCAGATCTTCCAATGCACCATTGTTGCTACTTTGTCATGCCGCTGCTTGTAATCAGTCTGTGCAATCTTCTTGCAACAGCTTACCAAGTGGTCCACTGTTTCTTCAGCTTCTTTGCATAGGCGGCACTTACTGTCTGTTGCTGTCTTCTCAATTTTGACTTTGTATGCATTTGTCCTTAAGGCTTGGTCTTGTGCAGCCAGAATTAGTCCCTCGGTCTCTTTCTTCAATTTTCCTGCTCTTAGCCATTGCCAGGTTTTATTATTATCTGCTTTCCCAGCTATTTTTTTCATGTATTGGCCATGTAGTGCTTTGTCTTCCCATGCCTCTATTCTGTTCTTCATTTGGTCTTTCTTGTAGGCCAGTTTGGTCTCTCCAGTAGTCAGTAAGCCTTCCTGATATACTAATTTCAGTGCATCTTCATCATTGTTCTTCAGATATTCTTCCAAAACCATTTTTTCTTCTTCAACCATCTGATGTACTTGTAGCATTCCACGCCCACCTATTTGCCTTGGTAGATAAAGTCTATCAATGTCACTGCGTGGATGAAGGGCATGATTCATTGTCATTATTTTTCTGGTCTGCCTATCCATTGCTTTTAGTTCTGCTTGAGTCCAGTCCACTATTCCAGCTGTGTACCTAATGACTGGGATTGCCCAGGTGTTGATTGCCTTTATGGTATTTCCTCCATTGAGTTTGGACTTTAAGATCTTCTTCACTCTCTTGATGTATTCACTTCTAATCTTTTTCTTGACTTCAGTGTGCTTGATGTTGTCAGCTTGAAGGATACCCAAGTATTTGTAGTAATCTTCCTCATCCAGACTCTTAATGTTATTTTCGTGGGGCATCTTGATTCCTTCAGTTTTCACTATTTTTCCTTGTTTGATAGTAAGTGTGGCACATTTGTCCAAGCCAAACTCCATTACAATATCTTGGCTATATATACGGACAGTGTTGAGCAGCGATTCTATTTCAGATGATGTTTTTCCATACAGCTTCAGATCATCCATATAAAGGAGGTGGGATAGTCTGGCAGATGTTTTTGATGTTTGATAGCCATGTCCTGAGTTATTCAGTATTGTTGACAGAGGAAACAGTGCAATAACAAATAGTAATGGTGATAATGAATCTCCTTGAAATATTCCTCTCTTGATATTAACCTCTCCCAGCTTCTCACCATTGATCTGCAACTGTGTCTTCCATTGTGCCATCGATCTTTGCACAAATTTTCTGATGTTTCTACTGACTCCTGTTATTTCTAGGCACTTTATTATCCAATCATGTGGCAGAGAGTCAAATGCCTTTTTGTAGTCAATCCATGCCACATTCAGGTTGGTCTTCCTTCTCTTGCAGTTTTCCAAGATCATTTTGTCTATTAGGAGTTGATCTTTTGTTCCTCTGCTATTGGGGCGGTTTCCTTTCTGCTCAGGTGGAAAGAGATTGTTTTCAACTAGATGCTGTTGTACTGCATCAGCTATCACACCAGTTAGTAATTTGAAAGTTGTTGGTAAGCAGGTAATTGGCCTGTAGTTACCTGGTGTTGCCCCTTTTGCTGGGTTTTTCATTATTAGGTAGGTTTTCCCAGTTGTTAGCCACTTTTCAATTTCTCCTCCTTGTAGTATATTGTTGAACTGCTTGGCAATTATTATTATTATTATTATTATTATTATTATTATTATTATTATTATTATTATTCTCCTATCTATCTATCTATCTATCTATCTATCTATCTATCTATCTATCTATCTATCTATCTATCCTCTTTCCATCCTTCAGCTGGCTTTGGCTGGCTGGGCAATTCTGGGGGTTGAAGTCCACCCGTCTTCCAATTGCCAAGGCTGGAAGTAATCTCAGATTAGCTGTCCCTTAAATAAGATGCAACGTGCAGAACAATTCTTTTAACTTCCTATTTATAACCTATTTCCACCTCCTGTAATTGTAGCAAAATAAAGTGGAATTTTTCCACAAAGGCTCTTGAGCTGAATTTCAGATAGTCCTTGAGTTACAACTCAACTGGAGCCTGCCCATCATGGTAAAAAGTCATGACGATTGTAAATCAGTTCATCCACATGACCGACCTGATTTTATGATCTTTTCTGCAATGGTCACTAAGTGGATCACAGAAAAACATGATCATGTGATCATGGACTGCTGCAAATGACCAGAAATGTCCAGATGGGACCAAAGTGGTTGTTAAGTAAGTCACACCCGATTTTACAACCTCTTTTGTCATGGATTTTAAACAAATCACTGCAGCTGTTAGATGTATCTTGCAATCATTAAGCGAGTGTGACTTCACTCCCCCCCCCCGACTTCGCTTGTCGGAAAGTTGCAAATGGTGGATCATATGACCCTGGGATGCTGCCACCGTCATAAATAGAGGCCAATCACCAAGCACCGAAATTATGATCATGTCACTGTGGGGACACTGGGATGCTCCTAAGCATGAGGACCAGTTGTAAGTCACTTTTTTCAGTGACGCTATAACTTTGAATGGTCACTTAATGAATGGTTGTATGTTGAGGACATACAACCAAGATGGGGAAAGAACGACTCCAGATCCCAGTTGCAGAGATAAAATGGATCTTGGTATTCTACTTGATCCTAATATTCAAGTTCAGGGCTCCCCAATCAGTGAGTCACAGCTAACTACTGGGCCACAGCCTATTGGCCTCTGGGCCACGTGAGTGGTTGTCCAGTGCTCGCATGTGTGTGACTCACTGCAAGCATTGCGGGCGTTTGCAGCCCCACTTGTACAACCATTGCCACAAGGGTCACGTGTTAGCGTGAGCATCACCGAGAGCGTCATGGGCATTCGCGGCTCCACACATGAACATGAGCATCATTGCGAGTGTCATGGGCACTCGCAATCCCACTTGTGCGAGCACTCACAGCCCTACTCATGCGAACAACAGATGTCTGTGCGTGTGCATGCATTCACTACCACACACAAAACCATCCCTTCTTTCCCCCCTCCCCCCACTCTGGGCCCCCAACCTTGAAAGATTGGGGAACTCTGTTCTACTTGATCATAATGTTCTACTGATGTTCTACTTGATCATAATGTTCTACTGATGTTCTACTTGATCATAATGTTCTACTGATGTTCTACTTGATCATAATGTTTTACAGGTTATCCTCGACTTATAAAGATGTGTTTAGTGACCATGGGAATATAGTGGCTGATAAGTGAAAGGACCGCTCATAAATCCATGCTGTTGTAATTTCAAACGCTCACTCAATGAACGGTCATAAGTCAAGGACAACTCTTCATCAGAGTGTCCACAAAATTCATTTTCTTGCTTTGCTCCTCATGCTTGTTGTTCTTCTCCTTCTTGTAGGCTATCAAGATGGATTACAGTTCTTACAGCGGCGTGCCGAGGTTCTTGACCAGGCCCAAAGCCTTTGTGGTCTCTATGGGCAAAGATGCCACCTTGAGCTGCCAGATCATTGGCAACCCCATCCCGTTGGTCAGTTGGGAGAAGGACAAACTCCCCCTCCAGATGGGAGGACGCTTCAAGATGGTGGAAGATGACGACCTTTATCGTCTCACGATCTACAACTTGAGCTTGGAGGACAGTGGTCAGTACATCTGCCGAGCCAAGAACACGATTGGGGAAGCCTTCGCTGCTGTCAGCATAAAAGTCGGTGAGCAGACCACTGTGACGGAATCGGCCCCGTACTTCATCCAGAAGCCCACATCCATCCGAGTGATCATGGGTGAAGATGCAATGTTCAAGTGCATCGTCCAAGGTAGTCCTCCCCTCGCCATCAACTGGGAGAAGGATGGGAAACACCTCGGCAAATCGTACGATTCCAACCGGATTCGGATCGAATCCCAGGGCGAGAAGAACGCTCTGAAGATCCAAAGTACTCGTTTGGGAGACAGCGGGACCTACACTTGCCATGCAGAGAATCCTTTAGGATCCTCCAGCGCAGCTGCAGCATTGATGGTGGATCTTCCAGATTCGTACAGCCCAGGCAGCACGAGACACAGCATAGATGATATCGGTAGCAAGACTTCTCCATTGTTGTCCCACATGCAGAAAAGACGAGAAGAAATCCGGAAGAGTGATTTGTCCAGTGTAGACTCCTTGATATCCACCGAAGGACGGTCCAAACTCGGATTGAGCTTGTCCTTGGATTACGAACGGGCTGCTAGCTTGACCTCCAAGGGATTCCGTGGCGATGGAGGCTCATATTATCGGGTCACTACCCGGAGTTTCACTGTCACTGAGGGCAAGCATGCCAAAATGAGTTGCTATGTGACCGGAGAACCCAAACCGGAGACAGTTTGGAAGAAGGATGGTGAGGTGATCCTTGAGAGCCGGAGACATATCATTTATGAGGATGAGCAGGAGAATTTTGTCTTGAAGATCCTCTTTTGCAAGCAGGTCGATAATGGCCTCTATACCTGCACGGCTTCAAACTTGGCAGGACAGACCTACAGTTCTGTGTTGGTGACCGTCAAAGGTGAGTAGCCATAGTTCCTCCATTGTGTCACACAATGGGCTCAAGACCAGATGATTTGGCGGGACAGACCTACAGTTCTGTGTTGGTAATCATCAAAGGTTAGTAGCCTCTGTTGTGTAGCACAATGGGTTCAATACTATATAATTTGGTGGAACAGACCTACAGTTCTATATTGGCAATCAGCAAAGGTGAATAGCCATAGAACCTCCATTGTGTAGCAAATGGTCTCAAGACCACACAATTTGATGGGGCAGACGTATGGTTCTGTGTTGGCAATTGTCAAAGGTGAGTAATTGTAGCTCCTCCATTGTGTAGCACAATGGTCTCAAGACCAGACAATTTGGCAGGATAGATGTACAGTTCTGTGTTGGTAATCATCAAAGGTGAGTAGCCGTAGAACCTGTGTTATGTAGCACAATGAGTTCAACACTATACAATTTGGTGGAACAGACCTACAGTTCTGTATTGGTAATCATCAAAGGTGAGTAGCCATAGATCCTCCATTGTATAGCAAATGGTCTCAAGACCACACAATTTGGTGGGACAGACGTATGGTTCTGTGTTGGTAATTGTCAAAGGTGAGAAGTTGTAGCTCCTCCATTGTGTAGCACAATGGTCTCAAGACCAGACAATTTAGCAGGATAGACCTACAGTTCTGTGTTGGTAATCGTCAAAGGTGAGTAGCCGTAGATCCTCTGTTAGGTAGCACAATGGGTTCAATACTATACAATTTAACGGAACAGACCTACAGTTCTGTATTGGTAATCATCAAAGGTGAGTAGTCATAGATCCTCCATTGTGTAGCAAATGGTCTTAAGACCACACAATTTGGTGGGACAGATATATAGTTCTGTGTTGGTAATCGTCAAAGGTGAGTAGCCATAGATCCTCCATTGTGTAGCAGAATCAATATCACACAATTTGACAGGACAGACCTACAGTTGGTAATCATCAAAGGTGAGTAGCCGTAGATCCTCTGTTGTGTAGCACAATGGGTTCAATGCCACACAATTTGGTTGGACAGACCTACAGTTCTGTGTTGGCAATCATCAAAGGTGAGTAGCCATAGATCCTGCATTGTGTAGAAAATGGTCTCAAGACCACACAGTTTGGTGGGACAGACATACAATTCTGTGTTGGTAATAGTCAAAGGTGAGTAGCCATAGATCCTCCATTGTGTAGCACAATCAATACCACACAATTTGACAGGACAGACCTACAGTTCTGTGTTGGTAATCATCAAAGGTGAGTAGCCGTAGATCCTCTGCTGTGTAGCACAATGGGTTCAACGCCACACAATTTGGTGAGATAGACCTACAGTTCTGTGTTGGTGATCATCAAAGCTATAGCTCCACCTGTCTTCAAGTTACCAAGGTAGAGAAACACTGGAAGAGAAGGTGTTAGGAAATAACCTTAGATGAGCAATCCATTCAACAAAAGCAGGACACAGAACAATTCTCTTAACTTCCTATTTACATCATATAGGTAGTCCTTGATGTATGACCACAATTGAGCCCAAAATTTCTGTTGCTAAATCAAACATTTGTTACATGAATTTTGCCCCATTTTATGACCTTTCTTGCCACAGTTCTTAAGTGAATTCCTGCAGTTGTTAAGTTAGTAACATGGTTGTTAAGTGAATCTGACTCCTCCATTGACTTTGCTTGTCAGAAGGTCACAAAAGGGGATTGCATGACCTTGGGACACCGTAACTATTGTTCGAAGAAATGTCTTCATCCTGGTTCAGTCCAAGCCGGGGATGAACAACACGGCGACTGCTTTAGAAAGAAAGTTGCTGGAGAGCCAGACAGAAAGATGGCTCTGGCACTGTCATAAATATGAGCCAGTTGCCAAACAGTCAAATTCTGATCATGTGACCATGATCATGGGAAAAAAGCGATGGTTGTCAGAGTGGAAAAATGGCCAGGAATCACTTTTTTCAGTGCCATTGTAACTTTGGATGGTCACTAAACAAATGATTGTAAGTTGAGGACTATCTGTAATAGTTTTTTTTTGTTTTTTGTTTTTTAAAAAGAACATTTAGCTTCACAACTAAAAGAAGACTGTTAAATGTATTTTTAAACTAGAAGAAATCTAATCCCAGGCATATCTCCTGCAGAAGTAGGTGCCAAGGAAGTAAACATGTATCTTGGCTAGTTTTACAAGGAGATTATATTAGCAAGATGCAGATATTCAATTTTTACATTCCATTGAACGGTGATTTGATCCAGTGTAAAATGGATTCCTTGATCTCAAATCCATAATTCAGTAACATTTGCTGAATCAAGACCCTTAAAGAGATCAATGTTTCAGCTAAGGACAAGGCAGTCCTCGACTTACAAGCAATCACTTATAATAGATCCTGGGAGCCACATTTGAACCCAGCTTCAAAGTTCTGATGTCCACCCTCCTGGTCACGTGGCTGCATTTTGGGCGCTTGGCAACCAGCCTGCTTTATGACCATTTTCAGCAGCCCATGGTCACATGATTGCAATTCATGATGTTTTTGCTGGAAATCAGCATTTATGTCTATTTTAGAGCAAAAAGACACCCCCTAGTGGACTGGCTTTACTTTATGAGCGCAGAATTCACTTAACGACAATGGCATTCTCTTGATAGTTGGCGGGTTGACTTAATGACTACCCTAAATAGGTTGTAAAATTGGTGTCAAATGGTGGTCCATTTAAATTTCATGACTTATGACTGTAAGTGCTTATGGTTGTAAGTCAAGGGTTACCTATAAGTTGTAGTGTTGTTAGAAAAATAAGCTATAAGAAGGGATGGTGGCTAATGCCCAGAGCTTTGAAAGAGATTGAATTAATTCACAGAAGACAGGACTACAGGTAGTCCTTGATTTACGATCCCAATTGAACCCGAAACTTCTCTTGCTAAGTGAGATAGTTGTTGCCTCCAGCAAGAAAATGGGGCAAAAGCTCACTTAACAACTATCTTGCTTAGCAATGGAAAATTTGAGCTCAGTTGTGGTCGTAAGTTGAGAACTACCTGTACGGATGTTCAACTTGATCATAATGTTCTACTGAGGTTCTACTTGATCATAATGTTCTACTGAGGTTCTACTTGATAATGTTCCATTGATGTTCCACTTGATCATAATGTTCTACTGATGTTCTACTTGATCATAATGTTCCATTGAAGTTCCACTTGATCGTAACTTTCTACTGATGTTCTTCTTGATCACAATGTACTACTATTGTTCTACTTGATCACAATGTTCCATTGAAGTTCCACTTGATCGTAATTTTCTAATGATGTTCCGTCTTGATCTTTATGTTCTACTATTGTTCTACTTGATCACAATGTTCTATTTATGTTGCACTTGATCGTAATTTTCTATTGATGTTCCCCTTGATCATAATGTTCTACTGATGTTCTGCTTGATCATAATGTTCTATTGATTTTCTACTTGATCGTAATTTTCTACTGATGTTGCACTTGTTCTGATGTTCTACTTGAACATGTTCTATCGATGTTAAACTTAATCCTAATTTTCTAATGATGTTCCACTTGATCATAATGTTCTAATGGATGTTCTACTTGGTCATAATGTTCTATTGATGTTCCACTTGATCCTGATTTTCTACTGATGTTTCACTTGGCCGTGTTCTACTGGATCTTAATGTTCTACTGATGTTCCAGATCATAATGCTCTACTGATGTTCTGCTGAATCATAATATTGTACTGATGTTCTACTGGACTTAATGTTCTAGTAATACTTTTAAATGTAGAATAGAATAGAGCTGGAAGAGACCTTGGAGGTCTTCTAGTCCAGCCCCCTGCTCAAGTGTATTCTAAATCATAATGTTCTACTGATGTTAGAATTAGGGTTAGAGTTCTTAACGTGATCTTAACGTCATTTAGAGCTGTTTGATGGTTCTTCAGTCTTGTGTCTTTCCAAAGTTCGTTTCTTCATCTGGTTCTTCCCCAGAACCGAAAATACCTTTCAAGACAAAACTCCAAGACTTGGAAGTTCGGGAAAAAGAATCCGCGATCTTCTTGTGTGAAGTGCCCCGTTCTGATGTGGAGACCACTTGGTTCAAAGAGGAAACCAGACTTCAACAGAATGACAAGTACAAGATCGAAGAAGATGGGACATGTCGTAAGCTCACGGTCCAAAACGTCACCATGGACGACGATGCTGTCTACATTTGCGAGATGAAGGAAGGCAGCAGGACCATTGCTGAATTGAGCGTTCAAGGTAAGTGAAGTCCATTTGATCTTTCTCGATAGAACTTCCTTCTACAGGCAGTTCTCGACTTATGACCAGTGGCTTAGTTATAAACTGCCTGAAATAGGAGATTTACAACATGGATCCGATATTCCAACAGTCCCCTGCAGTCACATGACTACATTTTGGATCCTTGGCAACCCACATGCATTAACAGCCATTTGCAATGCCCCACAATCATGTGAACATGTTTTGTGATGGTTTTGCTGAAAACTGGCAATTATTTCCAGTTTTGGGGAAAACTTCGCGGCAGTGCACAATGGGTTCGCTTAATGAACACAGCATTTGTTTAATAACACTGTTCACACTTACAACTGCCACGTTCATTTAATGACTGCTGGCCTAGCCCAGTGGTGGTGAACCTGTGGGACGTGTGCCAGAGGCGGCACTCAGAGCCCTCTCTGTGGGCACGTGCGCCATGCCCTAGAGATGGCAACGGTCCCTCTTCAACCAGCCGCCCGCTAACTCACTAAGGTCCCACATGGCTGGATGCATCCCAGCATGGCTGGTTTCCCTCCCCCACGTCCCATCCCTCCTGGCCTCGCATGCTTTTCTTTTCTCTAGGCACGACCCACTGCATTGCCTCCTCAGCTGTCGGCCGACCATCCAGCTCAGAGGCGGCTTCTCTGAATTGCTGGTGGCAGGCTGTGGAGTCCCAGAGTGTGCCAGTTGAGGGGCTGGCAGGCTGTGGCTGCTGATGGACACTGTCGGACCCTATGTGCTCGCTGGCCTCTGTGTGGGGGGGCTGATGGTATCAGGCAGCGGCTGTCCTGGCCCCTGTCTCACCTTGCCCTGCGACAATGGCACCCCTGCCCTGCCTCGCCTCACCCCGCAGGATAAGCCTCCTGCCCATCGTCCCACCTCCAGAGACCCCCTGGATCTTCCCCAACCCTGCCTGGCCCCCGCAGATGTCCCTCCCCATGAGCAACATCAAGGCTTAGACTCAACCCTGACAAGACCGAGTGGCTCTGGGTCTTGCCTCCCAAAGGTCAACTGGATGGTCCTTCATTAGTCCTGGGGGGGGGGCAAATTTACCTCCCTCAGTGCAGGCACGCAACTTGGGTGTCCTCCTGGACTCACAGCTAAATCTGGAACAACATCTATCGGCTGTGGCCAGGGGGACCTTTTCCCAGGTTCGCCTGGTGCACCAGTTGCGGCCTTATTTGGACCGGGAGGCTTTACTCACGGTCACTCATGCCCTCGTCACCTCAAGACTGGATTACTGTAACGCGCTCTATATGGGGCTACCCTTGAAGAGCGTTTGGAGGCTGCAGTTGGTTCAGAATGCAGCCGCGAGGGCGATTGCGGGCGCGCCAAGGTAAGCCCACGTGTCACCTATCCTCCGCGAGCTGCACTGGCTTCCTGTGGGTCTCCGGACACAATTCAAGGTGTTGGTTATCACCTTTAAAGCCCTGCATGGCATAGGGCCAGGTTACTTACAGGACCGCATTCTGCCGCACAGTTCCCAGAGACCGGTGAGGTCCCATAGATTGGGCCTCCCCCAGGTCCCGTCGGCCAGACAATGTCGGCTGGCGGGCCCTCGGGGAAGGGCCTTTTCTGTGGTGGCTCCGACCTGGTGGAATCAACTTCCCCCCGAGGTTCGAACTACTCCCACCCTGCCGGCCTTTAAGAAAGCCATTAAAACTCTCCTGTTCTGGCAGGCCTGGGGCTGATGTCCCTGGGGGGGGCGGGATATGATCGGACTCGCGGTATGACTGTATTATTTTATTGTTTTATGATTGTTTTAATCTCTGTACGCCGCCCTGAGTCCTTTGGGATTGGGCGGCATATAAATAAATAAAAACAAATAAATAAATAAATAAGGTGACCATGCCCACCTTGGCTACACCCGCCCAGTTTGCCATGACCACCACAGCATGCTGACCCAGTGGGCCACGCCCCCTGGCACCCGGCAATACATAAGTGGGTTTTGGGTTGCAGTTTGGACACTCGGTCTCTAAAAGGTTTGCCACCATTGGCCTAGCCATTTTAGGAACAACTAATGAGTGTAATGGGCAGGCTCCATTTACAGTCATTCATTTAAGGTCTGCCTGTAATGCAGTCCTTTGTATTATTTCAGACTTGTGCAAGAATGTACATTGGTGCCCATATGGGCTCCACTTGTTTTTTAATGCACATTGCACACCTGAAAAAAAGGAGAGATAGTTGCAACTGAACCATCATGGCTGCTATCTTAATTCTTTGGCTGGAGTGAGGCGATGATGCCAGAATAGATATTTATTACAGATAGTCCTCAATTTACAACCATTTGTTTAGTGACTGAAGTTACAATGGTACTGAAGAAAGTGACATGACCATTTTTCACACTTACAACCGTTGGAACATCTCCAGGGTTACGTGATCAAAATTCAGACACTTGACAAGCAGTGGGGAAGCCAGATTCACTTAACGACCGCATTACTAATTTAATAACGGCAGAGATTTACTTAGCAACTGCGGCAAGAAAGGTCATCAAATGGGGCAAAACTTCCTTAACAGCTGTGCTGCTTAGCAGTGGAAATTTTGAACTTGAGGACTACCTGTGTTATTATTTACTGAATTTATTTGCCGCCCAATTTGCCATAAGAATTGGGTGACAAATAAATTGAATTGGGAAATTGTCCAGTAACAGATTTATTTAATAAGTCCAGAGTGGACCAACATATAATATAGGAATTATTTGTCCAAATTTACAAGCCACTATTACCACAGCTGAGAATCCTGAGAGTTGGCCTTCACATGTACAAAGAGAAAAATCAATACACAGGTCCTCGCACTTATGACCATTGCAGCATCCCTAGGATCACATGATCAAAATTTGGACACTTGACAACCGGCATGTATTTATGACAATTGCAGCATCCTGGGTCACGTGATCTCCATTTATGACCTTCCCCACCAGCTTCTCAAAAGCAAAAGGGGAAGCCAGATTCGCTTAACGACTGTTAGGTGTTAACCATGGTTAATTACAGGAATTCACTTAACAACCGTGGTGAAAAAGATGGCAAAACCAGTCATGGCTTGTTTTACAACCCCCTTGCTTAGCAATAGAAATTCTGCTCCCAATGGTAATCGTAAGTCGAAGACTACCTCTTAATACCTGTTTAATGAATAAAATCATTAAAGGCAATTCATCTCTGGCGTACTAACAATTTTTAGACAGAGATCAGGCTTCCTTGGTTGATAATTCCAGGGATGAAATGCAAGACCCCTGATGCAAACCACAAGTTATCTAAGAGGGTCATCCATGCTTGTTCAAATCAAAGATCGAAGGAGGTCATTGGATTTCTGTAACCTGAGTTCGGATCACGCTGCTTGCCAAGCATTTGAAGGAATTGCAGACGTATAACTTATATCAATATCTTTGACCTCTACAGCCCATAGAGGTAGTCCTTGGCTTACTGCAGTTCATTTAGTGACCATTTGAAGTTACAACACTACAGAAAAAGTGACTTATGTTATGACCATTTTTCACACTTATGACCATTGCAGCATCCTTATGGCCATGTGATTTACATTCGGATGCTTGACAACTGATTCCTATTTATGACAGATGTGGTGTTCCAGGGTCATGTGATGCCCCTGCTGACCAGCAAAAGTTAATGGGGAAGCTGGATTCACTTAACAACTGTATGACTAACTTAACAACTGCAGGGATTCACTTAACAACTGCGGCAAGAAAAGCTGTAAAATGGGAGCAAGAGTCACTAAACAAATTTCTCACATAGCAACTTAATTTCAGTTATGGTCGTAAGTCGAGGACTGCCTGGACACATCAATCCACTTTACAAGCCAGGGTTAGGAAGGAAACTTAGTTTGCCCTTGACCAACCCATCTCTACATTTCTTGCTGCGTTGATTGACTGAAGAAGGCTGGCTCTTCCATGAGGCAATCTGTGCTGTGATTGGTTGCTGTGGGTGTGGAGGGGGAGTTTCCAGTTTTTCCCGCCTTTTTTCTTCTGTAGGCCCTGTATGCTCTGTGATTTACCTCATGGTGCTCCAGTTTGCCTGACTATCTTGTTTGCTGTATATAAAGATGTAAAATATGGTTATTTATATAAAACTATAAGTTTATGTTGGCCTCTGACTCAATTTGGACAACGGCTGAGCAATGCCCTGACAGGCTACATAAATCGATGTGGGATTTTTGAATGTTTAGAACAGGGGTAGGCAACCCAAAACACTCAAAGAGCCACTTGGACCCGTTTCCCACCAAAAACAAAACACTGGGAGCCGCAAAACCCTTTTGATATCTAAAATGAAGATAACACTGCATATATATCCTTTTTTACCTTTATTATAGGTGTGTGTATGTGTATGTGTGTATGTGTGTATGTGTATATGTGTGTGTGTGTGTACACACACACACACACATATACACATTCAAAATAAAAGTAAAAATATGACTCTTGGGAATATCCATACTATTAAAACAATGATCACCAAGAGAATGCTTTAAGAGAATAAAATTACATACACACAAAGGTAAAAAAAGGATATATGCAGTTTATCTTCATTTTAGATGTCAAAAGGGTCTCTCTCTCCCTCCCTCTCTATCTGCCCTTGGTCTGCCACTCCTCTTCCCCCACTCTCTCTCTCTCCCTCTCTCTTTCTCTCTCTCTCTTTCTCCCCCCCCTCCTATCTGCTGCTCACCTGGCAAGCTTCAAGCTGTTGTCCAACAACCTCCAGGGTAGGCAACCTGTCTCTTTTATGACTCATGGACTTCAACTCCCAGAATTCCTGAGTCAGCCTAGCTGGGCTAGCTAGCTCTCTTCTGCCCTTCCTGCTTCCTGCTGAGACGCAGCAAAGGGAGGAGCTCCGCCCAGAAAGCTTTTCAGCTCCTCGGAGAACACTGTGAGTGCACTCTCTTTTACACACACACACACACACACACAAACACACAGAGAGAGAGAGAAAGAGAGAGAAGCAGGGAAGTGCAATTGCCTCTCTCTGCAAAGGCAGAGGAGGCTGGGAGCCACAGGGGAAGGCTCAAAGAGCCGCATGCGGCTCCGGAGCCGCAGGTTGCCGACCTGTGGTTTAGAATATATGTAGGGATAGGTCTTCCTCCTTATCTATTAGTTCATGTATTTCTCTTATCTACTCTTTATCTAATTCTCTTTCTCTCTCTTATATATCTATTCATGTATGTATTTCTCTTCGTCTCTCTCTTCTTATGTATTAGTTCATGAAACTATCATCTATCTAATTATCCATCCATCCATCCATCCATCCACCCACTCACCCATCTTATCTATCTATCTATCTATCTATCTATCTATCTATCTATCTATCTATCTATCTATCTACTTACCTGTCCCTCTCTATCATGTATCTATGTCTATCTGTCTATTCATCCATCCATCCTTTCATCTATCTACCTACCTACCTACCTACCTACCTACCTATCTGTCCCTTTCTATCATATATCTATCATCTGTCTGTCTATTCACCCATCTATCCATCCCATCCTTTCATCCATATCTATCTATCTATCTATCTATCTATCTATCTATCTATCTATCTATCTATCTATCTATCTAAATATCTATCTATCTATCTACCTATCTACCTACCTACCTAACTACCTACCTACCTGTCCCTCTCTATCATGTATCTATCGTCTGTCTATCTATTCATCCATCCATCCTTCCATCCTTTCATCTATCTACCTACCTACCTACCTACCTACCTACCTACCTACCTACCTACCTACCCCTTTCTATCATGTATCTATTGTCTGTCTATCTGTCTATACATCCATCTATCCACCCTTCCACCCTTTCACCTCTCTCTCTCTCTCTCTCCCCTCTATCATATATCTATCTATCTATCTATCTATCTATCTATCTATCTATCTATCTATCTATCTATCTCATGTTCTGTCATCTGTCTGTCTATTCATCCATCTATCCATCCTTCCATCTATCTATCTATCTATCTATCTATCTATCTATCTATCTATCTATCTACCTACCTACCTACCTACCACCTACCTACCTACCTACCTACCTACCTACCTACCTACCTACCTACCTTCCTATCTATCTATCTATCTATCTATCTATCTATCTATCTATCTATCTATCTATCTATCTATCTATCTATCTATCTATCTATCCAATCTTCCTCTCTATCCTTTCACATGTCTATCACTCTGTTTAATTATCTAGCTGTATCTCCCTCCCTCCATATCCATCTATGTCTGTATATACCTCCCTACCTAGACAAGTTCATAGTATTTCTAAGCACGGAGCTTTTAATCTGAGTTGACTGAAGGTAATGGTCATATTTTTATTTATCAACCTAGGCAACATTATCAAGAAACTGCCAAGGAAGACGGCTGTCAGTATAAAAGACACCGCAGTGTTCTGTGTGGAACTGGAACAAAAGTGCGAGAAGTTCCGATGGTTGAAGAATAAGGAAGAGTTAAAACCTAGTGGTCGCATCTCAATCTCCTCAGCAGACAGAGAATATACCATGATCATCCGGGATTGTCAGATAGAAGATGGAGGAGAAATTGTCTTTGTGGCTGATGAATGTAGAACATCTACACAGTTTACTGTCTCTGGTAAGAGTCATTTATCCCCCCCCATGTGTGTGAGGGATTTGTTCCTCCATATTTGTTACTTAAATATTGTAGGCTTCTGTTGAAGATCTTAGATGCTTAGGATCGTGCAAATATAGGTAGTCCTTGACTTAGAACCATAACTGAGTTTTGCTCAAAGATAGAAAGATGGATAGATGATAGAGTGTTTTCCTGAAAGTAAGGCCTACCCTAGCTTGATTTTTTGGGAGTGGCCCTAATATAAGTCCTACCCCAAAAATAAGCCCTAGTTTTGGGACGAGGCACACAAAAATCAAGCTAGGGCAGGGGTAGGGTGTGGAGATGGCCCATGCGCCCCAGGCCCACTTACCTTGCAGCTAGCGCTCTCCTTACAGGCCCAGCTCTTCTGTGGTGTTTTCTGAAGCCAGGCCTGCATTTCTCAGTCACAGGCCTTTCCGCAAGGCCTGTGCATCCAGGAACTGAGCTATGGATTCAATCCATAGGTCGGTTCTGCAAGTCCTCTGCAGCCGAGGACTGAGCTATGGATTCAATCCATAGCTTGGTCCTCGGCTGCATAGGCCTTCCGGAAAGGCCTGACTGCAAAATGCAGGCTGGAATACAGCTGCAGCATGAAGCTGCTCCTTTGGCCCCAGAAGAAGTGGTCTGGCTGGGCAGGGCTGTCGGTGCCAGAGGTGAGTAAGACATCCCCAGAAAATAAGACCTGTTGCCTCTTTCGGAGGAAAAAAAAAAAAATCCGATCTTCTTTTCGGGGAAACATGGTAAGTAGGTGATAGATAGATAGATAGATAGATAGATAGATAGATAGATAGATAGATAGATAGATAGATAGATAGATAGATAAGTAGGTAGGTAGGTAGGTAGGTAGGTAGGTAGGTAGGTAGATAGATAGATAGATAGATAGATAGATAGATAGATAGATAGATAGATAGATAGATAGAGATGAGAGAGAGTTTAGTCCCATGGAAATTCTGGTCATAAGTCAAGGACTATCTGTTTAGAAGAACAACAAAACTTATGATAGTTCCATCAAATCTTGAGGGCCAGAGTTGACCCCTTAAACCAAAAACCTGGTTTAAAAGGTTCCTAGTATCAGGCGGGGTCAGTTATCCAGATCAGTGGCACAGCCAAACCATGAGAGAAACTCAAGGCATCAGCCCTGTAGCGGTGAAGTCATTTGACCCAATTTGATCCCCACTCAGAACATGCTTGAAGATCCCAAGCAGAAGGCGAGCATCAATCAATCAGTTGCCACTGATTTCTTGCATGCAAGAAACATGCCGTCACTTACTATCCACCCTTAAAATAAGACACAATACAATGGTATACAGGAAGTCCTTGACTTATGACCACAATGGAGCTCAAAATTTCTGTTGCTAAGTGGGACAGTTGTTAAGTGAGTTGTTAAGTAAGTAAGTGCCCCATTGTAAGACCACAGTTGTTAAGTGAATCATGGCAGTTGTTAAACTAGTAACATGGTTGTTAAGTGAATCTGGCTTCCTCATTGACTTTTTTTGTCAGAAGGTCACAAAATATGATCATGTGACCCCGGGACACAGCAACTGTCATAAGTATGAGTCAATCGCCAAATGTCTGAATATGACTGCAGAGATGCTGCAATGGTCATAAGTGTCAAAAACAGTTATAAGTTATTTTTTTCAATGCTGCTATAAGTTCAAACAGACACTAAACAAACTGTTGTAAGTTGAGGACCACCTGCGCAATTGAACAACTGCAGCGATTCACTTAACAATCATGTCCAAAAAAGTCATGAAATCGGGTTTGACTCATTTAACAACCACCTTGCTTATCAGTGGAAATTCTGGCCTGCACTGTGGTCATAAGTTGAGGACCACCTGAAACCAGATCAAATTCAGAAATCATAATGCGGACTAGCTTCTGCGTTTGACCCAACTTAATTGCCGTATTGGAAAATGGCTTTGTTGGAAAATCTCTTCAATTTAACCTCTTTAATTCGCAATCTGAAATTGGCAGCCCAACCCCTTGTCTCAGCCATAGCATGTTAAGCTAAGATCTCATATAACAAGGAAAGAATGTGAAGAGCGTACATAGAGAACATAATTGAAGTAGGCATCACTGCACTCTGTTTGCAAAAATAACCTTTTCTCAGAGTCCATACTGTATCATAGCCAGGCACCAAAGGCCAAGACAAGAAGTAACAGATGGAAACTTATCAAGAAACGATCCAACCTAGAACTAAGAAGAAATTTCCTGACAGTGAGAACAATTAACCAGTGGAACAACTTGCCTCCAGAAGTTGTGGGTGCTCCAACACTGGAAGTTTTCAAAAATAAACTGGACAACTATTTCACTGGAATGGAATAAAACTCCTGCCTTAAGCGAGGGGTTGGACTAGAAGATCTCCAAGGTCCCTTCCAGTGCTATGATTCCAAAAACCAAGAGGTGGCTTCAAAAGAGACTGAAATGTAGAAAGCTAAAGGAGAGATCCTCTCTATTGCTCCTTACTTTAGACAGAGCATCTGTTTAGTAGTGCCTCATTTAATGGAATATAGGTAGTCCTCGACTTACAATAGTTCATTTAGTGACACTTCAAAATTACAAGAACACTGAAAAAAGTGACTTATGACCGTTTTTTACCCTTACGACCATTGCAGCATCCCCATGGTCACGTGATCAAACTTCGGCCACTTGGTGATTGACTCATATTTATCATGGTCACAGTGTTCCAAGATTATGTGATGTCCTTTTTGCCATCTTCTGGCAAGCAAAGTCAATGGGAAATCCAGATTCACTTATTCCCACCGTGTGACTAACTTAACTGCAGGGATTCGCTTAACAACTTTGGCAAGAAAGGTCGTCAAATGGAGCAAAGCTTACTTAACAAATGTCTCGCTTAGCGACAGAAATGCTGGGCTCCATTGTGCTCATAAGTCGAGGACTTCCTGTATATCATTGCTCTGCATATTATTTTAAGGATGGGTAGCAAACACGTTTGTTGCATGTAAGAAATTAGTGGCGATTGGATAACCATTTATCTGGTTTCCTGCCTGAACAGGGGATTGGACTAGAAGACCTCAAAGGTCCCTTCCAATTCTGTTATTGTTATTGTTATTGATTGATTGACTGATTGATTGACTGATGCTTTCCTTCTGCTTGGGATCTTCAAGCATGTTCTGGGGATCCAGATGGATCAGATGACTTTACCACTATGGGGCAGATGTCTTGGGTTTTTCTTATGTTTTAAATGAGCCACTGATCTGAATAATTAACCCTGCCTGATCCTTTTAAACCAGGGTTTCCTGAAGGGGTCAATCTTGGACCTCAAGATTTGGTAGAACTATTGTAAAGTTCGTTGTTTTTCTATACAGGTAGTTCTCGACTTACGACCACAAGTGAGACCAGAATTTCCATTGCTAAGAGAGGTGGTTATTAAACCAGTCACACACGATTTTATGACCTTTTTTCCCGTGGTTGTTAATCGAATCACTGTAGGTGGTCATTAAGTGAATCCGGCTTCCCCCATTGACGTTGACAGTCAGAAGCCAGATAGGAAGGTCACCAATGGCGATCACATGACTCTGGGACGCTGCAACCATCATAAATACATGCCAGTTGCCAAGTGCCTGCATTGTGATCATGTGACCATGGGAATTTGTGACGGTCATAAGTGCGAGTCATAGTTGTAACTCACATCCTGCGTTTTGATCATGTGAGTGTGGGGCTCATGTAGAACGAAACAGAATAACAGAGTTGGAAGGGACCTAGAAGATCTTTTAATCCAACCCTCTGCTCAAGCAGGAAACAAATTGTCCAATAGTCATAAAGTGCAACGGTCGTAAGTGTGAGGAACAGCATTTTTCATTGCCGTTGCAATTTTGAAAGGCTACCAAGCCAATTGTTGTAAGTCAAGGACTACCTATGTTGGTAGTACAATCAGTTCAAACAGTATTTTATATTATATAAAAATAAATAGATTTTATATTATAAATGTTTTGAGTGTCGATCAACAATCTGAAACTTTATGAAGGGAGGTATGAGCTGATCTCAGCCTTCCCAGGTGGACTTTGGGGGCAGAGTCAAAAGGGGGATCAGCTTAGAATCCCTATGTAGATGTAAGTGAATTAAATCTATCCTCCCTTGAATTCTGTGCACCATTATATAATTCCTAGCGGGTGCTGTTAGATCAGTGGTTCTCAACCTTTTTAATGCTGCAACCCCCCAACCGGTCGTAAATCGAGGACTACTCAACTGGTGCAGCACCGTTTGCAGAACAGGACTTTTGGCGGGCTCAGCAGGGCAGAGACAGCCTGGACAATTCCTATTGGCGTTTGAAAGCCAATAGAATTGGACTCTATTCAAGAGAGTCTATTCTATTGGCTTTCAAAAGACAATAGAATAAAAGGGAGTAGCACAGCTAAGGAAAAGGGGGAAAAAATGGTGGACTGCATTGTTTGGCGACCCCTGTGAAATGGTCGTTCGACCCCAAATGGGGTCCCCACCCACAGGTTGAGAATCACTGTGTTAGATGAAAAGATTCCTGTACAGAAGGAGTCCTCAATCTATGACCACAATTGAGCCCAAAATTTCTGTTGCTAAATTTGTAAGTGACTCATTTAAGTCCTTTCTTCCAGCAGTTGTTAAGTGAATCACTCCAGTTGCTAACTTAGTAACACAGTTGTAAAGTGAATCTGGTTTCCCCATTGACTTTGTGAGAAGGTCGCAAAAGTTGATCATGTGATCCTGGGACACTGCAACCTTCATAAATTTCAGTCAGTGGCTAAGCATTTGAATTTTGATCACATGACCATGGGGATCCTGCAACAGTTCCAAGTGTGAAAAATAGTCATGTCACTTTTTTCAGTGCTGTTGTAACTTTGAATGGTCACTAAGTGAAAAGTTGTAAGTCAAGGACTATCTGTCCATAGGCATGATTAGAAATCAATCAGTTTAATTGGGCTTTCACATGTGGATCTGATCTTTTGCACCCAACAACAGGAAACACAACTAGATAAAGTAATTCTACTTTACTGTAAGGCTACCTGAAAAAAATCTTGCAAATCTTCAACTACCAGTAGTCCTTGACTTACAACACTTTGTTTAGTGGCCGTTCAAAGTTACAACTGCTCTGAAAAAAGTCACTTATGATCAGTCATCTTTCTTGTGATCATTGTAGCATCCTCGTGTTCACGTGATTAATATTCAGGTGCTTGGTAATTGGGATGTGTTTATGATGGTTGCAGTGTCCCAGGGGTCATACAATCCTGTTTTGCAACCTTCTGGCAAGCAGGAAGCCAGATTCACTTCTCAACCGTGTTGCTAAATTAACTTAACAACTGTGGCAAGAAAGGTTGTAAAATGGGACAAAACTCACTTAACAGTCGTCTCGCTTAGCAATGAAAATTTTGGGCTCAATTGTAGTCTAAGTCGAGGACTGTCTGCACTAACTTCCTGCCGCCCCTTTTAACTGTTTGATCTGTTGGGGTGGATCTTTCCTCAGTTTCTTTCTCTGCCCCCTTAAGCCACCGAGGGCTCCTGCCTCTCTTATCTAATTGTTTCTTAGGCAGCATTTACTTTCCTCTTTCCTCAATGTCTTCCACATGTTCCATTAGAACAGGGGTGTCAACTTGCAACGTCACATGATGTGCGCGATGTGTCGTGACTTTTATTGCCATTGCCAGCAATGGAGTGGGCACGGTTTCACTATAATGCATCCGGCCAGTGGGCCGGCAGTTTGACACCCCTGCATTAGAACTAAAAAGACTGAAAACAACTGTTTGAAAAAGTGATCCAGCTGTTTGTTCTTCTGAGCTCCAGATGGTCTAATTCAGCAGACTTTTTCAATACTCTCTGTGAGCTTTTCAGCACATCTATTGAGAACTGGAGACTCTAGAGCAGTGTTTCTCAACCTTTTTAATGCCGCGACCCCCCAACCGGTTGTAAGTCGAGGACTACTCAACCGATCGTAAGTCGAGGACTACTCAACTGGTGCAGCACCGTTTGCAGAATGGGACTTTTGGTGGGCTCAGCAGGGCAGAGACAGCCTGGACAATTCCTATTGGCTTTTGAAAGTCTATTCTATTTATTTATTTATTTATTTATTTATTTATTTTTATTTTTTTTTTGAGAGTCTATTCTATTGGCTTTCAAAAGCCAATAAAATAAAAGGGAGTAGCATAGCTAAGGAAAAGGGGAAAAAAAATGGCGGACTGCGTTGTTTGGCGACCCCCATGAAATGGTCGTTCGACCCCAAATGGGGTCCCGACCCACAGATTGAGAACCACTGCTCTAGAATATATAGATAGTCCATAACTTATGTCCACAATTGAGCCTAAAATTTCTGTTGTTAAGTCAGACATTGTTCATTGGGTTTTGTCCCATTTTAAGACTTTTCTTGCCACAGTTGTTAAATGAATCACGTACGTTGGTAACACAGTTGTTAAGCAAATCTGGTTTCCCCATTGACTTTGCTTGTCAGAAGGTTGCAAAAGGGGACCACGTGACCCCAGGACACTGCAACCGTCATAAATAGGAGTCAGTTGCCCAGCGTCTGAATTTTGATCACATGATCATAGGGATGTCGCAATGGTCATAAGTGTGAAAAACGGTCATAACTCATTTTTTTCAGTGCTGTTGTAACTTTCAACGGTCACTAAACAAACTGTTGTAAGTTGAGGACTACCTGTACTGATAGAAGAGAATCTCTGTAGCTCTGGGTGGGGGGTCCTTGGTGCTCTCAGAGCTTGATGGAAGACATGTCATGATCCAATTAGGTAACTGTCAACGCTGCTAATATTGACTATTCTTGCTTTGACAAAATATGCAGAACTGTCTGGTACTTTTAGAGTTAATTCAGATGAGAATGAGAGAGGAGAGAAAAGTGAATCTTTGCCCTCCAGGTTAATTGGAAGATGTGAATCATGATCCCAAAATAGAGGAGGGAAAATGCCTGGAATGTTATGTGCAAAGGAAGGGAAATTCAGATCTTGGCATTCTCCATGCGGTGCTGACACTCCTTTTACACTAATAAAGGCTTTTTAGGTTAAACCATGCCTGAAAGTTCTTTGAAGTGTTTCATTAGTCAGACATATGACAGTAACATTACCAATGCTAGAAAGGAATGGGGTTTGCTCTCTATTTATATACAGTGTAAACTCCATTCCATCTAGCACTGATGATGCTACCTAGTTGGGTCTTGAAATGTCTGCAGGAAAACAACCAAGCTCAGAGAGCACCAATGATCCCACAGTCGTTGTCGTCCTCGTCCTCCTCCTCGTCCTCGTCTTCCTCCTCCTCTCCACAAAGCCCACTCCCTTCTAGAACTAATGATGTTACCTAATTAGGTCATGAAACATCTGCAAGAAAACCATCTAGCTCAGAGAGCACCAAGGACTCTCCCAAAGTAACATGTGATGGGAAAATGACAACGCTTGCACAGCCTTTGAACTAACTTTATATTCGCATCTTTTAAGAAAACTGTGGTTTCCCCCCAAATGTTGACTTGATCTTTCCCTCTGTCGCCTCCTGACCAGCTCCGAAGAAGCCCCCATCACATCCTCCAACTGACCCAGTGGTGAAAAATAAAACAGAAACCTCAGTGACGTTAGCCTGGTCTCTTCGGAAGACAGACCGGCCTATCCCAATTGATGGCTACCTTGTTGAACGTAAGAAACTGACTGAATTCACATGGCTGAGGTGCCACCAAGCTCTGGTGTCCCAAACTGAGTTTATAGTCAACAACATGACTGAACAGGCTGACTACCAGTTCCGAGTTTCGGCAGTCAATAAGTATGGCCAAAGTGATTATCTGGAATTTCCTGGAGTCTGGCATCTTGGTAAGTGTTTTTTTTCTTCAACAATGGGCTAATTTGGTGGTGATGGATTTAGGGTTATATAACTGAAATTCTCAAATATCTTTTACCATGAATATGAATAACATACTGCAATAATTCCAATGATAATCTTCTTCTTCTTCTTCTTCTTCTTCTTCTTCTTCTTCTTCTTCTTCTTCTTCTTCTTCTTCTTCTTCTTCTTCTTCTTCTTCTTCTTCTTCTTCTTCTTCTCCTCCTCCTCCTCCTCCTCCTCCTCCTTCTTCTTCTCCTTCCTCCTCTTCCTCCTCCTCCTCCTCCTCGTCCTCCTTTTCCTTCTCATCATCATCATCCTCACCATCCTCATGGTCACCTGAGTGGGTCATGAAATGTCTGGAAGGAAACCACCAACTTCAGAGAGCACCAATGATTCCACAGTTCAATCCTGAGCTACAAATATTCTCTTTTATTGAGAAAAAATTATGCTAACCTTTGCCCATCATCGTTATATCCCACAGAACCTACCCTGGCGGTGAAAACCCCTCTGAGAAATGTCGAAGTCGCACCAGGGAGAGATGCAACCTTCACTGTGGACCTCACCACTCCTAGTCCCGGCTTGTGGTACATCAACGGCAACCTCGTGCAGAACAGTGACAAATACATAATTATGAGAACCAAAGGAAGCCACAGTTTAACCATTAAGCGGGTCACCAGTGCTTTCAAGGAGGCGGAGGTGAAATTTGTAGCCAAGGATATTGAAAGCATCGGAAGACTTACCTTGAAAGGTATTTTCAATATATGCTTCTTTCTTTCTTTCTTTCTTTCTTTCTTTCTTTCTTTCTTTCTTTCTTTCTTTCTTTCTTTCTTTCTTTCTTTCTTTCTTTCTTTCCTTCCCTCCTTCCTTCCTTCCTCCCTCCCTCCCTCCCTCTTTCTTTCTTTCTTTCTTTCTTTCTTTCTTTCTTTCTTTCTTTCTTTCTTTCTTTCTTTCTTTCTTTCTTTCTTTCTTCTGAGCATGATCTCCAGACCTTAGTTTCAGGAGATCTTTAAGAAGCTGAAATTAAACCATAGTTTCTTAGCTTAAGAAATAACTATGGGCAAACGTGAGTTTGGGAGACAAAACCAACATGTCAGTTTGACAAGGAAAGGGTTGGGATGTCCACAGAGAAGACAGAAAGTCAATATGACAGCCACCACTATGGGTCTGAAGTTCCCCTACTTTTATATGTGGGTTGTGCATAGGAATAGTGCTTCCATTATGTAGTTGTTGCCTTTTAAATTTGAGATGCGGTAGAAGAAATAAGGAGACTCAAATTATTGTACATTGGATACATTGTGGAAAGACTTAATTGTCTGGAGAAGTCCTCAATGCTGGGGAAGGTGGATGGAAAGAGCAGAGGACAACCAGCAGAAAGGTTGAGAGACTCAGCCATAGTGGTGATGGAGACACTGTTGGGAGACCTGAAGAAGCAAGTCAAGGAAACACCAAGCTCCCTTGAGAAGTCCACAGTGCTGAGAAAAGATGAAGGAAAGAGGACAGCCAGCAATAACATTGAGGGATTCAGTTATGAAGGCACTATTGGGACACCTGAAGAAGCAAGTTAAGGAAAGAACTTCTGGGAGAAGGTCTATTTATCTGGACACTAAGGCTGGAAACCAAGTTGATGGCTGATAATCAATCAATTAATCAACAGAAACATCAAGGTTCCTTGAGAAGTCCACAGTGCTAAGAAAGATGGAAGGAAAAAGAAGAACAACCAGCAGCAACCTTGAGGGACTTAGTTACAGTAGTGTTGGATGCCCTGTTGGGAGACCTGAAGAACCAAGTTAAGGAAAAATCTTCCTGGAGAAGGTCTAGCTGTCCAGACACTAAGGCTGGACCCCAAGTTGATATCAATCAATCAATCAATCAATCAATCAATCAATCGAAACACCAAGCTCCCTTGAGAAGTCCACAATGCTGTGAAAAGAGAAGAGGATCACTAGGAGTGAGGTGAATTGACTCAGTTATGGTGGTGCTGGGTGAACCATTGGAAAACATGAAGGATCTGGAGACAGATCATTCTAGAAAAGGTCTATCAATATGGTTGCTGAGAATCTTCACCAACTTGATGGCACATAATTATTCAGCATGAAGATCTAACTCTCTGGAAAAGTCCATCATATTGAGAAAAGTGGAAGGAAAGAGAAGAGGAGGGCGAGTAGAAGGTGGATGGACTCAGTTATGGTAGCCATGAATGCCCTACTGGAAAACTTGAAGGACCAAGTTGGGTACAGATCAACCTGGAGAAGATCTAGATCAGGCATGTCAAACTTTGATGTCGCGCAATGTATTGAGACTTTTCCCCCATTGCCGGCAATGGGGTGGGTGCAATTTTGGCATGACGCATCTGGCCCGCAGGCCGGCAGTTTCACATGCCTGATCTAGATGGTCATTAAGAATCAACACCAATCTGATGGAGCATAATTCCCCAACCAATGAAAAATACCAGATTCCTTAAAAAGTCCACAGTGCTGGGAAACATGGGAAAAAAGAGAAGACCACCAGCAAATCTGAATTTTGTGCAAATTTGCATCATGTCATTTGTACAGTAAAATAATTGAGATAATGCCATTTTCATGTCTTCTCATCATTTGTGAGATCACGTTATGCAAATTATGCAAAGGACATCCATTCTCCAATTTCTCTGAGATGTACTGTATGTTATGTTCATATGTTCATATTAGTAAAGTTGGAAGGGATCTTGGAGGTCATCTAGTCCAACCCCCTGCTCGGGCAGGAAACTCTACACCATTTCGGACAAGTGGCTGTCCAGTCTCTTCTTAAAAACTTCCAGTGTTGGAGCATTTACTGCTTCTGGAGGCAAGCTGTTCCACTGATTAATTGTTCTCACTGTCAGGAAGTTTCTCCTTAGTTCTAGGTTGCTTCTCTCCTTGATTAGTTTCCACCCGTTGCTTCTTGTCCTGCCTTCAGGTGCTTTGGAAAATAGCTTAATTCCCTCTTCTTTATGGCAGCCCCTGAGATATTGGAATACTGCTATCATGTCCCCCCTTGTCCTTCTCTTCGTTAAACTAGACATACCCAATTCTAGCAACCGTTCCTTATATGTTTTAGCCTCCAGTCCCCTAATCATCTTTGTTGCTCTTCTCTGTACTCTTTCTAGAGTCTCAACATCTTTTTTACATCGTGGTGACCAAAACTGGATGCAGTATTCCAAGTGTGGCCTTACCAAGGCATTGAAGAGTGGTATTAATACTTCACGTGATCTTGATTCTATCCCTCTGTTAATGCAGCCTAGCACTGTGTTGGCCTTTTTGGCAGCTGCAGCACACTGCTGGCTCATATTTAGGTGATTGTCTACTAGGACTCCGAGGTCCCTCTCACAGTTACTACTATTGAGCATGGTGCCACCTATGCTGTACTTGTGCATTTGGTTTTTCTTGCCTAAATGTAGAACCTTGCTTTTTTCACCATTGAATTTCATTTTGTTAGTTAGTGCCCAGTGTTCAAGTCTGTCCAGATCCTTCTGTATCTTAAGCCTGTCTTCTGGAGTGTTGGCTATTCCTGCCAGCTTGGTGTCGTCTGCAAATTTGATGAGTTCCCCATCTATCCCTTCATCCAAATCGTTGATGAAGATGTTGAAGAGTACTGGGCCCAGAACAGAGCCCTGGGGCACCCCACTACACACTTCCCTCCATATAGATGCAGTTCCATTGAGGACCACTCGCTGAGTACGGCCGGTCAGCCAGCTACGGATCCATCTGGTGGTGGTTCTGTCTACCCCACATTTTTCTATCTTGTCAAGTAGTAGGTTGTGATCTACTTTATCAAATGCCTTACTGAAGTCCAAGTAAATTATGTCCACAGCATTCCTCTGATCCACTAATTTTGTCACTTGGTCAAAGAATGCAATAAGATTTGTCTGGCATGATCTATTTTTGACAAACCCATGTTGGCTTTTAGTAATGACTTTGTTTGCCTCTAGGTGTTCGTTGATTCGTTGTTTGATTATCTTTTCCAGGATCTTCCCAGGTATTGAGGTCAGGCTGATAGGTCTGTAATTTCCTGGATCCATTTTTTTTCCTTTTTTGAGGATGGGAACTACATCAGCTCTTTCCCAGTCCTCTGGTAGTTCCCCTGTGTTCCAGGATCTTTGAAAAATATAGTTCAGTGGCTCCGATATCACATCTGCCAGTTCCTTGAGAACTCTGGGATGTAATCCATCTGGTCCTGGCGATTTGAACTCATCTAGGCTGGACAGGTGCTCACTAACCATTTTCTTGCCTATCTTAACTTGTGTTTCTGTTTTGTTTTTTATGGCACTATTTTTGATAGGTTGGTCTGTTTTTTCCCTTTGTGTAAAGACAGATGCAAAAAATGAGTTAAATAGTTCTGCTTTCTCCCTGTTGCTTGTCACCTTCTTGCCACTTCCACCCACTAATGGACCAATCATTTCCTTCACTTTTTTCTTGTTTTTTACATGTTGAAAGAAGCTTTTTTTGTTATTTTTGACTTTGGTCGCAAGCCTTAGTTCATTTTGAGCCTTGGCTTTCTTCACTTCATCTTTGCAGGCTCGGGCTATTTGCTGATATTCTGACTTAGTTATGTTCCCCTCTTTCCACTTTCTATACTTGTCCTTTTTATCTTTCAATTTGTCAGAGAGTTCTTTATGCAGCCATGCTGGTTTCTTTTGGGAGCTGTTGTTTTTCCTCTTTGTTGGTATTGTGCTAGACTGTGCTTTTATTATCTCATTTTTCAAAATTTCCCAAGCTTCTTGAGTTGTTTTCCCCTTGAGGATTCTCATCCATGGAATCCTTCCCAAGCCCTCTCTAAGTTTATTGAAATTAGCTCTCTTGAAGTCCAAGACTCTAGTTTGACTGTGTTCTATTGCTTGTGCTTCTATAATGTTGAATTCTAATATTGCATGATCACTTCCTCCCAGGGTTCCTATGGCTTCAACACCGTCTATCATTTCATCTCTGTTAGTGAGAATTAGATCCAAAATGGCTAATCCCCTAGTTCCCTTCTCTACTTTTTGGGAGACAAAGTTGTCTGCTAGGTTTGCCAGGAACCTGTTTGATCTTCCACTTGGTGCGGAGTTTGTCTCCCAGTTGATGTCAGGGTAGTTAAAGTCCCCCATTACTATTGTGATGTGCTTCCTACATACCTTAGTTAGCTGACTAGCAAAAAGTTCATCTATTTCCTCTGTTTGGTTGGGTGGTCTATAGTATACACCTATGGCAATGTCATTTCCCCTCCCTTTTATATTGACCCAAATGCATTCAAGACAGTTTTTATCATTGTTGTGCTCTATTTCTGTGGAGATGTAGTTATTTCTTATATAGAGAGCAACTCCACCTCCTCTTTTATTTGGTCTGTTTCTTTTAAATAATTTAAATCCCTCTAGCTGTGTGTTCCATGTGTGGGTTTCATCCCACCATGTTTCCGTAATGGCAACAATATCGTATCTGCCCTCATTAACCTGAATTTCTAGTTCACCCTGTTTGCTGTTCATACTCTATGCATTGGTGTATAAACATTTGAGCCCTTTGTGGGTGGCCCTGTGTTTCCTTTCTACATAACCTGTGTGGTGCCTGAGTTCCCCTATTGTCTTACCACCTATTTGGTTAGTGCACTTTATGTGGCACTCGCTATTAGAGGCTTCATTTTGCTTGATAGCAAAGTTGATATTCTTGTCCACACACACATCTATGCTACATGCACTGATAGCCCTATAGTTTTTAAATTGCCAGGGATAGGGTTGTTCCGTGTCAATTAACTCCCTGTCCCCGCTGTTTAGTTTAAATTTCCCTCCAGAAAATCTGTGAATTTATAGCCGAGTAACTCAGTCCCTTTTTTTGATGGATGCAAACCATCTCTTTTGTACATCTTTTGATTGGACCAGCTACTGACATCGTGACTAATATATCCAAAGCCTTCACCTTTACACCACTCCTTTAGCCACATATTGAATTGTGCTATGCGCTGGCCTTTTCCGGTTCCAGAAGGTTATTTCAGGCATTGATTCAATAAGTACAGGTAGTTCTTGATGTACAACCACAACTGAGCCCCAAATTTCTGTTGTTAAGCAGAACAGCTGTTAAGTGAGCTGCAACTCATTTTATGACCTTTTTGGCCACAGTTAAGCATATCACTTCAGTTGTTAAGCGAATTATGTGTTTATTAAGTGAATCTGGTTTCCCCCTATGACTTTGCTTGTCAGAAACCAGCTTACCAATAGTGATCACATGATCTCAGAAGAGTGGAATTGTCATAAATATAGGTAGTCCTTGACTTATGACCACAATTGAGCCCAAAATTTATGTTGCTAAGTGAGACATTTGTTAAGTAAGTTTTGCTCATTTTGTGACTTTCCTTGCCACGTTTGTTAAGTAAATCATTGCGGTTGTTAAATGAGTCACAGGATTGTAAAGTGAATCTGGCTTCCCCATTGACTTTGCTTGTCAGAAGGTTGCAAAAGGGGAATCACATGATCCTGGGGCGCTGCGACCGTCATAAGTATGAGTCAATTACCAAGCATCCGAATGTAAATCACGTGACCACAGGGATGCTGCAATAGTCATAAGTATGGAAAATGGTCATACGTCACACTTTTCAGTGCCATTGAATGGTCACTAAATGAATGGTTGTACGTTGAGGACAACCTGTATCTCTATGTTGGAGTTGCTGGGATGAGACAAAGGATCTGATGACATCACGTGTCACAATGTCAGTGGACAAATGACCTAATTTGCTCTTCCTGTCCTTTTGTCCAATGACCCCGGGACACATTCAATGTCATCGCAGCTTGTATCAGATGTCCATTCCATTGAGTTTCATCCCTCTTTTTCTAGATGAAGTGGCCAAGTTTGTTAACGACTCAGCCCCAGGGATTTCGGTCAACCTTCACGAGAAGTTTGAGCTGGTCTGCGAGGTGTCCTCAGCCACTGATGCGGTTCTGTGGAAAAAGGGGAAGAAGGACATCAAGCCAGACCAAAGGGTGACATTTTCCGTTCAGGGAAAACAGCGAAAACTTATTGTCCAAAATGCCATCAAGGAAGACGAAGGGGTTTATATCTGCGAATCAAAAGATGACCGACTAACCTTCCAGGTGGAGGTTAAAGGTAAGAAATGGTCCAAATGCTTCCTTTCAAAAATGTCTGTATAGATCAGTGATGGCGAACCTTTTAGAGACTGCCTAAAAACCGCCTCGCCCCTGTCCCGCCCCTCCTCTCCTGCCCATGGGCCACCCACCACCTCCATGGTTTGCCACAGATCGCCCAGGCGACCCAGCAGTGTCATGGCAGCCACGCCCTCTGTCGGCACCCCGCAGCATCATCTGTACACGATGGGGCACGAGGGTGGAGTCTTGTCCCCGTTGCCCGGCTGCCATGTCCTTGGCTGTGCTGCTCTGCGCAGGCTGTGCCCAGGGTGACTCTCCTCTGAGGAGGCTGCTGGTGAGGAGGGGGCCATGGGGTGTGGCGGGGCTGGGGCGACGGTGTGCGTGCCCACAGAAAGGCTCTGAGTGCCACCTCTGTCACCCATGCCATAGGTTCGCCACCACTGGTATAGGTAGTCCTCGAATTAGGACCGCAGTTGAGTCCAACATGGCTATTGCTAAGGGAGACATTTGTTAAGTGAGTTTTGCCCTATTTTACGACCTTTCCTGCTACAGTTGTTAAGAGAATCCCTGTAGTTGTTAAGTTAGTCACATAGTTGTTAGGGAAATCTAGCTTCCCCACTGACTTTGCTTTCAGAAGGTCACAAAAAGGGATCATGTGACACCCCCCAAGACACTGCAACAGTCATACATATGAGCCAGTTGCCAGGCATCTGAATTCTATTCACGTGATCAGGGGATGCTACAGTGGTCGTTTTAACTTAAAACAGTCACTAGACGAACAGTTGTAAGTCGAGGACTACAATTTATATTACTTGTCATCTACATATATTTTCCTAAGCCATTGGATGGAAACAATTGACTATGATGCTGTTGTGGTTTTGAATTTCCAGCTCAGTTCTTTGATAAGTTTCAAGGCAGTGATCAAGTGCCCGGGCAATTGGATATTTTTTTGGGGGGGGGCGGGGGAGTGGATCCAGAGATAATGAACTCATCAATAACTAAAGGGATTTTAAGCTTTATTACTGTAATAGCTGAAACAACCTGTAGATCTCTATGTATCAGTCAAAGCAACTATACGCTTCGCTTTCCCCTGACCAACAACCGCACAATTTGCAAGAACTGCATTTTAGGGCAGAAAGTCAACAAAGACTTCCAAGAGGGATAAAATCAAGAAAGGAAAATAGGTAAGAGAAAACTGGTCTAGTGATTAACACATAGGGTTTGAAAGTAAGAGACTGAGTTCAAGTCCTGCCTTAGCCACGAAAGCTGGCTGGATGACTTTGGGCCAATCTCTTTAGAAGATGATGAATTCTAATCCCACTTTAGGTATGAAAGCCAACAGGGAGACTTTAGATCAATCTCCAGGAGATGGTGAATTCTAGTCCTGCCTTAGGCCTGAAAAACCAGCTGAAAACCAGCTGGGTGACTTGAGTCAGTCCCTCTCTCTCAGTCCATCCCACCTCACAGGATTGTTGTGGGGAAAGTAGTAGTAGGAAGGCATGTTGGATATGTTTGCTGCCTTGCATTATTTGTAAAAAGAATAAAGGCAGAATACAAATGAATGAATGAATGTATACATACATACATACATAAAGCTGAATCTTGATTGAAACACACGATTTATCTCCCCCTTGAGCAGGGGGTTGGACCAGAAGGCCACCAGGATCCCTTTCAACTCTGTTATTCTATTATTCCTCACCCCAGAGCCTGCAGAGGTCTTTTTCGGCAAGGAGAAAGTCCAGAAAGAAATCAGAGCTATTCTTTCCGAAAACGCCTTTCTTAGCTGCGAAGTAGCCCAGCCCGCGATGGAAGTGAGATGGTTCAAGGATGGGAAACTCATCACCCCTAGTAAGAAATTTAAGATTGAAACAGAAGGGAAATCTCGCTGGCTGATTATCCGACAAGTTGACAGAAAGGACGGAGGTCAATACACCTGCGAAGCAGATGGCCAGAAACTGGCCTTCAAAGTGATTGTAACAGGTAAAAATCTTGATTTTCCTGTGGTACTGTGAATATAAGTAGTCCTTGACTTACAACAGTTTGTTCAGTGACTGCTCGAAGTTACAACATTACTAAAAAATGGGACTTATGACCGTTTTTAATACTTACGACCATCGCAGTATCTCCATGGTCATGTGATCAAAATTCAGATGTTTGGCAGTTGGCATATATTTACATAATGATCGCAATGTCCTGGGGTCAGGTGATTCCATTTTGCGACCTCCTGCCAAGCAAAGTCAATGGGGAAACCAGATTTACTTAACAACTGCGTAACTAACTTAACAACTGCAGTGATTCACTTAACAACTGTGGCAAGAAAGATCATAAATTGGGGCAAAATTCACTTAACTGTCTAGCTTAGCAATAGAAATATTGGTTGTAAGTTGTGGTCGTAAATTGAGGACTACCTATATTGTGATTCAGATATTAAGGAGAACTTCTGCAAGGTGAGAAAAATACAATGACTGTATCTTATAGCCCCTAGAAAACAGAAATTACCTTAAATTTTTCTAAATTTCATGATTTTAGACAATCAGAAGCTGAGGTGGTATTTGCCAAAGAGGCAAACATCTAGATGTAGGATGGCCTATCTTAGCTGGTATAGAATATGTCAATTGGACCTTCTTGAAATTCAGAACTTTACTTTTAAATGAAAATGACCAAATGTCCTAAAGAGAAAATGAATTAAGATGTTTTGTCCATTCTTTCCACTATTAGATAGAGAGATTGAGGAGATATTTGTCAACCAGAAGATGATCCAGAAGGACATCAAGAGTGTGGTTTCAGAGACCCTTTCTCTAAAGTGTGAGGTGGCCCAAGCTAAGACAGACGTCAGATGGTTCAAAGATGGGAAGTTGATCACTGACACCAAGAAGTTCAAAGTAGAAGAACAAGGTGGATCCCGTTGTTTGGTTGTTCAACAGGTGGAGAAGAAAGATGCAGGTGAATATACCTGCGAAGCCGATGGCCAGAAGCTCACCTTCAAGGTCACGGTGACAGGTATAACCACTTTTATATTCTCTACATCTCCCATAGAGTTAAAAATGGTCATATCAATCCATTTTTGGTTGATTGTTCAGAGGAGCACTCAGAAGCTGTAACAGAACAGCTTCAAGGTACGTCAATATGAAAGTTTGCTTCTGCAAACAGTTTTGAGTCGCCTAGAACTATATTTCTATTATCCATATTTTATGTAAGATGAAATTTGGTGGTACTTCAACACCACCGTAAAATTTGATGAACGTTAGACAACAGTAAAAACATGAGAACTGTAATTAAATATGGATGATGTTCATCTCCTAAATAATGTTTTAATAATCTGGATTGTTTGGTTGAGGGCTCAGAACTTTGGGAGGAGTTTGACAACAAAGAACATCCATATGGATGATGATCACACCTTATGGACCATGAGATGTATAGAGGATAGCTCATTCCTGAAGTTCCTTACTTTAACTTTTAAGGGAAAAGACAAAACCTCCCAAAATAAAATGTGAATAAATCTGTCTGGTCTTCTGCTTCTAGATGAAAAAGTTAAGGAAGTCTTTGTCAACAAGGAGAAGGTCCAGAAGGACATCAAAGCTGTAGCTTCAGAAAATATCTCTCTCAGCTGTGAGGTGGCCCAGGCCAAGACAGATGTCAAGTGGTTCAAGGATGGAAAATTGATTACCTCCAACAAGAAATTCAAGGTAGAAGCAGAAGACAGATCCCATCATCTGGTTGTTCAACAGGTGGAGAAGAAAGATGCAGGTGAATACACCTGTGAAGCAGATGGCCAGACGCTGAACTTCCAAGTAACCGTAACAGGTAGGAAAAAACCCGTAGTCTTCTCCTTCATCATCATATTTCCAGACATAAGTAGAAAATCCTTCTATGATGAAAGAAATTAATAGATATTTTTATGTTTTGATCTATCACAAATCTATCAGATTTGCTTCTAGGTTCAATTCAAGGTGCTGGTTCAAAGCCTACATGGCTTAAGGCTAGGTTATATGAAGGATTGTCTTTTCCCAGTGACATCTACCTGATTCACAGAGCAGAGAGGCAGGGGAAGTTATGGGTTCTTTCTCTTAAGAAGGTCCATCTGGTGGGACACAGATGGACTTCTCCATGGTGGCTTCCTCCCTGTTAGTTGAAGGACAATTTTATTCACTTATATCTATCTGACCCACCAGAGCAAGGAAGGTTAATGGAAAGTACCCATTGCCATCAGAATGAAGCAATTAATGAAAATTTCTGTCTCTCTCCTTCCCTCACCAGATAAAGAAGTTGAGGAGATGTTTGTCAACAAGGAGAAGGTCCAGAAGGAGATCAAGGCCATGGCTTCAGAGGACGTCTCTCTCAGCTGTGAGGTGGCCCAGGCCAAGACAGATGTCAAATGGTTCAAGGATGGAAAATTGATCACCTCTAACAAGAAATTCAAATTGGTAGCAGAAGGCAGATCCCGGCGTCTAGTGGTCCAACAGGTGGAGAAGAAAGATGGAGGCGAATACACCTGTGAAGCTGATGGCCAGAAACTCACCTTCACAGTAACTGTAGCAGGTAGGAGAAGATGTTGCCTTTTGAATTATTTACAATCCTGTTTCAAAATACAAACATAGTCAGGGTGTCATTACATTGGCAAAAATAAATAGTTTTTTTTTTTTTTGGATTGCAGAAACTGTACCAAGGAAGTTTTTTTTATTATTATTAACATTAGCTACTGTTATCTATAATGACTACTGTCTAGGTTGGATCTCCTTCAAGCTCAAAACTTTAGCTGAAAAGGAAAATGCGAAATTGATCTAAAGAGAAAGTGAATTAAGTGCTTTGACCATTTTTTCCACCAATAGAGAGAAAAGTTGAGGAGATGTTTGTCAACAAGGAGAAGGTCCAGAAGGACATCAAGGCTGTAGTCTCAGAGAACGTCTCTCTCAGCTGCGAGGTGGCCCAGGCCAAGACGGATGTCAAGTGGTTCAAGGATGGGAAACTGATCACCTCCAGCAAGAAATTCAAGGTCGAAGCCGAAGGCCAATCCCGGCGTCTGGTTATCCAACAGGTGGAGAAGAAAGATGGAGGTGAATACACCTGCGAAGCTGATGGCCAGAAGCTCACCTTCAAAATCAAGGTTACAGGTACAATCACTTTTACATTTTCTGCATCTTCTGATATAGGAAGATAAAATGGACCTAAGAATATTTTTTTATTTGATCATCTCTCAGAGGCTCCATTGGAACATTAGTCCTCGAGTTATGACCACTATTTGGGCCAGAATTTCCATTTCTAAGCAAGGGGGTTGTTAAGTGAGCCTTTCCCAATTTTACAACCTTTTTTGCCACAGTTCTTAAGCAAATCACAGCAGTTGTTAAATGAATCACATGGTCATTAAGTGAATCCAGTTTCCCCTGTTAAGTTTGCTTGTCAGAAGTCAGCTGGGAAGGTCACGAATGGTGATCACATGACCCCAAAATGCTGCCAGTTGCCAAGAGCCCAAATTTTGTTCACCTGATCGTGGGTATGCTGCAATGGTTGTAAGTGCAAGGACTGCTTGCAAATCACTTTTTCAGTGCTGTTCTAATTTCAAATGGTGGCTAAATGAACGGATGTAAGTCAAGGATCACTGGTAATTGGAAATCTGTTTTGACACAATGGAAAATTGCCTCAGTATTAAACAAAAATAGACTTGCTAGTGCAAGAATTCTTTTAATCTTGTAAGCAATGCTTTAACTTTTTTGGTTTGGTTTTTATTGGTCAAGGTTGAGAAACTGAAGTGGTCTTAACCAAAAAGGCAAAAATCTACATTCAGAATAACTATATTTTATAAGTCTTGGGTTGTGCAGATACCGTATATGCCGGCGTACAAGGCGACCCGGCGTATAAGACGACCCCCGTCTTTGTTGCCGAGCCGCATTCCTAGAATGTCGTCTTATACGCCGGAAACTACCAGTATTTCCGGCGTATAAGACGACTTGGCGTATAAGACGACCCACGTCTTTGGCGCCGATTTTAGTGCTTGCGGCATATACGGTAGTCCTTCGTTTAGTGACCATTGAAAGTTACAAAGACACTGAAAAAAGTGAATTACGACTTTTTGACGCATCTGACCATAGCAACAGACTCATGTTTATGACGATTGCACTGTGCTGGGTTCATGTGATCCCCTTTTGCGACCTCCTCACAAGCAAATCAGTTGGGAAGCCAGATTCACTTAACAACCATGTTACTAACTTAACAACTGCTCTGATTCACTTAACAACTGTGGCAAGAATGGTCATAAAATGGGACAAAATTCACTTAACACCTGTCCTGCTTAGCAATGGAAATTTGGGGCTCACTTGTGATCATAAGTCAAGGACTATCTGTGTAGACTATCCAGTATGGATTTTCCTGACATCACTTTAGCAATTAGGGGAAATGACAAAATAGCCTAAGAAAGTGAATGAATGCATGTTGTCCTCTCCTTCCAGAGAACTTGAGGACTTGTTTGCCAATAAGAAGAAGGTCTAGAAGGACATCAGGCTTAGACTAAAGAAGGTTGTTTAGATCCTTAAATCCTAAACATGGAAATATATATATTTTTGCCTTTAAAAGTAATGTTTTAATTTTTTTGTTTTGGTCTTGGTCAAGATCCAGAAATTGAGGTGGCATTTGCCAATGAGGCAAACACCTAAATGTAGGATGAACTGTCTTAAATGGCATAGAATATGTAGGTTGAAGCTCAGAACTTTAAGGAAGGAAAATGACAAAATGTCCTGATGAGAAAGTGAATTAAGAGGTTTTGAACCTTCCTTCCGATATTAGATAGAGAAACAGAGGAGATGTTTGTTAACAAGGAGAAGGTCCAGAAGGAGATCAAGGCTGTGGCTTCAGAGAACATCTCTCTCAGCTGTGAAGTGGCCCAGGAGAAGACAGATGTCAAGTGGTTGAAGGATGGGAAATTGATCACTTCCAGCAAGAAATTCAAGGTGGAAGCTGAAGGTAGATCCCGGCATCTGATTGTTCAACAGGTGGAGAAGAAAGATGGAGGCGAATACACCTGTGATGCCGATGGCCAGAAACTCACCTTCAAGGTCACAATTGCAGGTACAAACACCTCAATTTCTTCCATATCTTCCTCACATGTATAGAGATAAAAATGACCAAACCAATTTTATTTTTTATTGATTGTTCAAAAGAGCTCTAACAGAACAGCCTCAACCTGTGCCCACACATTGCTTGTAAGAAAGTCACACTAATGTGTGTTTATGCAAATAGTTTTCCTTGTGCAAGGATATACAGGTAGTCCTTCACTTACAATAGTTCATTTAGTGACCATTTGAAATTAGAATGGCCCTGAAAAAAGGCACTTAGGACTGTTTTTACAACTGTTGTGGCATCCCCATAGTCACATGATCAAAATTCAGATGCTTGGCAACTGATTCATTTTTATGACAGTTGCAGTGTCCTAGAGTCATGTGATCACCTTTTGTGACTTTCTTACAAGCAATGTTAATGGGGAAGCCAGAATCACTTAACGACTATATTACTAACTTAACAACTGCAGTGATTCTCTTGACAACTGTGGCAAGAAAAGTCATAAAATGGGACAAAATTCACAGCAACTGTCTTGCTGAGCAACAGAAATTTTGGCCTCAAATGTGAGTGTAAGTCGAGGACTACCTGTATTTTTGTTTTATTCTTCTTATTACATGGAGGTGGACATCTGTTCAAAATTTGAACACGATAGACAATTGTCATCAGTGTCAGGTAGCCCTAAAATCATTAGAAAAAAACCTGAATAAGAATTCTGTTAACTTCTAAATCCTGTTTTAAATTTCTTTGATGGCTTCATCATGTTTTCTATGTCATGCTCCAGTAGTTGAGGAGATGTTGGTTGACAAGGAGAAGATCCAGAAGACATCAATGTTAGAAAATAAAGAAGGATACTTGGAGCAGTACCAAATATGCTTTTTTTAACTTCAGAAGTATTTTTTTTTGTCTTGGTCAAGATTTGGATCTTTGTCAAGAAGACAAACATCCAGATGTAAGATGACCTATTTTAAATGGTATATAGAATATGTAAATTGGATCTTTGTGAAGCTTAGAACTTTAGCTGTAACGAATATGAGAAAATATCTTAAAGTGAATTAAGATGCTTTCTCCATGCCTTCCACTATTAGATAGAGAAGCTGAGGAGACATTTGTCAACAAGGAGAAGATCCAGAAGGACATCAAGACTATTCCTTCAGAGAATGTCTCTCTCAGTTGTGAGGTGGCCCAGGCCAAGACAGAAGTCAAGTGGTTCAAGGATGGGAAACTGGTCACCTCCAGCAAGAAATTTAAGGTGGAAGCTGAAGGCAGATCCCGGCGTCTGGTTATTCAACAGGTGGAGAAGAAAGATGGAGGAGAATACACATGTGAAGCCGATGGCCAGAAGCTGAACTTCAAAGTCACTGTTGCAGGTATGAAAAGATTTTGCATACTAATAGAAGAGAATTGTCAGTTGCCACCTCACACTTGCGCTTCAGTGTCAAGTGCCATGAACTCAAGGGTGGGGGCTGGATGAGAGGGAGGAGGCTTCGAGGGAAACGAAAGTTCAATGTATTTGGCCCAGATCGGCTTCAAGGTCAGCCAGCTGCAAACTGAACGCAGCTGCATACCAAACCAACACCTGAAGTGACCGTTCTGAAAACATCTTATTTGAACTTGATTGGACATGATGGGAGCCAATGAAGGGAGGGAAAAGTTAGACTTGGGGATTTTAGCCCATGAGTTTCAGTTCTGGCTATGCACTACTCTAGTTTACTTGGCCTTTAATAAACTATACCTTTCCCCATACATGGAGTTAAAGATTGTTCTTTCTTAGAGGCTCAAGCTGAGGCAGAGCTGAGAAGAATATTTCTAGCTCAGGGTTGAAATGTCTTTGGCACTCTCTGAGCTTGGGGGTTTTCTTGCTGATGTTCCATCTGCCCAACTGAGTAATGTCATTTGTGCTAATCAGCCATCAGTGGATACACAGAAATAAACTACACTTACATACCATTCAAAAGAGACAATAAAAAGGCTAAGAAGGAAACAGAAAGACCAGAATGCATCCTCTCCAGCAGCTGACATTGAGATAAGCAGGAATTAACACCAGACAAACAATCAATTGGAAAACAATAGCCAACACTCCAGAAGACAGGCTTAAGATACAGAAGGATCTGGACAGACTTGAACTCTGGGCGCTATCTAACAAAATGAAATTCAATGGTGAAAAAAGCAAGATTCTACATTTAGGCAAGAAAAACCAAATGCACAGGTATAGTATAGGGGGTACCTTGCTCAATAGTAGTAACTGTGAGAGGGACCTCGGAGTCCTAGTAGACAATCACTTAAATATGAGCCAGCAGTGTGCTGCAGCTGCCAAAAAGGCCAACACAGTGCTCGGCTGCATTAACAGAGGGATAGAATCAAGATCACGTGAAGTATTAATACCACTCTTCAATGCCTTGGTAAGGCCACACGTGGAATACTGCATCCAGTTTTGGTCACCACGATGCAAAAAAGATGTTGAGACTCTAGAAAGAGTACAGAGAAGAGCAACAAAGATGATTAGGGGACTGGAGGCTAAAACATATAAGGAACGGTTGCTGGAATTGGGTATGTCTAGTTTAACGAAGAGAAGGACGAGGGGGGGACATGATAGCAGTGTTCCAATATCTCAGGGGCTGCCACAAAGAAGAGGGAATCAAGCTATTTTCCAAAGCGCCTGAAGGCAGGACAAGAAGCAACGGGTGGAAACTAACCAAAGAGAGAAGCAACCTAGAACTAAGGAGAAACTTCCTGACAGTTAGAACAATGAACCAGTGGAACAACCTGCCTCCAGAAGCGGTGAATGCTCCAACACTGGAAGTTTTTAAGAAGAGACTGGACAGCCATTTCTCTGAAATGGTATAGGGTTTCCTGCCTGAGCAGGGGGTTGGACTAGATGACCTCCAAGGTCCCTTCCAACATTATTATTATTATTATTATTATTATTATTATTATTATTATTATTATTACCCAAGAGAAAAGCATACACCCACCATATACACTACTGTATGTAAACATGGAGAAAACCCACATTTAGCACTGATGATGTTCCCTAGCTGGGTCATGAAAGGTCTGCAAGAAAATAACCAAGCTCAGAGAGCACCAAGGACCTTCATATTTTCCATACTTTTAGAATTAATCTATTGCATATTTAGGCATTTCATTTCCAAACGCTTCAGTCATGGCTGTTTTGGGAAGTAATTATTTATGCTAGCCCTAGATTTATTTAGCATATGGCATCTACAGAAGTCATGCGATTACTGATATAAAGGTAAAAGTGCCCCTGCGGATTTTACTCTGTTATACTGTAGGGGATGGTGCTCATTTGTGTTTCAAGGCCATTGAGCCAATGCTGTCCCAGGACATTTCTGCGGTCATGTGGCCAAGCATGACGTCACGGAGTGTTGTTACCTTTTCACCGAAGTGATATCAAAATGGTCAGCGCAGGTTTGAGACCCGAGCCCAAACATGGATGGGATGAGCTCCTGTCCTTGCCTCAGCTCCTGCACACCTAGCAGTTCAAAAGCAAGCAAATGCAAATAGATAAGTAATCACTGATATATAACACTAATAAAACACATTAGGCATGCAGACACAAGTATAGATTTAAATAAAGCAAATAGCCCTAGGTGAGAAGATAGAAATTCTACAAGAATAAAAGAGAACCACACTGCTTTTCTTTCCCTGTTAAGCTATCAAGATGAGAAAGAAAAATGATGTCATAATGCTCTTCTACTAAGTAAAATGCATTTGCCTCCTTTGTGCTCATATGTGCTACAAAATATTTATTTATTTGTGAATTTATGAATCAAGGGACATGAAAAAAAGCAATTGCATTTTAAGCTTAATAGCATGGCTACAAAGGATAGCAAAAATAGTTACCTTGAAATATTTTAGGAAATCCCCCCCCCAATTATATGTTTTTCAGAGGATTCTTGACATGACATGTGAAAAACAGAGTAATATCCATCCGCCTAATTGATTTATTGAACAGGTAGTTCTCAACTTACAACCATAACTGAGCCCAAAATTTATGTTGATAAGTGAGAAATTTGTTAAGTGAGTTTTGCCCCATTTTACCACCTTTCTTGCCACGGTTATTAAGTGAATGACTGCAGTTGTTAAATAAGTAACATGGTTGTCAAGTGAATCTAGATTTCCCTGTGACTTTGTTTGTCAGAAAGTCACAAAAGGGGTTCACATGGCCCTGTGACATTGCGACTGTCACAGATATGAACCAAATGTCTGAATTTTGAACAGGTGACTATGAGGATGCTGCAATGGTCGTAAGTGTGAAAAATGGCCATAAGTCATTTTTTCAGTGCCGTTGTAACTCAGAATGAACTGTTGTAAGTTAATGATTACCTGTATTGTGAAGTCTCCGTACGATTCTACAGGTAGTCCTCATTTTACAACTATTCATTCAACAACCGTTCAACGTTACAACATCACTGAAAAAAGTAAGTTATGGCCAGTCCTCGCAATTATGACTGTCTCAGCATCCCTACGGTCATGTGATCAAAATTTGGGCATTTGGCAACTGGCAGGTATTTACAACAATTGCAGCATTGTGAGATCATGTGATCACCGTTTGTAACCTTTCCAACTGGCTTCTGACAAGCAAACATTGATTCACTTAATGATCACATGATTTACTTAACAACTGCAGTGATTTGCTTAACAACCATGGTAAAAAATTGGGCGCAATTCACTTAACCACCCTCTTTCTTAACAATAGAAATCCTGGTTCCAGTTATGATCGTAAATTCAGGACTAGATGTATATATTTTCTAAAAAAAACTGAAGAGGGATGATAAGGTAATTTCCGTTATAGAGGATATGATCTATTGTCCTGTGATTCCAGAAAGGACGATTACAATTTAAAACAAAGGTTGAAAAATTGAATTTTGATTGTCTTCTTCTTCAACTCAGATACAAAAGCTGAGGAGATGTTTGTCAACAAGGAGAAGGTCCAGAAGAATATCAAAGTTGTAGCTTCAGAGAACGTCTCTCTCAGCTGTGAGGTGGCCCAGGCCAAAACGGAAGTCAAATGGTTCAAGGATGGGAAACAGATCACCGACACCAAGAAGTTCAAGGTAGAAGAACAAGGTGGATCCCGTCGTCTGGTTGTTCAACAGGTGGAGAAGAAAGATGCAGGTGAATATACCTGCGAAGCCGATGGCCAGAAGCTCACCTTCAAAGTCACAGTGGCAGGTACAACCACCATTATATTCTCTACCTCTCCCATAGAGCTAGAAGTGGTCAAAGCAATTCATTTTTGGTTGGTTGACTACAGCACCTCTCAGAAGCTGTAAGAGAACGCCTGCAAATTATGTCAATGAGAAAGAGTTGTTTCGGCCAACAGTTTTAGGTATTACAACTATAGTTTTATTATCCATGTTCTATGTAGTTGGAAATCTAGTTGTATTTCAACACCAGTGCAAAATATGATCAGTGTTAGACAACACTAAAAATATGAGAACCATAATTAAATAAGGAGGGTTTTCACTAGTAAATAATGTTTTAATAATCTGGATTGTTTGGAGTTTGACAACAAAGAACATCCATATAGAGGATGATCATAACTTATGGACCATGAGATGTATAGAGGATAGCTCCTTCCTCCTTACTTTAATTGTTAAGGAAAAATAAAAAATAAAATGTGAATAAATGTGTCTTGTCTTCTGCTTCTACTCCTAGATGAAAAGGTTAAGGAAGTTTTTGTCAGCAAGGAGAAGGTCCAGAAGGATATCAAGGTTGTAGCTTCAGAGAACATCTCTCTCAGCTGTGAGGTGGCCCAGGCCAAGACGGAAGTCAAATGGTTCAAGGATGGGAAACAGATCACCGACACCGAGAAGTTCAAGGTAGAAGAACAAGGTGGATCCCGTCGTCTGGTTGTTCAACAGGTGGAGAAGAAAGATGCAGGTGAATATACCTGCGAAGCCGATGGCCAGAAGCTCACCTTCAAAGTCACAGTGGCAGGTACAACCACCTTTATATTCTCTACCTCTCCCATAGAGCTAGAAGTGGTCAAAGCAATCCATTTTTGGTTGGTTGACTACAGCACCTTTCAGAAGCTGTAAGAGAACGCCTGCAAGTTGTGTCATTGAGAAAGAGTTGCTTCAGCCAACAGTTTTAGGTATCACAACTATAGTTTTATTATCCATGTTCTATGTAGTTGGAAACCTGGCCATATTTCAACACCAGTGCAAAATTTGATCAGTAAAAACATAAAAACCATAAGGATGCTGGTAAGCTTCTAAATAGCATTTTAAAAATATAGGTTGATTTGGCTGGGGGCTCAGAAGTTCAGGAGGTTTGGCAGGAGAAGAACAACAATGGAGAGGATAACAGAATAATAGGGTTGGAAGGCAATTTGAAGATGATAATAATAATAATAATAATAATAATAATAATAATAATAATATCAGGAAGGCTTACTAACTACTGGAGAGACCAAACTGGCCTACAAGAAAGACCAAATGAAGAACAGAATAGAGGCATGGGAAGACAAAGCACTACATGGCCAATACATGAAAAAAATAGCTGGGAAAGCAGATAATAATAAAACCTGGCAATGGCTAAGAGCAGGAAAATTGAAGAAAGAGACCGAGGGACTAATTCTGGCTGCACAAGACCAAGCCTTAAGGACAAATGCATACAAAGTCAAAATTGAGAAGACAGCAACAGACAGTAAGTGCCGCCTATGCAAAGAAGCTGAAGAAACAGTGGACCACTTGGTAAGCTGTTGCAAGAAGATTGCACAAACTGATTACAAGCAGCGGCATGACAAAGTAGCAACAATGGTGCATTGGAAGATCTGCAAAAAATATCATTTGCCTGTAAGCAAAAACTGGTGGGATCATAAAATAGAGAAAGTCATAGAAAATGATAAAATTAAACTGCTCTGGGACTTCAGAATTCAAACAGACAAGCACCTGCAACATAACACCCCAGACTTAACAATTGTCGATAAGAAAGACAAAAAAGTCTGGATAGTGGACGTGGCAGTGCCTGGAGATAGCAGAATAGAAGAGAAAGAACTGGAGAAGATAACAAAATACAAAGACCTACAAATAGAAATAGAAAGACTGTGGCAAAAGCAAGCAAGGGTAGTACCAATAGTCATAGGCTCCTTGGGTGCAATCCCAAAACAACTGGAGCACCACTTGAACACCATTGGCATTGACAAATTCGCTATTAGTCAATTGCAAAAGGCGGCCTTATTAGGAACTGCTTCCATCCTGCGACGATACTGTAATACCATCAAACATCCACATCTGCCTATCCCAGGACTCGATAGGTAGACAAAGTGCCAAATCCAGTCTGAACATCTGGCTGACTGTGCGATGATCGATAATAATAATAATACTGGATAATCAAGTGCCTAGAAATAACAGGAGTCAGTAGAAACATCAGAAAATTTGTGCAAAGATCGATGGCACAATGGAAGACACAGTTGCAGATCAATGGTGAGAGACTGGGAGAGGTTAATATCAAGAGAGGAATATTTCAAGGAGATTCATTATCACCATTACTATTTGTTATTGCACTGTTTCCTCTGTCAACAATACTGAATAACTCAGGACATGGCTATCAAACATCAAAAACATCTGCCAGACTATCCCATCTCCTTTACATGGATGATCTGAAGCTGTATGGAAAAACATCATCTGAAATAGAATCACTGCTCAACACTGTCCATATATATAGCCAAGATATTGTAATGGAGTTTGGCTTGGACAAATGTGCCACACTTACTATCAAACAAGGAAAAATAGTGAAAACTGAAGGAATCAAGATGCCCCACGAAAATAACATTAAGAGTCTGGATGAGGAAGAGTACTACAAATACTTGGGTATCCTTCAAGCTGACAACATCAAGCACACTGAAGTCAAGAAAAAGATTAGAAGTGAATACATCAAGAGAGTGAAGAAGATCTTAAAGTCCAAACTCAATGGAGGAAATACCATAAAGGCAATCAACACTTGGGCAATTCCAGTCATTAGGTACACAGCTGGAATAGTGGACTGGACTCAAGCAGAACTAAAAGCAATGGATAGGAAGACCAGAAAAATAATGACAATGAAACATGCCCTTCATCCATGCAGTGACATTGACAGACAAGGCAAATAGGTGGGCATGGAATGCTACAAGTACATCAGTTGGTTGAAGAAGAAAAAATGGCTTTGGAAGAATATCTGAAGAACAATGATGAAGATGCACTGAAATTAGTATACCAGGAAGGCTTACTGACTACTGGAGAGACCAAACTGGCCTACAAGAAAGACCAAATGAAGAACAGAATAGAGGCATGGGAAGACACCCCAGACTTAATAATTGTCGATAAGAAAGACAAAAAAGTCTGAATAGTAGACGTGGCAGTGCCTGGAGACAGTAGAATAGAAGAGAAAGAACTGGGGAAGATCACAAAATACAAAGACCTACAAATAGAAATAGAAAGACTGTGGGCAAAAGCAAACAAGAGTAGTACCAATAGTCATAGGTGCCTTGGGTGCAATCCAAAACAACTGGAGCACCACTTGAACACCATTGGCATTGACAAATTCGCCATTAGTCAATTGCAAAAGGCGGCCTTACTAGGAACTGCTTCCATCCTGTGACGATACCTGTAATACCATCAAACATCCACATCTGCCTATCCCAGGTCCTGGGTAAGGACTCGATAGGTAGACAAAATGCCAAATCCAGTCTGAACATCTGGCTGACTGTGTGATGATCCATAATAATGATAATAATAAAGTTGAAAGGGACCTTGGAGGTCATCTAGTCCAACCCCCTGCTCAGGCAGGAAACCCTACACCATTTCAGACAAATGGCTGTCCAGTCTCTTCTTAAAAACTTCCAGTGTTGGAGCATTCACCACTTCTGGAGGCAGGTTGTTCCACTGGTTAATTGTTCTCACTGTCAGGAAGTTTCTCCTTAGTTCTAGGTTGCTTCTCTCCTTGATTAGTTTCTATCCGTTGCTTCTTGTCCTGCCTTCAGGAGCTTTGGAGAATAGCTTGACTCCCTCTTCTCTGGGGCAACCCCTGAGATACTGGAAAACTGCTATCATGTCCCCCCTAGTCCTTCTCTTCATTAAACTAGACATACCCAATTCCAGCAGCCTTTCCTTATATGTTTTAGCCTTCCTATACCATTTCAGGCAAATGGCTCTCCAATCTCTTCTTGAAAACCTCCAGTGATGGAGCATCATCCTTTTTGCTCTTCTCTGTACTCTTTCTAAAGTCTCAACATCTTTTTTATATCGTGGCGACCAAGCCTGGCTGCAATATTCCAAGTGTAGTCTTACCAAGGCATTATAAAGTGGTATTAACATTTTACATGATCTTGATTCTATCCCTCTGTTAATGCAGCCTAGAACTATGTTGGCTTTTTTGGCAGCACACTGCTAGCTCGTATATAGATGATTGCCACTTAATGAGGATGACCAAGATATGAGGTGCATGAATGTATAGATGCAGCTCCTTTTTGAAGCTCATTACTTTAAATATTAAATGTATCTTGTCCTCTGTTTCTACACCTAGATGAAAAAGTTAAGGAGGTGTTTGTCAATAAGGAGAAGGTCCAGAAAGATATCAGGACTGTGTCTTCAGAGAATGTATCTCTCATTTGTGAGGTGGCCCAGTCCAAGGCAGAAGTGAAATGGTTCAAGGATGGGAAACTGATCACTATGAGCAAGAAATTCAAAATAGAAGCACAAGGTGGATCGCGTTGTCTGGTTGTGCAACAGGTGGAGAAGAAAGATGCAGGTGAATACACCTGCGAAGCTGATGGCCAGAAACTGACTTTCAAAGTCACTGTTGCAGGTAAAATGCCCTTTTATTACATATATCATCTCTATCTCTCTCTCTCTCTCTCTCTCTCTCTCTCTCTCTCTCTCTCTCTGTCTGTCTCTGTCTCTCTCTGTCTCTGTCTCTGTCTCTCTCTGTCTCTCTCTCTCCCTCCCTCCCTCCCTCCCTCTACCTATCTACCTACCTACTGTATTTATCTACATTATCTTAAATCTTCCAATATATGGAAATAACCTTTATCAAATGCATATGTTGATTGTTTAGATCAGCTCTCAGCGGTTCTAGCAGAAAGCTTTCAAATTACGTGCACACAAACATTTATTTCTGCAAACAAAATTTGCCTAGTGCAGGTCTACCTTTATGTTGAAAGTTGACTATTTCTGAACAGTAGCAACAATAGAATCCTTATAGGAGTAACTAGGTATGGATATTTTACCTTTAAAAGTAATGTTTTAATTCTAATTTATCTTGGTGAAGATTCAGAAGTTGAGGTGATGTTTGCCCATCCAGATGTAGGATGAACTATCTTAGATGATATAGAATATATACGTTGGACCTTCTTGAAGCTCAGATCTTTAGCTGTAAAGAGAAATGTCAAAATGTCCTAAAGAGAAAGTGACTTAAGATGCTTTCTCCATTCCTTCCACTATTAGATAGAGAAGCTGAGGAGATGTTTGTCAAGAAGGAGAAGGTCCAGAAGGAGATCAAGGCTGTGGCTTCAGAGACCGTTTCTCTCAGCTGTGAGGTGGCCCAGGCCAAGACAGATGTTAAGTGGTTCAAGGATGGGAAATTGATTACCTCCAGCAAGAAATTCAAAGTGGAAGCAGAAGGCAAATCACGACATCTGGTTGTTCAACAGGTGGAGAAGAAAGATGGAGGCGAATATACCTGTGAAGCTGGTAGCCAGAAACTCACCTTCAAAGTCACTGTAACAGGTAACAAGATTGATAGCTTTTTTTAATTTTTCGGTATATCAGGATGTAAGCAGGATCAGATTCTTTCTAGGTTGATAAATATAGATAGATGATAGATAGAGAGATGGATGATAGATAAATAGATATAGAGTGATAGATAAAGTGATAGATAGATAGATAGATAGATAGATAGATAGATAGAGAGAGAGAGAGATAGAATATATAGATATAGATAAATGATAGATGATAGAGAGTTATAATAGGTATAGATAGATGACAGATGATATAGATATATATAGATATAGACGATAGATAGATAGATAGATAGATAGATAGATAGATAGATAGATAGATAGATAGATAGATAGATAGATAGATAGATTAGTAGATATAAATATAGATATATTGATTGGGAAAAAATCTATGGCAATTATATTTTTTGGGGGACACACCATGAATTTGAAATAGCTCAATGATTTTGATTGAATTGTTCTATGCTTTCTAGAAACAGATATATATATATTTCTTTTAACAAAGAGTGTCAGGTAGCTAAAAATTTCAGATTATGTACAAATCCAGGGAAAAATGAGTCAAACAAATTAGCAGAAGGCCTACATTCTACAAAACAGCCCAGTACTGTAGTTAGTTATTATTGCTATTTTCTTTGTTTTTTTAAACCATTCTATGATCATGATCCAGAAGCTGAAGAGATGTTTGCCAACAAGGAAATGGTCCAGAAGGACATCAAGACTGTGGCTTCAGAGAATATCTCTCTCAACTGTGAGGTGGCCCAGGCGAAGACAGAAGTCAAATGGTTCAAAGATGGAAAATTAATCACCTCCAGCAAGAAATTCAAGGTGGAAGCTGAAGGCAGATCCCGGCGTCTGATTATTCAACAGGTAGAGAAGAAAGATGCCGGTGAATACACCTGTGAAGCTGGAAAACAGAAGTTGACCTACAAAGTCATTGTTGAAGGTGAGAATAACAATTGCCTCCATAGAGAGTCAATATCATAAAGTTTGTCCTATCAGGAAGGCTGAATCTCTTTGCTATCTGTGTTGATAGTCTTCAGTTGCTATTTGGGATTCTTGAAACCTTCCTCCCTTTGTCAATCCCAGGTGAGTAGGGTGCAAATTGTATAGAAGCAATTATGAAATCCTTTGAATGTGTTACAACCAGCCATCTTTTAACACCTAGGCTGACAAAAGTATGGATATTAAACGAGAGAGAGAGAGAGAGAGAGAGAGAGAGAGAGAGAGAGAGAGAGAGAGAGAGAGAGAGAGAGAGAGAGAGAGAGAATATAAATGGATGGACAGATGGATGGATAATGGGTGGACGGATGACAGACAGACAGGTAGATAGAGCTAGAGATGAATGACTATGATGTGTGGACAGGAAGAAAAAAGAGAGAAGGAGGCTGGATGGATGGATGGATGAAATGAGACGATGAATGGGCAGGTGCATAAATAGACACAGAGAGACATATGGACAGACAAACATAGATGGAGTTGAATGGATGAGATGATGAATGGATAGATCAATGGTTCTCAACCTTTTTAATGCCGCGACCCCAACCGGTCGTAAGTCGAGGACTATTCAACCGGTCGTAAATCGAGGATTTTCCCTGCCGCGCATGCGTGATGCCGCCCCCTGTGCTGGCCGAGGCATAGCTGGCAAGCAGCAGAGACGGCGCAGGGCGACCACCGGCTGGGCCACCAGTTGGCCCAGCCCAAGGGAGGTAAGGCACCCGCCGGGCCCCACGCGCGCCAGCAACCCTCCCTGAGCCCGTCGGCCTCCCACCTCCCACCCCTGGCCCTCTTTTACTTACATTTTTGTAGTTGCTCAGCAGGGAGGGGTAGAAGCTTCCAGACAGCTCGCCTTCGCTGCAGACAACTTGCAGCACCGTTTGCAGAATGGGACTTTTGGCGGGCTCAGCAGGGCAGAGACAGCCTGGACAATTCCTATTGGCTTTTGAAAGCCAATAGAATTAGACTCTATTCAAGAGAGTCTATTCTATTGGCTTTCAAAAGCCAATAGAATAAAAGGGAGTAGCACAGCTAAGGAAAAGGGGGAAAATGGCGGACTGCGTTGTTTGGCGACCCCTGTGAAATGGTCGTTCGACCCCAAATGGGGTCCCGACCCACAGGTTGAGAACCACTGGGATAGATAGATAATTGAAATAAGATAAAGAAATTAAAACTTGATTCTTGTTATGCAAGTCTCACCATCTCTTTTCTTCCACCTCACAGAAGCTCCTGAAATCTTTACCAAAAAAGACAAAATAAAGAAGGAGGTCAAGGCGGTTCTGAAGGAGAACATCATTTTGACCTGCGAGGTGGTCACTTCGGACACTCAGGTGAAATGGTACAAAGATGGACAACCCATTCCTATCAGCAAACACATCAAGATGGAGTCAGATGGAACCACCCGCAAACTGCACCTGGAGCAGGTGGCGACCACGGACATGGGAGAGTATACCTGTGAAGCAAGTGGTCAGAAAGTAACCTTCAAGGTGGAAGTTACAGGTGTGGTCCCTTCTCCTTTTCTAATAGTGTTTTGCAGCTGATGAAAAGGCCAGTGTAGTTCCAGGTTGCATCAACAGAAGGAGAGTTTGAACATCACTTGAGGAGATAGTACAGGTAATCCTCAATTTATGACCACAATTGAACACAAAATTTCTGTTGTTAAGTGAGAGTTGTAAAATAAGTCTTGCCCTATTTTACAACTTTTTTTTTTGCTGCACTTGTTAAGTGCATCCCTGCAGTTGTTAAATTAGTAATACGTTTGTTAAATGAATCTGGCTTCTCCATTGACTTTGTTTGTCAAAAGATTGTAAAATCTGATCACATGACCCTGGGACACTGCAACCATCATAAAATGAACCAGTTGCCAAGCATCCAAATTTGGATCACGTGAGCATGGGGATACTGCAACGGGTGTATGAAAAACAGTCATAAGTCACTTTTTTCACTACTGTTGCAACTTCGAACAGTCACTAAATGAATGGTTGTAAGTTGAGGATTACCTGTATGTCTAGCCCAGTGGTTCTCAACCTTTTTAATGCCGTGACCCCCAACCGGTCGTAAGTCGAGGACTACTCAACCGGTCGTAAGTCGAGGACTTTCCCTGCCCGGGAGCGCCGCGCATGTGTGGTACTGCCCCCTGCGCCGGCCAAGGCGTAGCTGGCAATGGGCAGCGATGGTGCAGGGCGACCACCGGCTGGGCCACCAGCTGGCCCAGCCCAAGGGAGGTAAGGCATCCCCCGGGCCTTATGCGTGCCAGCAGCCCTCCCTGAGCCCGCCGGCCTCCCACCTCCCACCCCTGGCCCTCTTTTCCTTACATTTTTAGTAGGGAGGGGTGGAAACTTCCAGACAGCTCGCCTTCGCTGTAGACAACTTGCAGCACCGTTTGCAGACTGGGACTTTTGGCGGGCTCAACAGGGCAGAGACAGCCTGGACAATTCCTATTGGCTTTGGAAAGTCAACAGAATTAGACTCTATTCAAAAGAGTCTATTCTATTGGCTTTCAAAAGGCAATAGAATAAAAGGGAGTAGCACAGCTAAGGAAAAGGGGGGAAAAATGGCGTTGTTTGGCGAACCCCGTGAAATGGTCATTCGACCCCAAATGGGGTTGCGACCCACAGGTTGAGAACCGCTGGTCTAGCCTATCACAGAGAAGGATGAGGGATGACATGATAGCAGTGCTCCAATATCTGAGGGGCTGCCCCAAAGAAGAGGGAGTCAAGCTATTCTCCAAAGCGCCTGAAGGCAGGACAAGAAGCAACGGATGGAAACTAACCAAGGAGAGAAGCAACCTAAAACTAAGGAGAAACTTCCTGATAGTGAGAACAATTAACCAGTGGAACAGCCTACCTCCAGAAGTTGTGGGTGCCCCAACAATGAAGGTTTTGGAGGAGAGATTGGACAGCCATTGTCTGAAATGTTATAGCACAGCTGGCTCAGGGATTCTGGGAGTTGAAATCCACGAGTCATAAAAGAGCCAAGATTGCCTACGCCTGGTAGGGTTTCCTGCTTGAGCAGAGGGTTGGACTAGAAGACCTCCAAAGTCTTTTATGTTCTATGAGATATTGATCGGTGGAGGGTTGGATTCACCACTCACTTAATAACTGCCTTGCTATGTAACAGACATTCCGGTCTTAAGTGTGGATGTAAGTTGAGGACTTACCTGTACTTATTTTCCTGTTGGTCTTCCAGAACCAGAGGTCAAATTCCAAAGAATAGCTGCTCAGGAGGAGACCATTGTCACTCAGGAGCACAAGGAAGTCGTCTTCTCCACCGTGATAGAACCTGAGGAGGCTGAAGTCAAATGGTTCAAGGACGGAGTTGAGATCAAAGATGGCAAGAACTATAAGATAAAGAAGGACAAGGGGGCTAGGACCTTGATTGTGAAGACAGCCGAAATCAAAGATGCTGGTCTGTATACCTGCGAAGTCCAGAGTGAGAAACAGCAGTTCCAACTCAAAGTGGAAGGTGAGAGGCGAACGGAGGGGGCCATCCTGAAATGTCAAAACAATTTCGTGAAGGCTGCAAGGCCACCTAACCCAAGACAGAAAGATCAGATCAGTCAAAGATGAAAAAAAATTATCTCATGCTCTTTCCAGCCTCAAAATAATGTGGTGTCAAAAGCTGTGTGAGTCACTAGTTACTAGTTCTGAGGGCTCTGAGCTTCTGGGTTTTCTTGCAGACGTTTCATGGTCCAAGTGCTAGGAGGGTTGGCAGAAGGGAGGCAGAGGAGAAGGAAGACTGGGGGAGGGGTCCTTGGTGCTCTCTGAGCTTGGTTGCTTCCTTGCAGACATTTCATGATCCAATTAGGTAACCCTATCCATGCCAGAAAGAAGAGGGGTTTTGGTCATGTTCCCTAGTTCGGTCATAAAATGTTTGCAAGAAAACAATTAAGCTCAGAGAGCCCCAAGGATCCCACAGTCCTCCTCCTCCTCCCCCCCTCCTCCTCCTCCTTGCATACCCCCCTCCCTTCTAGCACTGATGATGCTCCCTAGTTGGGTCATGAAAGATCTGCAAGAAACCAACGCAGCTCAGAAACCACCAAGGATCCCATGGTTGAATCTCAAGCTACAAATATCTCCTTCTGTTACATACTATCCCAACCTTAAAAATATATCTTCCTTAAGCCAAGAATTGATCTATCAGATCAATCACCGGACAAAGACAGTCTCTTTGTTCAGCCCATTTTATACCGCTGGACGGTTGTACCAGTTTGTATCATAAAGGCAAGTTTTCTATGGTCCGTCTTTTGACTTATTTTCTTTCTATCTTCCAAGTCCCTTGTAGAAGTACCGGTGAAGTTTGCCAAAAAGCTGGAGCCTGTAAAAGCTGACCTTGGAAAGGCTTTGAGTTTGAGTTGTGAACTTAACCAGCCCGAAGGTGCGGTTGTGTGGCGCAAGGACGGAACGGTTCTCAAAGCTAGCAAGCGCTACCTGATGCAAGAAATTGGTGCCAAGAGAGTGCTGATCATCTCCGCTTTGCGGGCTGAGGACAAGGGAGAATATTCATGTGAGACAAAGAATGACCAATGCATCATTCAAGTCACACCCACAGGTACTTCCTGATGTTAGGGCGTATGTGCCACAGGAAGCAGCTGTTGTAAATTAGGGAACATCCTCCGTGTTAGAACAGAATGGGGTTTACAGGAGAAGGAGAAGGAGGGGAGGAGAGGGGATGAGGAAGAGGAGCATTGTGGGGTCTTCGGTGTTCTCTGAGTTTGGCAGTTTTCTTGCAGATGTTTCATGATCCAATTAAGTAACATCATAAGTGCTAGAAGGGAGGGGGGTTTTGTAGGGAGGAGGAGAACTCTGGGGTTCTTGATGTTCTAACTGAGCTAGGTTATTTTCTTGCAGAAGGTTCATGACCCCACTAGGTAACATCACCAATGTAAGTAGGGAATGGGTTTGTTCTCTGTTTACCTACAAGTGACTTGCCTGTTAGTGATAAGGCCAGAGCAAACCACTTGTACATGAACAGAGAGCAAATCCTGGCTCTCGTCTAACTGTTCCTTAATTGCAAAGTGCACCAAGTTGGAAATTGCTCATGGTCACTTTCCAGCAAACTTAAGTTTCCAAGCTGAGAGGCCATTCTTAAGGAGGTCCTTCAAACATCCACAAAAGAACATTTTTTCCCCCTTTGTGTGATGTGTATCCTGCTCTTCTCCCCAGCGCCTCGCGTTGTGAAGTTTGTCAAGAGCCTCTCCAAAGTCATCGCAGAAGAAGGGAAGGAGGCGGTTTTCGAATGCACCGTCTCACCCAGCGATGCGGTTGTTAAGTGGAGCCACCGTGGAACCCCAGTCGAAGCCAGCAAGAAATACGTCGTTTCTCATCGGGATGTCCATCACAGCCTCACCATCACCACACTGACAGTCCAAGACAGTGGGGAAGTCATGGCCGAAGCTGAGGGAGAAGAGAGCCGGGCCCACCTCCGAGTGGAAGGTGAGATAGGGGTCTAATCAGGGATGGAAGGACACATCCAGGTGTGGGATCTCATTTCTGGACATTCTCCCATTGATCTGAACTGTTGTTTATTTTATATTTTGTTTTATTACTTTACTTTTTTATTTTGTTTAATTTAGTTTATTTTAGTTTATTTTTTTGTTCTATTTTATTTTATTTATTTCAATTTTATTTTATTTATTTCAATTTTATTTTATTTTTTTGTTTTATTGTATTTTAATTTATTTTATTTATTTCAATTTTAGTTTATTTTTTGTTTTATTGTATTTTAATTTATTTTACTTATTTCAATTTTATTTTATTTTTTTGTTTTATTGTATTTTATTTTATTTATTTCAATTTTAGTTTATTTTTTGTTTTATTGTATTGTATTTTTTGTTTTTTATTGTATTTGTATTTTATTTATTTTGATTTTATTTTGTTTTTATTTTTATCTTATTTTATTTATTTGTATTTCAGTTTATTTTTTATTTTATTGTATTTTAATTTTTTATTTTAGTTTGTTTTATTTTTATATTTTACTTTGTTTTATTTTTTATTTATTGTAATTTATTATTTTATAAATTATGTGGCTGCCAAATTCACACCCATGTCACAGCTTATAATATTAAAAAACCCCAAATAAAGCCCCATCCTGCACCTCCCCACCCCTCAGGGTGAATGATGTTCCATAAAGACGGGGCCAGCACCAAGGAGGCCCTTTTCCATCGTTCCATAGATATATAATCCAAATAGATGGGACCCAGAACACACCCTGCCTTCCTGTCCTTGTGAGCCAGTTGGATCTAACAGGGGAGAAGTGGCTTGTTTTCAAATACAGATAGTCCTCGACTTACAACCATTGTTTTAATAACTGTTTCAAGTTACTCTTTTATGTTTATGATGGTTGCAGTGTCCCAGGATCATGTGACAAGCAAAGTCAATGGAGAGGTTAGATTCAGTATGACTAGCTTAACAACTGCAGTGTTTCATTTAACAAGTGTAGCAAGAAAGGTCATAAAATGGGGCAAAGCTCACTAAACAATTGTCTTGCTTAGCAACAAAAAGGTTGGACTCCATTGTGATCATAAGTCATGTACATGCTTGGTGGAGAACTCTGGATCCTGCCTGTTTAGCAGTGGGAATTTTGGGCTTAGTTATTGTCGTAGGTCAAGGACTACCTGTAGAAACCTAGTGATCTTCGAAACCGTCATCACCCAGTAACACTAGTTTTCTTCCTGCAAGACATGTTTTCACATAGGGGAAAGCATCAAATCCTGATTGGCTAGATAGAAATGTTCTTTTGTGTTGGACTTATTTTTGTAAAGACATTACCCAGAATAAGATGGTAGAAGAAACTGCAAATTTTGAAGGCTTCATCTAGTATAGAAAATGTTAATACTGGTTGAAAATATTGCTCCACTTTAAATATAGGTAATGCTCGACTTACGATCACGACTGAGCCCAAAATTTCCATTGCCAAGCGAGACAGTTGTTAAGTGAATTTTGCCCCGTTTTATGACCTTTCTTGCCATAGTTGTTCAGTTGATTCACTGCAGTTGTTAAGTTAGTAACATGATTGTTAAGTGAATCTGGCTTCCCACATTGACTTTACTTGTCAGAAGGTCACAAAAGGGGATCACCTGACCCTGGACCATGCAAGCGTCATAAATATGAGTCAGTTGCCAAGCGTCCAAATTTGGATCACGTGACCATGGGGATGCTGCAACTAATTAGTGTGAAAAGTGGTCATGTCACTTTTTTCTGTTGTAACTTCGAACGGTCACTAAACAAACGGTCACCTGGACCGGGAGGCTCTCCTTACAGTCACTCATGCCCTTGTCACCTCACGCCTGAACTACTGCAACACGCTCTACATGGGGCTACCCTTGAAAAGTATTCGGAGACTACAGTTGATCCAGAATGCAGCCGCGCGAGTGATAGAGGGTGTTCCTCGGTACACCCATGTTACACCTATCCTCCGCGAGCTGCACTGGTTGCCTATTGGTCTCCGGGTGTCGGTTATTACCTTTAAAGCTCTACATGGCTCAGGGCCAGGATATTTGCGAGACCGCCTACTACCTCATAGTTCCCTTCATCCGGTTAGATCCCACAGGCTGGGCCTCCTTCAGGTCCCGTCGGCCAAGCAGTGCCATTTGGCGGGGTCGCGGGGGAGGGCTTTCTCTGTGATGGCGCCCACCTCTTGGAACCAGCTCCCCCCGGAGATTAGGACCGCTCCCACCCTGCTGGTTTTCCGCAAGCTGCTTAAGACCTGGCTTTTCCGGCAGGCCTGGGGTTTATAAAATCTGACCCCTGGATGAATGTCATTGTATTGTTTGTCTTGTTAAGTTATATTGTGTTTTTATTGTTAGCTGCCCGGAATCCTGCGGGAGTGGGGCGGTTTATAAATTTTAATAATAAATAAATAAATAAATAAATAAATAAATAAATAAATAAATAAATAAATGGTTATAAGTCAGGACTACTGTGAAGGTTATAAGTGTGAGGATTGGTCTTAAGTCACTTTTTTTCAGTGCTGTTGCAACTCAGAAGGGTCATTAAACAAATGGTCATAAATTGAGCACTACCCGTATTTGTAGTACTTTTAATCTGTCTGATGCTTTTAATCTACCTCAAAATCAGAAGCACCGGTGTTATTTGTGAGGAAATTGGAGGCCAAAGCTGTAGAAGAGAAGCAGACTGTTATCCTTGAAGTCGAGCTATCCAAGCCAACCACGGAGGTGAAGTGGACAAAGAACGCGAGTGTCCTTCATCCAATGGCCAATCTGGAGATCCACGCCCAGGGGACAAAGCACCGCCTGGTGATCAAGAGTGCATCCTGCGATGATCGTGGGTTTTATTCCTGCGAGACCCTCCATGACAAGACACAAGCCAAGGTCACTGTAGACAGTAAGTCCTCTCTTGGGACTAGTTCTGAGGATCACAGCTCTTGTGAGAATCATAGAAGGTTGGAGGGCATGGTGGAGAGCTTCTAGACCAGGCCAGGAAGCCATGGACCATCCCAGATCAATGGTTGTCCAACTTTTACTTGGAAACCTTCAGGGGTGGAGACCCCATGATTTCAGGAGGAAGGTTGTTTCACCTCTTCATAATTCTCACGGTTGGGAAATTCCTCCTTGGCGCACTCTGAGGTTTAGCAAGGTTTTCTTGCTAGATCTGGAACTGATAATGTTACCTAGTTGGGTCATGAGACATTGCGAGAAAATAGCCAAGCTTAAAGCTTAAAGCACCAAAGACTCCATAGTGAATGAATGAATGAATATAGACAGAGAGCAAACTCTTCTAGCATTGATGATGAGGGCAACAGTGGCTTTCAAATGAGGTCAAATGTCATGCAAATTTGGTTGGTTTCACAAGGTTGGTTTCACAAATTTGGTTGATTCCTCAATTGAAAAGTGATAAATGCTAGGCTGCATTAACAGAGGGATAGAATCAAGATCATGTGAAGTATTAATGCCACTCTACAATGCCTTGGTAAGGCCACACTTGGAATCCTGCATCCAGTTTTGGTCACCACGATGTAAAAAAGATGTTGAGACTCTAGAAAGAGTACAGAGAAGAGCAACAAAGATGATTAGGGGACTGGAGGCTAAAACATATAAGGAACGGTTGCTAGAATTGGATATGTCTAGTTTAACAAAGAGAAGGACAAGGGGGGACATGATAGCAGTCTTCCAATATCTGAGGGGCTGCCATAAAGAAGAGGGAATCAAGCTATTTTCCACAGCGCCTGAAGGCAGGACAAGAAGCAACGGATGGAAACTAATCAAGGAGAGAAGCAACCTAGAACTACGGAGAAACTTCCTGACAGTGAGAACAATTAATCAGTGGAACAACCTGCCTCCAGAAGCAGTAAATGCTCCAACACTGGAGGTTTTTAAGAAGAGACTGGACAGCCATTTGTCCGAAATGGTGTAGGGTTTCCTTCCTGAGCAGTGGGTTGGACTAGATGACCTCCAAGGTCCCTTCCAACTTTACTATTATTATTATTATTATTATTATTATTATTATTAAATATGAGGTTTTTGACACAAACGTGTCTCATCCATCTTGTTCTATTTCCAAGTGAGACCCATCAAATTGATCAAAGGCCTGCAGCCGATGGATGTTCACGAGAAGGAATCGGTCACTTTTGAGGTGGAACTGTCCCATGAAGATGTGGAAGCAGTTTGGATGAAGGACGGTCTGCGTCTCAAGTCTCAGGACAACTGCCAGATAACTGCCCAAGGAAAGAAGCACTCACTGACCCTCACGTCTCTGACATTGGAAGACTCAGCTCTTATTTCCTTCAAGGCCGAAGGGATTCACACCACAGGCAGGCTCAGTGTGAAAGGTAGGTATTCAGACAACCTCTTTTAAATTACAGGTAGCCCTTAACCTGGTAGCTACACAAACCATATATAAATGCAGAGATAAACCAGAAATAAGTGCTGGAGAATTCCTGGAAACCTGGCATTCAGACAAATTAGCCATCAACAGGCACACAGAGATAAACAACATCTACACACCATTTACAAAAGACAATTAAAAATCTAAAAGATCACAACACCTCCTGACAAGCAAATGACTCCCAGATAAGCAGAGTTTAACACCAAGCAGTAAATAATATTCCAAAAAGGAACTACTAACACTGTAAACAATAGCCTAATCAAGGAACTACCAAGAACACTCCCATCGACAGGGCAGTGACTAGCATATAAAATTAGAGCAAATCTCATTCCCTAGTCCTACTGATGATATTACCTACTTGGGTTATGAAATCTCTGCAAGAAAACCACCAAGTTCAAAGAGCACCAAGGACCACATTGTTCTCCTTCTCCTTCTCTTTCTCCTTCTCCTTCTCTTCCTCCTCCTCTCTGCAACACCCCTCTCTTATAACACTTGAATCATGAATCGTCTGCAAGAAAACCACCAAGTTCAGAGAACACCCAGACCCCACAGATCAATATTCTCTTATAGTGATAAACTTCGGAATTAGTTGCTACAGAGTTGATTTTCTGTTTTTGTTTGAGATTGAGCAGGCCTAGACATCAGTCCTGGATTTACGAGTACAATTGACCCTCAAATTTCTGGTTAATTGAGGCTGTTATTAAGTGACTCTTGCCCCATTATACAGTCTTTTTTGCCACCATTGTTAAGTGAGTCACTGCTGTTAAGCTAGTGACACAGTTATTAAATGAATATGACTTCCCCATTGACTTTGCTTGTCAGAAGGTTGCAAAACCTGGGACACTGCGACTGTCATAAATATGAATTATTTGCCAAGCATTTGAATTCTGATCATGTGAGCATGGGAATGCTGCAATAGTCGTAAGTGTAAAAAAACGGTCACAAATCCCTTTTTTTTAAAAAAAAAATTTTTTTTATTCATAATACAATTAAAACAAAAATGGACAAACATGACATTCCAGAACGAATTTTCCTAACAGTTTGTTTCTCATGGTACAAAAACTTAATATATTGTTCTTAACGTCTATATAAGCCTCATCCTTCTATACAATACATTATATATACAATTATATGTACAGTTATATATATCTTTTAATTCTACCATTAACTTGAAGTCCGAGCAGTTCTCCTTAATTCATACCAACGGTAAAATTTGTCCCAGATTTCGAAGTATTCGTGTTCTGTCTTGTCTTTCTTTTTTTTTTTATTGAAAGTTTTTGAATTTTACAAAATAAATCCCTTCCCCAAACCCCCCACCCTCTCATACCCTCCCCCCTCTCCCCAAACCTCCCATGCCCTCCCTCAACCTTCCCAGAGCTGAGTACAGGCTTAATTAAAATTTTTCAAAAAAGATAAGAAATAAAAAAACTTAAAACACATATAAATCCAAACAAATCTAAATACCTTAAATTAAACAAATTGTCTTCTCTAAAAAATAATAATTACAAGCTTTAAACACATATTATGATATACTCTAAACCTTTTCTAATATTGTAGTTATATTATTACCCATCATTCTGTAAAGAATCACCAAAACACCAATTTGAACATTACTTTCTTTAAATATCTATACCTACACTATAAAATCTAATCTAATCTCCCTCTTTCTTTACTCTAAAACACAAAAATAAGCATATGAACATTCATTATACCATTAGGACTGGATACTCATTTAATTAGTTAAACTAAATACTTATATCTAAACTTCTTATCTAAAATTTAATTAAACAACTTAACTTCTCTTAAGAATAATTAATAAAAAAAAGAAAAGAAACCAATCTTTAAACAAACTATAGTATACTCTAAACCCTTTTCATATCATTTATATTATTATCCATCATTTTATAATATACTCTAAACCTTTTCATGTCATACATATTATTATCCCAAAACACATATTTAAACATTATTTAAGACATTTTCCAAAAACATTATACATTTTACTTCTCCCGCAATCTCAATAATCTTCTAAATACCTAAACAAAATACTTAAACTTAAACTTCTTATCTAAAATTTTCATTCAGTCTCCATAGTCTTCTGTCCAATAGCTGGTTGCGTCCACTATAAACACAATCCTTATCAGTCTCTCTTGCCCATAAGCATCGAAAGAAATGCATTAAAATCTGCCCTTGAAGATCGCTCCAAAAAATTTGTAAGTCCTGGTTCTCCCACAAACTCAGGAACCAATACCTGTGAAACTTCCTCAACCTCCTTCTTCTGTTGGTCTTTCTCTTTACGTTTACATGTTGCTTTTTCTTTACATTTATATGTTGCACAAGTCTCAGGAACCAATACCTGTGAGATTTCCTCAACCTCCTTTTCTATACGTTTATATGTTGGACAAGTTGTCTTCTGGTCTTTCATCTCTTGTGGAACTTCCTTAAGCTTCTTCTGTTGATTCTTTTCTTTACAGTTATATGTTGCACAGGTTATCTTCTGCTCCTCCATCTCTACTTGTTGAGGCCTCCCATTTTTAGTTAATATAGGCTCTTCAGACTGCAGTTCTAGCATTAAAGATTGCTCCAAAGAATTTATAAATCCTACTTCTCCCGCAGATTCAGGAACCAATACTTGTGGAACTTCCTTAAACTTCTTCTGTTGATCCTTTTCTTTTCAATTATATGTTACACAGGTTGTCTTCTGCTCCTCCATCTCTACTTGTTGAGGCCCCTCAGACTGAAGTTTCCCAATTTTCATAATTCTTAACACTTCTGACCGCAGTTCTACCTTTTTTTCTTCCAAAGCTTTAAATATGATAGGTGACGATGAGCATACCCCCAGGACCGAAGTATAAAAATCTTTTGCTTTAGAAACAGTATTAAGACTATAACGTATCCCCAGGTAGCTCACCACCATTCCAATCGGAACATCCAGTCTAAACAAAATTTGTCTCCTTTTAAGTTCATCTGCTAAAAAAACAAACTCCTTTCTTCTTCTTAAAATTTTTGGTGGGATCTCCTTTAAAATTATAACATCTTGTGAAGCAATTTGAAACCTCTTCTTATAAAAAGCTTGTATAATTTCATTGCGCAGGGATCTTTTCCCAAAGTAAATTACCACATCTCTTGGCAAATTCTTTTGCTCTGCCACCACAGAGTTAACTCTAAATGTCTGATCAATTCCACTAAGTATTTCCTCTTCTTCTCTGTTCAGAATCACAGCAAAGTCCTTTGCCACCATCTCTCTCAAATCTCCTTGCACAGACTCATGTAAACCTCTTATTCTTAAGGCATATTCCATTTGTTTATATTGAAGCATAAGAATCTCATCTTGAAAGTTTTTCATCTCTTTTTCCATACTTTCAAATTTTTCCTCCATCAATTCCACTTTTCCACTACCTCTTCTATGCGAGAGTTCAACTTTTCAAGAACAGAGGCAACTCCTTTTAAAGTCAAAACTATCTCTTGCCTCAAAGTCTTATTATTTTCCTCTAAAATCTCTTTCATTTCTCCCCTAATTTGAAGTATCATATCTTGCAAGTCCTTCACCATTGTTGACTGTGGCAAGGAAGAAGGTGAACCTATTAATTTAGGTTGTTGCCCTGACGATAACACCGAAGAAGAAGCCACCTTGGAAACTGTAGAGATTACTGGACGCTTTGGGGCCATCTTAAAAAAAATTTACTCCTTCTTAAAAATTGCAAAAATTAAGCAAAAACAAAATAAGAAATTAACTCCCTATATTCAAAAAAAAAAAAAACCCTTCAAGAGGGATCATTATTAAAAAGAAGGGAGTTCAAAAAAAAAAAAAAAAGAAAAAGGAGGAGAAGAAAAAAAAATAATTAAATAGAAAAAATCCATTCCATTTTTTAAAAGTACCGAAAAGTACAAAATACAAAACACGAAAATTAAACAAAAATAATAATACTAACACTCCATTCCAATCATAAAAAAAACAAAAGAGAAAAAAGGAAAGGGAAAAAAAGAACACCAAAAAGCCTGCCGGTCACCATTCTAACTTCCGAAAAAAAAAAAAAACCACCGAGAGGCTTGCCGATCGCCATTTTACTTTCCCTTTCAACAAAGAGGAAAAAAAATAAAAAGAGGGAATATAAAAGTAAAAACAAGTCTTGAAACTTAAAATCCAAATAAATCAAAGAAAGCAAAAACTAAATCCTCTACTCAGCTCTGTCCGTTTATAAAAAAACCCCACCAGTTCTCTTTAGTCACGGAGGTGGTTGCAGCGGCTCGTTTTGTCCCTAAGGACAAAAACAGCTGGGAAGCGGAGACAAGTCTGAACTCCGTGGGAGCACTCTTTTCACCCCCCAAAAGAAAAACTTGGGGGGTGCATAAGAGGCTCTACCACTATTCAGACAACTCTCTGCCCTCCCCCCTTTGCCCGGGAGGGGGTTTTGAACCGCTGAACAGCTGATGTCTGCTGTTCATAGCGGTTCTTACACTTACCCAGGAGGACGGCTACAAAGTAGCCGCCATCGCACACGCAGATCCACCGGAAGTCCTGTCTTGTCTTTCATAATCATTGTAAGCCTGTCCAACTCAACACATGATAAAATTTTATGCAGGATCTCTTCTTCCGTTGGAGTTCCCTTATTCCTCCAATTTTAAGCAAAAATCAGTCTGGAAGCCATTAAAATGTGTAACATTAAATAAAGTACGCCTTTGTCATGCTTTTGTGTAGTTAAACTTAATAGAAAAGTTCTGGTTTTGGTTCTACCACTCGCTCTAATATTACTTCCAACCATACTTTAATCCTGTTCCAAAAATCATGAGCTCGCGTGCATTCCCACCACATATGATAGTATGTTCCACTTGTCAGATTACATTTCCAATATTTAGGGGAGACATTGGTACACATTTTAGCCAATCTTGTGGGTGGGAGATGCCATCTATAAAACATTTTGTAGAGATTCTCTTTGTAAGAGGTGGCCAAAGTAAGCTTCTTGTTTCTTGCCCATAGTTCTTGCCAGATGTGCAGATCAAAATTAAGACCAAAGTCCTTGCTCCAATTCAACATAGTCACTTTTACTTGTTCCTCGTACATTGCCTGATTTAACAAATAGTGGTATAATTTTTTAATCATTTTATCCTCCGACCCCAATATTATTTTATCCAATTCAGATATTGTTCCTCTAATCTTTTTCTACTCTTTCCACATTTATAATCTAGGTTATTATCCACAACTGCGTTACAGTCACCCATTATACAAATGCTATCATGTTCCAACTGGCTAATAATGTTATGGAGACAAGTCCCTTTTTTTAAGTGCATTGTAACTTTGAATGGTCACTAAACGAATGTTGTAAGTGGAATACTACCTGTAATGTAATTTCTCTCTTTTCTACTGGTCTTCTCACCATATATCTGTGACAGACCTATCTTTTACTTATGCATAAATAAAATATATTAACTTATCTTCCTGTTTGATGCTATTTTGGCCAGAGGCAGAGCAGGCTAAGAAACTTAACTTGATTTATGGCTAACATTTCAATTACTTACATGTTATTTCTCCTTGGCAGAAACCCCTGTGAAAATCATCACACCTTTAAAAGACCTCAAAATTCAGAACAAGGATGACGTAACACTTGAGTGCGAACTTTCCAGGCCCAATGCGGAAGTGAAGTGGCGTAAGGTATAGTATCAAATTTATTAAATATAAGCCTATCTGCAGTTTCTTGAACTTCTGTCTTGTAAGATTGCGTCCACAGCTTCATGGGAAGTAGGTAGTCCTGAAAGACAATGGAGAAGTCAGATTCACTTAACAACTCTGTTACCACCTTAACAATGCAGTGATTCAGTGAACAACGGTGGCAAGGAAGGTTGTAAAATGGAGCAAAACTCACTTAGTTACAAAAACTTTGGGCTCAATTGTGGTCGTAAGTTGAGGACTACCTGTATCTCAGGGCCTACCTCAAAACTCGGATCCAGTAAAATTTTTGGTCAATAAGCTCCTCTGTGGTCTTCTTGGTTTTAGAATGGAGTGGAGATCCGGTCGAGTAAAAAGATGGTCATTGCTTCCAGAGGGACGAAGAGAAGCCTCACCATTCACACATGCGAATATGAAGATCAAGGAACATACATGTGTGATGCAGTGGATGATAAGACCTCAGCTGTTTTGGAGATCTACGGTACAAATGTCCTCCCTAAATTTTTTAGAGTCAGATTTCCCTTCTTTGAGTCTTATTCAAGGAATGAGAATTTAGGAGCCATGATTAACAGTATTTAATAAAAAAGAAGTTTAAATCACAATATAATTCCTTTTAGACATACAGGCACATGTTTTTTTCCTAAATGTGTTCTGAAGTATTATTCTAGGTGCAGGCCTAGAAACCAGGAGACAGTGAGTTCTAGTTCCGTCTTTGACATGAATGCTGGCCACCTAGCTAAACCTCATTCCTTACTATTCCCCCAGGAATTTTTTTCTACTAATATACAAAATAAAGGTGTGGATAATTCCCCAACACACATTTATGACTGCAAGGAACACAGACACCTTAATCTTAAACAAAAATGTCTTATTTTGATTTTTTTTAGCCCGGGACATCAAGATTATAAAACCACTGGAAGATGTTGAAGTGAGTGAAAAAGAAAGTGCTTCTTTCCTGTGTGAGATTTCTCATGATGATGTCCAAACCCAGTGGTTCAGTAACAAAAACAAAATCAGGACTGGAGAAAACATCAAACTACATCAGGAAGGTAGGAAGAAGAGAATTGAAAAGTGATGGAGTCTGGTTGTTTGCTTGCAAATATCGCATGACCCAACTAGATAACATCATCCTTGTGAGGGAGTGTGGAGTTTTTTTCCTTTTTATATACAGCTGCTTGCTGCAGATAAAAAGAACAGTGTTGGTCCGGTGTAATTTTTTTTTTCCTTGGTAGTTTCTTGATCAGGGTGTTGATTTCTGCTTGATTGTTTGTCTGGGGTTAATCCCTGTTTATTTGGATTTCTTTTCTGTGGAGTCCTTGATGCTGTCTGAGCTTGGATGCTTGCTTGCAGACATCTCCTGGCCCAGCTAGGTAACATCATCCATATGAAGGAATATGGAGTTTGCTTCCTTTTTATATACAATTTCCCCTGGTGGGTTCCCCCCCCCTTGGTATCTTCTTGATTAGAGTATTGTTTTCTGCTTGATTGTTTGTCTGGGGTCAATCCATCCTTATCTTTGTGGGGGATCCTTTGTGCTATTTGAGCCTCGTAGTTTCCTTGCAGACATTTCATGACCTAACTGGGTAACATCATCAGTGTGAAGGAGTGTAGGTTTTCTCCCTAATTATATACAGTAGCTTGCTTTGCCACTGTTGGTGGAAGCATGATTTTGGTGGCTCCTTGATTAAGGTATTGTTTTCTGCTTGATTGTCCTTGCTTATCTGGGTTTCTCTTTCTGTGGTAACCTTGGTCATGGGTTTCATGACCCATAATAATAATAGGATGCTTATCTTTGATGATGCTAAAAGTCTCGTTGCAGGATGTAAACTATTCCAACTCAAGCCACCTTTCACAATTGACTAATGGCTATTGACAAAATCCTTGTAAGTCAATTGCAAAAAGGCAACTTTATTCAGAATAGCTTCCATGCTATGATGAGAATTTTAACAATATCCACCTATCCCAGGCCCTTGGGAAAGTCTCAAGAGGTAGACAAAAGACCAAATCCAGTCTGAACATCTGGTTAACGCTGCAACCAACTTTAATAATGTATCATTGCCATTGATAAAATCCCTATCAGTCAATTGCAGAAGGCAGCTTGACTTGGAACAGCTTACAATCTGTGATGGGACTTGAATCCCATCAAGTATTCACATCTCAGGTCTTTGGGAAGTGGACAAAAAGACCAAATCCAGTCTGAACATCATGTCACCTTTTTCACTGCTGTTATAAGTTCAACCAGTTACTAATTGAACTATTATAAGTTGAGGACTACCTGCATAATGGCAGCAGTCACCACCAATAATATTCAAGGATCCTTTTTATCTCCTTACCTATCATCCCCAGAGAAGCAAGGAACAATAACCATAATCCTCTTTTTCCTTGCTGCTTAGGAGACTTTCAAGAAGAGACTGGACAGTCATTTGTCCGGAATGGTCTAGGGCCCCAACCTTTTGGGCACCAGGGGCTGGTTCCATTGAGAGAGGTTTTTCCTGTGGACTGGAGGTGGGCCTGGTTTCATGTATTGCCTGCATCCCATGGATGGGGCTTTGCTTGTTTGTGTGGATCGGTTTCTGGCATGCTGCGGCCTGGTGCCGGTCCATGGACTGGGGGCTGGGGACCCATGGTCTAGGGTCTGCGAAGAGGGTTGGACAAGAAGATCTCCAAGGTCCCTTCCAACTCTGTTATTCTATTTTTCTGTTATTCTGCTATTCTGTTATTCTGTTGTGGATGCTCCATTACTGAAGGTTTTCAATAAGAGACTGGACAGCCACCTGTCTGAAATGATATGGAGTCTCCTGCTTGAACGGGGGTTGGACTAGAAGACCTCCAAGGTCCCTTTCAACTCTGTGATTCTGCTATCTTGGCAGTTCCTTAAATGGGGAGACGGTTCTGCTAAAGAGAGTGGCAAGCTTTTGTCTTAATGTGGATGACGTTTGTTTGTTTGATGGATGAATCATAGATAACTTGTAACTTGGAGGCTGTCTTTTTGTGCGCAGGGAAAAGTCACACGCTGGTTTACCGCAGTGTGGAGTTGCAGGATTCTGCAGAAATAAAATTTGTGGCCGAAGCTGCAGAATCACAAGCTCAGCTTAAAGTCAAAGGTAAGGAATGACTTCAAAATTTAATGAATTCAATTTTTTTTCAGAAAGCGTATCCCTAAACTAGCTACAGATAGTCCTCGACTTATGACCACAATTAAGCCCCAAATTTCTGTTGCTAAGCAAGACAGTTGCTAAGGAGGTTTTGCCTCATTTTATGTCCATTCTGAGCATAGTGGTTAAGTGAATCATTGACATTGTTAAGTTGGTCACACATACGTTAAGTGAATCAGACTTCCTCATTGACTTTCCTTGGCAGAAGGTCGCAAAAGGGGATTATGTGACCCTGGGACACTGCAACTGTCATAAATACGAATCAGTTGTCAAGCATCTGAATTTTGATCACGTGGCCATGGGGATGCAGCAATAGTTGTAAGTATGAAAAATGGTCATGTCACTTTTTTCAGTGCCATTATAACTTCGAACAATCACTAAACCAGTGGTTCTCAACCTTTTTAATGCCGCGACCCCCAACTGGTCGTAAGTCGAGGACTACTCAACTGGTGCAGCACCGTTTGCAGAATGGGACTTTTGGCGGGCTCAGCAGGGCAGAGACAGCCTGGACAATTCCTATTGGCTTTTGAAAGCCAATAGAATTAGACTCTATTCAAGAGAGTCTATTCTATTGGCTTTCAAAAGCCAATAGAATAAAAGGGAGTAGCACAGCTAAGGAAAAGGGGGAAAAAAATGGCGGACTGCGTTGTTTGGCGACCCCCATGAAATGGTCATTCGACCCCAAATGGGCTCCCGACCCACAAGTTGAGAACCACTGCACTAAATGAATGGTCATAAGTTGAGGAGTACCTGTATTATCCACATTGAATTTCTTGCGAAGTTACATCACTAACCTTCTTCTGTTTTCCTCCTTTAGAACTACCGGTCAAGATCATTAAACCCCTGCGGGTGAAGATCGCCATCGAAAGACACCGAGGTTTTATGGAATGCCAAGTCTCTCGTCCAAACGCTATCGTTAAGTGGTTCAAGGGGGACCGAGAACTCCATCCTGGCCAGAAGTATGAGATGGTGAGCGATGGGATCTACCGGAAACTTATCATCAATGAGACCGCGTTCGAGGACGAAGGGATTTACACCTGTGACGCCGTGGATGATAAGAGCAGCGCTCAGTTCTATGTGGAAGGTACATCCTCTTCTTCATTTGTACAGGTAGTCCTGGCCTTACGACAACAATTGAGCCCAAAGTTTCTATTGCTAAGCAAGACAGTTGTTAAGTGACTTTTGCCCCATTTTACGACCTTTCTTGCCACGATTGTTAAGTGAATCACTGCAGCTGTTAAGTTAATCACACGGTTGTTGAATGAATCTGGCTTCTCCATTGACTTTGCTTTTCTGAAGTTCGCAAAAGGGGATCACAAGACCCTGGGACACTGCAGCTATCATAAATACGAGTCAGTTGCCAAACATTTGAAATTTGATCCCATGACTGTGGGGATGCTGCAACGGTCATAAGGGTGAAAAGTGGTCCTAAGTCACTTTTTTTCGTTGCCGTTGTAACTTGGAACAGTAACTAAATGAACTGTTGTAAGTGAAGGACTGCCTGTAATATCAATTGGTTCCCCAAAAATATTGGGTGAAAAGGGACACTCAGCTGTGGTGACGCAGTGGTTAGAATGCAGTATTGCTGGTTAATTTACTGATCACTGCCCGAAGGCCAACCGTCACTGGCTCAAGGTTGACTCAGCCCCCCATCCTTCCGAGGTGGGTAAAATGAGGACCCAGATTGTTGGGGGGTGAGTGCAACATGCTGACACTTAGAGAGGGCTGTAAGGCACTGTGAAGTGGCATATAAGTCTACATGCTATTGCTACACAGAAATCTGAGGGTGGTGTTTGTTGACAGCAGATGCATTTCTCCTTGACTTTGCTTGTCAGAAGGTCAAAAGTGGGGATCATATTACCCTGAAACATAGCAACTGTCATAAATACATGCCAGTTGCCAAGCCTCTGAATCTTGATCACCTGACCATGGGGCTTGCTGCAATGGTCATAAGTGGAAAAACGGTTATAAGTCACTTTTTTCAACGCCGTTGTAACTTGGAATGGTCACTAAATTAAAGGTCGTAAATCGAGGACTACCTATAACTTAGAAAGCTCTTCCTGTCAACAATGATGACTTGAAGGACTTGGGGATGACTGAGTCCCCAAACTCCAGTGGTGATGACCTAGTGGTTGACTTTGTCTTCCCTTATTTCTCTTCAGAACAAACCATCAATGTTGTGAAGGAGCTGAGAGATGTGGAGGTGATGGAACCAGCCGAAGCCCGCTTTGAGTGCGAAATCTCCATCCTTTCAGTGAAGCCCCCCAAATGGTCTCTCCGTGGAGAAGTGCTACAAAATGGCCCAAATGTCATCATAGAACAAGAGGGAAAAATCCACCGGCTAATCTTGAGGAAGACCAATGTGGACATGACAGGCACCATTCAATTTGCCATTGGGAAGTCAAAATCCTTGGCTGATCTGGTGGTCAAAGGTAAGATAGAAGTCCTCCCAATGTAAAACAGCCATGGAAGAACTTTGAGGGTGGTGGTGGTGGTGGTGGTTAGAGCTATATGCTTATTTAGAATGGAGTGGAACAGAATGGAATGGAACAGAATAGAATAGAATAGAACAGAACAAATCTGAACAGAACAGAATTACAGAAAAAACAATAGAATACAGAAAAACAGAATAGTGTAGAACACAGGTAACCTTATGACCAAAACTGAGCCCAAAATTTCTGTTGCTAAGCAAGACATTTGTTAAGTGAATTTTGCCCCATTTTATGACCTTTCTTGCCACATTGTTAAGTGAATTGCTGCAGTAGTTAAGTTAGTAATGTGGTTGTTAAGTGAAACTTGCTTCCCCTTTTGACTTTGCTTGTCAGAAGGTAGCAAAAGAGGATCATGTGACCCCAGGACCCTGCAACCATCATAAACCTGAGTCAGTTGCCAAGCAATTCGAATTTTGATCACATGATCATGGGTATGCTGCAATGGTCATAAGGGTGAAAATGGTCACGTCACTTTTTTCAGTGCCATTTTAACTTTGAACAGTCACTAAATGAACTGTTGTAAGTCAAAAACTATCTGTAACAAAGTTGGAAATGAACTTGAAGGTCTTCTGGTCCAGTCACACCAAGGATCCCATGGTTTAAACCAGTGGTTCTCAACATTTTTAATGCCGCGACCCCCAACCGGTCGTAAGTCGAGGACTACTCAACCGGTCGTAAGTCGAGGACTACTCAACTGGTGCAGCACCGTTTGCAGAATGGGACTTTTGGCGGGCTCAGCAGGGCAGAGACAGCCTGGACAATTCCTATTGGCTTTTGAAAGCCAATAGAATTAGACTCTATTCAAGAGAGTCTATTCTATTGGCTTTCAAAAGCCAATAGAATAAAAGGGAGTAGCCCAGCTAAGGAAAAGGGGAAAAAAATGGCGGACTGCGTTGTTGGGCGACCCCCGTGAAATGGTCGTTCCACCCCAAATGGGTCCCGACCCACAGGTTGAGAACCACTGGTTTAAACCTTAGCTACAAAGATTCTCTTGTATCAGTAGAGTTGATAGACTTAATTCAGATTTGATTTGGGAAAAGATTTCACAATGAAATCTTTGAAGCAGCATCAAAATTTTGGAAGCCACTTTATTTTTTTGACCAAAGTGGAAAGTATTCGTGATGGTAACCCCTTAGATCAACATCAAGTAGGCAAAATTTTCCATGGGTAATTTCAAGGGTTTTTCAACATTTGGAAGATGCATCTCTTTGAAACCACAGGAGGAGCAACAGAAACAGATAAAAAGAAATCCACTCCAAAATTGTGCATCACAAGGTTTGTAGAGAACGGATCCAACTACACAAATGTGGAAATAATTCCTCAAATTATGAACCTGCATGGCCTCAAACTGGGTGAAATTCTGGGAAATGTAGTTGGAAAATGTTTGGAGGTGCCGAGTTCATAAAATTAGGGAGCTTTTGAGGAACCACAATGATTATTTAGTTCAGGGGTGTCAAACTCAATTTCATTGAGGGCCGCATCAGCATTGCAGTTGCCCTTGGGGGGGGCAGGTGGGTGTGTCCTACTGGGTGGGCATGGATAGAATGGGTGTGGCCTACTGGGTGGGCATGGCCAGCTCTACATCGTTCACGTCAAGGGTGCCTGTGGGGGCCTGGACAGGAGTGGGACAGATCTGAGGGTCTCTGGCAGAAGGGGGTGGGAGAGGGGCAAGCGCCAAGGCATGGTCCATTTCTTCATTCCTCACAAAGGGTGTTACCTCTCCAGCATGCACCCAGGGGGCGGGGCCGACATGGCAGGTTCCTTGCTGTTTCTAGACAGCCTTGTGGAGCTAAGACTGAATGCATTTCAGCATAGATGGCCACCACAAAATTGTACATTGGCTCCCAGCCGGCCTGGACCAGGGCCAAGACAGCAGGGACCGTTCCCTCACTGTTTCCAGAATGGCTTCACGGGCCACATGAAACCACTTTGCGGGCCGCATCCAGCCCCCGGACCTTGTGTTTGACATGTCTGATTTAGTTGGAAGAGAATGATTCACAGTCTAATTCAGTCTTCACATGAGTCTTCTTGGTTTCGAAAATGACCTTCTTAACTTTCACTCTGTAGATATTCCAGTGATCTTCACTAGACCTCTAGAAGACAAGATAGTTTTGGAAACCCATTCAGTGGTCCTCTCTTGTGACTTCAAGCCATCCCCAAAGGAGATTGAGTGGTACAGGAACCACACTTTGCTGGAATCTTCTGAGAAATTTAAGATGAAGAGAGAGAAGTTCACAGCGGAGCTCAAAATCCTGAAGTTGACTGTCAGGGATTCAGGTGTCTACCGATGCAAAGCTGGAAGCGCAGAGACGAAAGCCACATTGACCATTTTGGGTAGGTTGATGGGATGAGACCTTTCAGGATTGTACTTATGTGGGAGACCAAAACGGGTGGACTAGAACTCACTGTCTTCTGGGGATTGGCTCAACATCATCCAACCAGTTTTCATGTCTAAGGTGGGACTAGAACTCACAGTTTCCCAGTAATTGGCCCAAAGTCACCCAACTGGCTTCATGCCTAAAGTTGGACTAGAACTCACAATCTTTTAGTGATTGGCCCAAAGTCACCCAGTTGGCTTTTATGGCTAAGGCAGGACTGGACCTTACCGTCTCCCGGTGATTGATCCACAGTCACCCAGCTGGCTTTTATGACTATGGTGGGACTAGGATTCATCATCTCCTGGCGATTGGCTCAAAGTCTCCCAGCTGGCTTTCATGTCTAAGGCGGGACTAGAACATCATCTCCTAGTGATTGGCCCAAAGTCTCCCTGCTGGCTTTCATGCCTAAGGTGGGACTAGAACTCACTGACTCCTGGTGATTGGTCCAAGATTACCCACCTGGTTTTTCATGCCTAAGGAGGGACTAGAACTCCATCTCCTGGTGATGAACCCAAAATCACACAGCTGGCTTTCATGCCTAAGACTAGACTAGAATTCACTGTCTCCTGCTGATTGGCTCAAAGTCACACAGCTGTTTTTTATGCCTAAAGTGGGATTAGATCTCAGGGTCTCCTGGTGATTGTCCCAAAATCAATTAGCTTTCATGGCTAAGCTGGAACTTGAACTCATGGTCTCCTACTTTCTAGCCTGGTGCCTTAACCACAAGACCAAGCTGGCTCTATGTGTGTTACAACATGCGGAAGCCGGTGACCAAGGTGTGTGCAGAATGGAATAATGTCCTCTTGACTTCTCCTTCCTTGCCACAGAGCGCAAAGTGGAGATCACCAAACATCTGCAGGATGTGGAGGTTGATGAAGAGAGCTCGGCCACTTTCTCCTGCGAGTTGTCTGAAGATTGTGAGGATGTCGAATGGTTCCTCAATGACACTCATCTCTTTCCCAACAACTTCAATGAGATAAAGCATTTGGGGAAGTCCCACAGCCTGACGCTGAAGCACGTCACGCCAGAAGACAGCGGGACAGTGACCGTCAAGGTTCAGAAGAAAATCTCTGAGAGCATCCGGCTGAAGGTGAAAGGTGAGTCTCTACTTCTACAAGCATTTCTGAGGTAGCTTGGTGGCCTTGAGATATCCTGTTTCCATCTTGGCAGATGAAATCCATGGGCACACCTCAAAGCCATTGGAAAGCTTCAGGTAGTTGAGGCCCCTGGTACTTTCTGAGCGTGGTTTTTTCCTTGAAGACGTTTCATGGCCCAATTAGGTAACATCATCAGTGCTAGAAGGGAGTAGGGTTTGTGGAGAGGAGGAGGAGGGGGAGGAGGAGGAGGGGGAGGAGAACAGGAAGAAGAGGAGGAGGAGAGGGATTATGGGGTCCTCAATACTCTCTGAGCTTGGTTGTTTTCTTGAAGAAGTCTTGTTACCCAACTACATAATATCATCAGTGCTAGAAGGGAGTGGGGTTTGTTCTCTGTTTATTTATTCAACTGGCTTGCCTTATCAGTGTTGGTTAGTTGGTCCTTGACTAAGCTGTTGTTTATTTTTTGATTGTTTCTCTGCATTTGTTTATTTATTAGATGTGTGCCCTGCTTACCCCCTCTAGAGGTGGTATTCCTTGATTGGGCAGTTGTTTATGGCCTGGTTGTGACAACCTTGGTGTCAATTTCTGCTTCTCAGGCCCATCATGCTGCCCCTTCTCCATACTCATTTTTTTTTATCTTCTTCCCCATCTAGAGATGTTCTGAAGAACTAAAAATGCCAGGTGACCCCTGGCTTTCCTGTCCTCTGGATGGCCTCTTATCTATTAAAATCACTTTGTGTGTGTGTCTGTGCATGTGCGCACATGTCTGTAAATATGCTGATATACATACATATACTACTGGTAGTCCTTGACGTACGACCACAACTGAGTTCCATGTTTCCGTTGCTGAGACATTTGTGAAGTGAATTTTGCCCCATTTGACGACCTTACTTGCCCCAGTTGTTAAGAGAATCACTGTAGATGTTAAGTTAATAACGCGGTTGTTAAGTGAATCTGGCTTGCCCGTTGATTCTGCTTGTCAGAAAGTCGCAAAAGAGGACTCCACATGACTCCAGAACATTGCAACTGTCATAAATATGAGTCAGCTGCCAAACATCTGAATTTTAGTCACATGACCATGGAGATGCTGCAACGGTCGTAAATGTGAAAACAGCCATAAGTTACTTTTTGCAGTGCCATTCTAATTTCGAACTGTCAGTGAACGAATGGCAAAATTTATTGCTGAATAAATCTGGGACTGTTCAGGTACACACCACACTGCTTCTCCTTTTGCACAATTTCAAGGTTTGGCCTGGAACGGATAAAGAAAGAGATCCCAATTCTCTCCAACTGACATGTTATTCTGATCTGAGTAAATATGGATCTTCCTATACTGTAAGCCTTGAAAGGACCGTGTACAATATTTCAGCCAGCATTTAAACTTTATTTAGTTGCATAAGTAAGGAAACACAAGCTGATTAGGGAGGTAACACCGATTGTCTGTGGAACAAAGAACTTACAGGTAGTCCTCAAGGTACCAAAGTTCGTTTAGTAGTCATTTGAAGTTACAACAGCACTGAAAAAAGTGGCTTAGGAACATTTTTCACACTTACGATCCCGATAGCCAGGGGATCAACATTCAGATATTTGTCAACTGGCATCTATAGATAGTCCTTTACTTACAACAATTCATTTAGTGACCATTCAAAGTGACAATGCCACTGAAAAAAGTGACATGACCGTTTTTCACACTTACTATCGTTGCAGCATCCCACGGTCACACGATCAAAATTTGGATGCTTGGCAACTGGTTCCTATTTATGACAGTTGCAGTGTCCCAGGGTCATTTGATCCCCTTTTGCGGCCTTCTGATGAACAAAGTCAGTGCCGGATTCATTTAACCGCTATGTGATTAACTGAACAACTGCAATGATTCACTTAACAACTATGGCAAAATGGGGCAAAATTCTCTTAACAAATGTCTCAGCAATGAAAATGTAGGCTCAATTGTTATCATAAATTGAGGGCTACCTGTACCAAAATATCCTTATCACTTTGTCTCGTTAGTCAATATAAGCAGTTACAGCAAACTTTATTTAAAGAAATTATTGTAATTTCCAGAGAACTCAGAGCAATTTCCTTTTAAAGACCTACTGCTGTCTCAGCTACCTCTGACAACATCTTTGCAAACACCGTTGAATTGTCTCCCAATTCATGCAATTCAACGGAGGATCTTTGATCAAGATTACTGATGTCATCCTGACCAATGTAATGGCTTCTAAACACACCTTTGTCTCCATCTCCTTTAGAGAAGCCAGCCGTCTTCATGAAATCTCTGGACGACGTGGTTGCCGAGGAACGAAGCACTATCACACTGGAATGTGAAGTCTCGAAACCAAAAGTGAAACCGGTGTGGAAGAAGGAAGAGGCGGAATTGATCCCAGGAGGCAAATATGAGATGTTGCAGTCTGGGAAGACCCTGGGACTCACCATCCGAGATCTCGGCAAAGATGACGCTGGTTGGTACACCTGTGACCTTGGGACAGACATCGCCAAGTCTAAAGTCATCATTCAAGGTGCGCAGAATGGTTGAGTCAGGAGAACATCATTCTCCATTTTGCAGTGGTGGGCTTCCACATCTCTTGGACATCCACAGTTGGTGTAGGATAGGGACTATGGGAGTTGATCCAGCAGCAGTACAACTATAGGGCATCGTGTGGGAGACGTCTTATCCTCACACTGATGTCCACTTGGTGCTTGGTGACCATGATCCAAAAGAGATAATGGGACTCTAGAAAGCCACAATAAAGACATTGAGCCTCTAGAAAGAGTGCAGAGAACTAAGATGATTAAGGGCCTGGAGACAAAAACATATGAAGGAATTGGGTATAGCCAGGAGGTTGCAAGATTTGGAAATGGCCAGCCTTGAGAAAAGAAGGACTAGGAGTGACATGATATTCCAGTATTTGAGGGGCTGACCCAAAGAGGTGTGGGTTAACCTCTTCTCCAAAGCACCTGAAGGCAGGACAAGAAGCAACGGATGGAAATTCATCAAGGAGAGAAGCAACCTAGAGCTAAGGAGAAATTTCCTGGCAGTGAGGATAATTAACCAGTGGAACTGCTTGCCACTAGAAGTTGTGGGTGTTCCAACAGTGGAGGTTTTCAAAAAGAGATTGGACAGCGATTGGTCTAGAATGGTATAGGGTCTCCTGCTCAAGCAGGGGGTTAAACTAGAAGACCCTTCCAATCCCATACAGTAATTGTGCGTTTTGATGTCTGCATCCCCACCTTGGTCATGTGACTGCGAACCACTTTTAAACTCTGGTTTTGGCCCAAAATGCCACATAGTGAACAATGGGTTCTCTTAATGACTGCAGCATTCACTTTACGATGCCTGTGTTCACTTCATGACTGCCACATAAAAAGTTGTAAAATCAGGCACGCTTCCATTGTGGCTGTTTTATTTTCATTACAACAACAATTGGGGGCTCAGTGACAGTTGTAACTTGAGGACTATCTGATTGATTGAGGCTCCTAAGAATTTTTAGTTTAATTATTTTAGTTTAGTTTAATTATTTTAATGTGCTATTTTAATTAATGAATTTTTAAATTTATGTTAAATTTAAAATGAAATGAAATGAAATTTAAATTATCCTATATGCCGGCGTATAAGACAACTTCCGGAAGTGCTAAACTCGGTGCCAAAGACATGGGTCGTCTTATACGCCGAGTCGTCTTATACGCCGGAAATACTGGTAGTTTCCGGCATATAAGACGACGTTCTAGGAATGCGGCTCGGTGACAAAGACGGGGGCCGTCTTATACGCCGGGTCGCCTTGTACGCCGGCATATACGGTAATTTTAATTACAGGTAGTCCTCAACTTATGGCAACAATTGAACCCAAAATTTCTGTTGCTAAGAGAGAGACATTAGTTAAGTGAGTTTTATCTCATTTTACGACCGTCCTTGCCACAATTGTTAAGTGAATCTCTGCAGTTGTTAACTTAGTGACACAGTTGTTAAGTGAATCTGGCTTCTCCCATTGACTTTGCTTGTCACATGGTCACAAAAGGGGATCACACAACCCCGGGACACTACAACCATCATAAATATGAACCACTTGCCAAGTATCCAAATTTTGATCACATGACCACAGGGATGCTGCAACGGTCATGAGTGTGAAAAACAGTAGTCACTTTTTTCAGTGCTGTTGTAACTTCAAACGGTCACTAAATGAATGTGGTAAGTCAAGGACTTCTGGTAATTATTTTAATTTAATCCACATCCTGTTTCTCCACAGAGCTGAACATCGGCATCACAAAGCGTCTAAAGAACGTTGAGGTGCAGGAAGGAGAGAGCTGTAGCTTCGAATGCATCCTCTCACATGAGAGTCTAGACGGTTGTCAGTGGTTGATCAATGGGAATGAAGTCAGCCATGACACCCGATATCGAGCCTTCAACAAAGGAAGGAAATACACCCTCATCATCAAGAAAACCTTAGTGACTGATGCTGGCGAAGTGGTGTTTTCCGTCCGTGATTTAAAATCCAAAGCTTCTCTTGTTGTGAAAGGTGCGTAGTGGGGGGGGGGAGGAGGGGGAGAAGGGGAGCTAAGATTGTATTAGAATAAGTCGGATGGGGTAGAGAATCCCATGAAATCATCAACCAAGGTGGGGTCCTGGGGGCTTTCTGAGGCTGATGGTTTCCTTGCAGACCTTTCCTGTTTCAGGAACATTTTGTTAAAGGAAGAATAATGAACTGATCAAATCAGTGCCTTAGATAGATAGATAGATAGATAGATAGATAGATAGATAGATAGATAGATAGATAATAAGAAACTGATTAATAATTGGATAGATGATTGAATAGATAAAGAGAGAGAGAATTAAAGAGACAGATGATTGGATAGAGAGAAAGATAGAATAAGAAAGTGAAAGATAGATAGAAGATATAGAGATAGATAGAATAAGAAAGTGATAGATTTGAGAGTTGGATGGATGACTGGATAAATAGAAAGAAGAGAGAGAGATAATAAGAAAATGATTAATAGTTGGATAGATGATTGGATAGATAGATAAAGAAAAAGAGGGAGTTAAAGAGAGATAGAGATAGATGATTGGATAGAGGGATAGAGAAAAAGATAGACATCCAGAAAGAAAGACAGATATAGATGGATAGATGGATGGATTTGAATAGATAGGTAGAGGGGCAGAGAGAGAGAGAGAGAAAGAGAAAGAGGTGAAGAGAAAGAGAATTAAAAAGAAATAGATTCATGATTGGATGGATAGAAGGAAAGAATAAGAAAGCAGAGATGGATGACTGAATAGAGAGAAAGAGATAGATAGATAAACAAACAGATAAATATAGATGATTGAATAGATAAAAATACAAAGAGAGAGAGAGAAAGAGAGAGAGAGAGAGATGCTTATTAACTGCTATCTTTCCCCCAAAAGTTATTTTACAATATAAAAGATTTGAAGTCCCCACAAAGGCTTAGAAGGAAATAGACCACCATTTCAGACATATGGCTGTCCTGTGGTGAACTGACCAACTTGTGAGAGTCAAACAACCCCTTGAAATTTCTACACAGTGAAGTTGCACACATGCAGCCATTTCATAGCCATGGGTCTAAATCCAGCCTTATTTTTCTGTCTGTGATGGCTGAAGATGTGCGAGAGGCAACAGCAATTATGGTGTCCTCTCTCTGACCTAGTTTCCTATCTTTTCTTCCCCACAGAAAAACCCGCCGAATTCATAAGACAGCTGGAGGACAAATCCACCTCAGTGGGACGGGAGGTCAGCCTGAGTTGTGACTTGTCTAGATGGGACAATAACCTGAAGTGGAAGAAGGACGGCAAGGAGATTCGGAGGAGTCAAAAATACGACCTGCGTCAGGAAGGCAACCGGGCGATATTAATCATCCATGACACCACAGTGAAAGATGGCGGAGAATATACCTGCGAGATTGAATTCTCCAAAACAAAAGCCACATTATTGGTGGAAGGTCAGTGATGGGGCTACAGATAGTCCTCAATTTACAATGGTTTCTTTAGTGACCATTAGAAGTCACAATGGCACCAAAAGAAGTGACTTAGGACCATTTTTCATACTTATGACCTTTGCAGCATCCCTGTGGTCACATGATCCAAATTCAGATGCTTGGCCATTGACTCATATTTTTGACGGTTGCAGTTTCCTAAAGTCATGTGATTCCCTTTTGCGACCTCCTGCAGAGGCCAGATTTACTTAACAAACAATTTACTAACTGAACAACTGTAGCGATTCACTGAACAACTGTGGCAAGAAAAGTCATGAAGTGGGGCACAACTCAGTTAACAACAATCTTGCTTAGCAACAAAAATTTAGCAACAGAAACTATAATCCTAATCCTTTACATGTAACCCTTGACTTACAATCACAGTTGAGCCCCAAATTTCTGTTGCTAAGTGAGATAGTTGTTAAGTGAATTTTGCCCCATTTTACAACATTTCTTGCCATAGTTGTTAAGTGACTCAATGTAGTTGTTTAGTTAGTGACATGGTTGTTAAACCAATCTGGCTTCCCCATTGACTTTGTGTGTCAGAAGGTCACCAAAGGGGATTATAAATACAAGCCAGATGCCAAGTGTCCAAATTTTGATCACGTGACCATTGGGATGCTGCAATGGTTGTAAATGTGAAATACAGTCAAATATCATTTTTTTTCAGTGCCATTGTAACTTCAAACTATCACTAAACGAACCATTGCAAGTCGGATGGAAAGAAGGCAATTCGCTGAGTTCCACACACTGAACTCATGCTTATGACCAGTGATTATTATAAATAAGAAAACTCATTATAAATGAATTTATTTCTCTTGCTAAGTTTGATGGGACCTTTGATTTTATATTAAAGTTTGTTTAAGTACCAAATTGGGTCCCATATTAATACTGTTGTTGTTGTTGTTGTTGTTGCTGTTGCTGTTGTTGTTGTTGTTGTTCTTCTTCTTCTTCTTCTTCTTCTTCTTCTTCTTCTTCTTCTTCTTCTTCTTCTTCTTCTTCTTCTTCTTCTTCTTCTTCTTCTCCTCCTCCTCATCATTATTATTATTATTATTACTATCATTAATTATTTCTATTATTTCATCCATTCCAGAAGGTGGAAACTGCTTTGTGAAGGATCTTGAAGACTTGAAGGTGGAGGAGAATAAGAATGTCATCCTCACCTGTGAAACCAAGAAACCAGCGTCTGCTGTGACATGGAGGAAAGGCATCGTTGATCTTCAAGCCGGCCAGAAATATGAGATCAGCCAAAAAGGGACCATCTTGCAACTCCTCGTGAAGGATCTCAGAGAAAATGATAGTGACATCTACACGTGTGACATTGGTGACAGTCAATCCAGTGCAAAGCTGGTGGTGCAAGGTAGGACCGATGTCTGATTGGTTTAAGTTGTGTAGAAATAAAATCAGAGAGAAGCCTCTAATTAAGTAGAGGTGGTCCCTGACTTATGACCACAACTGAGCCCCAAATTTCCATTGCTAAGCAAGACAGTTGTTGTGAGTTTTGCCTCATTTTACATCCGTTCTGGCCATAGTTGTCAGATTAATTATTGCTATTGTTAAGTTGGTCACATGGTTGTTAAGGGAATCCGGCTTCCCCATTGGCTTTGCTTGTCAGAAGGTTGCAAAAGGGAATCACGTGACCCCCAGACAGTCATAAATATGAGTCAGTTGCCAAGCATCTGAATTTTGATCATGTGACCATGGGATGTTGCAATGGTCGTTAAGTGTGGAAAATGGTTATAAATCACTTTTTTCAGTGCCCTTGTAACTTCAGATGGTCACCACACAAACTCTTGTAAGTCAAGGACTATCTGTATACCAATATGATTAGTTTTTTTAAAAATGGTTTATTTCTCTTCCTTCCTGTTTCATCTTTTTTTTGTATTTTAGGCCTGCCGGTAGTTTTTAACCAAGAACTGCAAAACAAAGAAGCACAGGAAGGGAATAAAATCCGTCTTACTTGTGAGCTTAACAAATCAGACGTCCCTGTGCAGTGGATGAAGGGCAATGTAGTCCTGGAAGCGGGGGACAAATACGAATTCAAGCAACGAGGTCCCGTGACTGAACTCGTCATCCGGGACGCAAAGCCGTCGGATGCAGGGGAATATATTTGTAAAAGTGGAGACTTGAAGACTTCTGCACGGGTGGAGGTGACAGGTAGGAGAGCTTTGATAATGTTTGCCAGTATTGAAAGCAATTCTGGACGTAATGGTCTTCTGAAGTTCTCCATCCCTGAGATTGGTAGGAAAAAATGGGTGGAGAATCTCAGGGTCTCGAGAGAAAGAGGGATTCCAGCATTTACTCAAGCGCAGGTGTTCCTTTTGATTTTTGAAAAGGCTGAGATGATTTGCTTGGGCATGGTAGACCTCTGTGAGAAGAAGAGGGTTGGACTAGCCTAGATGGGTCCAATTCAATCGGGCATTGCTTACATTCATCTCATATCTCACATCAGAATCTCCTATATCTCTTATATCTGATACACATATCTCATATCTTGTATCTCATCTCATATCTTATACCTCATATCTCTATTTCATATCTCAATATTATACCTCATATCTCATACCTTATACCTCATACCTGATACTCATATCTCATATCTGTATCATATACTTCACACTTCGTATCTCAAATCTCATATCTTATACCTCGCATATTTCAATCATATCTCAGTATGTAATAGTAATAGTAGTAAAGTTGGAAGGGACCTTGGAGGTCATCTAGTCCAACCCCCTGCTCGGGCAGGAAACCCTACGCTATTTCGGACAAATGGCTGTCCAGTCTCTTCTTAAAAACTTCCAGTGTTGGAGCATTTACTGCTTCTGGAGGCAAGCTGTTCCACTGATTAATTGTTCTCACTGTCAGGAAGTTTCTCCTTAGTTCTAGGTTGCTTCTCTCCTTGATTAGTTTCCACCCGTTGCTTCTTGTCCTGCCTTCAGGTGCTTTGGAAAATAGCTTAATTCCCTCTTCTTTATGGCAGCCCCTGAGATATTGGAATACTGCTATCATGTCCCCCCTTGTCCTTCTCTTCGTTAAACTAGACATACCCAATTCTAGCAACCGTTCCTTATATGTTTTAGCCTCCAGTCCCCTAATCATCTTTGTTGCTCTTCTCTGTACTCTTTCTAGAGTCTCAACATCTTTTTTACATCGTGGTGACCAAAACTGGATGCAGTATTCCAAGTGTGGCCTTACCAAGGCATTGAAGAGTGGTATTAATACTTCACGTGATCTTGATTCTATCCCTCTGTTAATGCAGCCTAGCACTGTGTTGGCCTTTTTGGCAGCTGCAGCACACTGCTGGCTCATATTTAAGTGATTGTCTACTAGGACTCCGAGGTCCGTCTCACAGTTACGACTATTGAGCATGGTGCCACCTATGCTGTACTTGTGCATTTGGTTTTTCTTGCCTAAATGTAGAACCTTGCTTTTTTCACCATTGTATTATACCTCACATCTCATATCTCATACCTCGTATCTCATACCTGATACCTGATACTCTTATCTCATATCTTGTATCTCAATTTCATATCTTATACCTCATACCTCATATATTTCAATCTCATATCTCAATATTATACCATATTTCATACCTCATACCTCGTATCTCATACCTACCTGATACTCATATCATATCTTGTGTAATAATAATAATAATAATAAAGTTGGAAGGAACCTTGGAGGTCATTTCATCTCATATCTTATACCTCATATCTCATATCGTATCTCAAATCTATCTCATATCTCATATTTTATACCTTGTACATAATTTCATATCTCAATATTATACTTCATATCTCATACTTCATGCCTCATATCTCATGTGTCGCATCTTGTATCTCATCTCAATTTCATATCTGATACCTCATTCCTCATATCTCATTCGTATCTCAATCTCATACATATGATATCTTGTATCTCATATCTCAAATCTCAATCTCATCTCAATCTTTTACCTCATACTTCACATCTCACACCTCATACCTCATGTCTCATATCTCGTATCACATCTCAATTTCATATCTGATACCCCATATCTCATTCATATCTCAATTATACCTCATATATGATATCTCATACTTCATATCTCATACGATATACCTCATATCTCATTTCGCTCATACCTCACATTTCATATCTTATATCTCATACGTCATATCTCAATCTCATATATCATATCTCATTCATTTCATCATATCTCATTCCCTCAGTCCTTGGTGCTCCCTGAGGTTACTTGTTTTCTTTCAGACATCTCATGACCCAGCTAGGTAACATCATCAGTACTAGAAGAGAGGGGAGTTTATAGAAAGGAGGAGGAAGAGAAGGAGGACAAGAAGGACTGTAAGGTCCTTGGTGTCTTTTGAACTTGGTTGTTTCTTTGCAGATGTCTCATTACCCAACTAGATAACATCATCAGTGCTAGGTGGTTTATTTATTTAGAAGATTTACTTATTGCACTCTGCTGCTGCCCAAACTGAGCGGACTGTGTTTTCCTGTACAAATCCAATTTGTTTTCTGTTGCCATATCAGCTCACATGCAAGTTTTCCTCCAAAACCTTACTTTGCCTCCTTATCCTGATCGTGCCTTTTAGCGGCCCCTGCCATTTTTAAGGAAGAGCTTAAAGATGTGGAAAAGAAAGAGGGCGAGACGGTTGTTTTGTGCTGCGTCCTTGCCGCACCAGAGGTCACAGTGGCATGGAAGAAAGGTGCGACTCTCCTTCGGCCGAGCGAGAAGTATGAGATGAAACAGGATGGCTGTGTGGCTGAGCTGCTGATTCACCATGCACAACCGGAGGATGCAGGAAAATATACTTGCAATGCGGGAGAGAAGCAGAGCACAGCTCAGATCAAAGTCCACGGTAGGGAAAGATGATGGACATGTTCCTCATCTTCGCTTGCTCTTTCTTTGTACAAATGTCTGTGGAGATTCTCAGTCATGGTTGTCCCAAAGGTATATATTTTCAAAAGACAACTGGACTTTGTTTTTCCTTAAAGACATTTCACCTTACATCCAAGAAGCTTCTTCAGTTCTGACTGAATGCTGGCGAATGGAAGGATTTATATTCCTGGCAGTCATCTCTTTCTGAGGCCACTTGAAGGTTTATCTGTGCCCGCGGGGTCACCTGAATATTGCCAATGGGTGATGGAGGCTATAGTGCAGTGAGACATGTACAGATCTGTTCACTGAAGAAACAAAACAATCACTTCACAAACGCCTGGCACAACATAGGACAGTGATGGCGAACCTTTTAGAGACCGAGTGCCCAAACTGCAACCCACTTATTTATCGCCGGGTGCCAGGTGGGCATGACCCACTGGGTGGGTGTGGCTATAGTAATCATGGCAGACTGGATGGGTGTGGCCAAGGTGGGTGTGGTCACCTTGATGTTGATCATGGGGAGGGACACCTGTGGGGGCTGGGCAACATTGGGGGAGATCCATGCGGTCTCTGGCAGGTGGGGTGGTAGGCAGGAGGCTCATCCTGTGGGGTGAGGCAAGGCAAGGCAGAGCGGGGGTGCCATTGTCACAGGGCAAGGTGAGACGGGCTGGGGCAGCTGCTGCCTGACACCATCAATCCCCTCACACAGAGGCCAGCAAGCGCATGGGGGCCGACAGTGTCCGTCAGCAGTCACAGCCTGCTGGCCCCTCAGCCGGTGCACTTTGGGACTCCGCAGCCCGCTGTCAGCAGTTCAGAGAAGCCGCCTCTGAGCTGGATGGCCAGCGGACAGCTGAGGAGGCAATGCAGTGGGTTGTGCCCTGGAAAAGGAGAGCATGTGAGGCCAGGAGGAACAGGATGAGGGGAAGGGAAACCAGCCATGCTGGGATGCATCTGGCCACGTGGGACCTTGGCGAGTTAGCGGATGGCTGGTTGAAGAGGGACGGTTGCCATCTCTGGGGCATGGCGTGCGTGCCCACAGAGAGGGCTCTGAGTGCCGCCTCTGGCATGCGTGCCATAGGTTCACCACCACTGACATAGGAGAATAAACCCATTGGACCAGATTCAGTCGTCCATCTGCATTTAAAAGCAAAGTCCACATTCTGGACAGAGAGGATCACTGGTTTGAAAAAGGGGTGAAAAAGGCCATCTACATTAAGACTGAACACTCTCAGCAAAGGGGGGAGAGATATGACACCACCTGTCTCCTGTTTGCACCAGAGTCCTTTCAGCAGTTCCAAGAAGGCTGCACACCCATTTGCACTATTCAGGTAACCCTGAGGGCTCAAATAAACCTCAAGTGGTCTCAACAACTCTCAGAGAGAGTGCTAACAGCCAGATGAGTGCAAGGAATACAGATAGTCCTCAACTTACAACCACAATGGAGCCCAACATTTCTGTTGTTAAGTGAGACATTTGTTAAATGAGTTTTGCCCTGTTTTACGACATTTCTTGCCACAATTGCTAAATGAATCACTGCAGTTGATAAGTTAGTAACCTGGTTGTTAAGTGAATCTGACTTCCCCGTTGACTTTGCTTGTTAGAAGGTTACAAAAGGGGATCACATGACCTTGGGGCACAGCGACCGTCATAAGTATGAACCAGTTGCCAAGCATCTGAATTTTGATCACAAGATCATGGGGATGCTTCAAAGATCGTAACTGCGAAAAATTGTCATAAGTCACTTTTGTCAGTGCCATTGTAACTTTGAACAGTCATTTAATGAACAGTTGTAAGTCGAGGGCTACCTGTATAAATCCTTCCATCCGCCACCATTAAGTCAGATCTGAAGAAGCTTCTTGGATTAATAGAGAAACAACTACAGGGAAAAACAAAGTCCAGTTGCTTTTTGAAAAATCACCTTTGGGGCTACCTGTATTGTAAGGCTACACGAACAGAATTTTCAAAATTGAAAATATTTTTCCCTGCCTGAAAAACTAGAGAGGGTCCCTTCTGAAAGGCTTTCCACGTCCCTTTTCTTTCAGTCGATGGAGACACCTTTTATCTGCCAGTTCTCCAATCTGCAACTCTCCCTCCTGTCTCCCAAGGTCATTCACACATACCATTATATCATCCCCCCCTCTTATTATCTATCTATCTATCTATCTATCTATCTATCTATCTATCTATCTATCTATCTATCTATCTATCTATCTATCTATCTATCTATCTATCTATCTATCTATCTATCTATCCCATCCATCCATCCATCCATCCATCCATCCATCCATCCATCCATCCATCCATCCACATCTATGTTTTGTCTATATCTATCTTGTCTATATCTAGCTATCCATCCATCTAGCCAGTGCTTTTTTTCTAAAAAAAAAAAGGGTGCCGGAACTCTGTTCTGGGCGTTCTATGAGAAAAAAAGCCCTGCATCTAGCAGTCTGTCTGTCTGTCTGTCTGTCTGTCTGTCTGTCTGTCTGTCTGTCTATCTATCTATCTATCTATCTATCTATCTATCTATCTATCTATCTATCTATCCATCCATCCATCCATCCATCTATCTATCTATCCCATCCATCCATCCATCCATCCATCCATCCATCCATCCATCCACATCTATGTTTTGTCTATATCTATCTTGTCTATATCTAGCTATCCATCCATCTAGCCAGTGCTTTTTTTCTAAAAAAAAAAAAGGGTGCCGGAACTCTGTTCTGGGCGTTCTATGAGAAAAAAAGCCCTGCATCTGTCTGTCTGTCTGTCTGTTTGTCTGTCTGTCTGTCTGTCTGTCTGTCTGTCTGTCTGTCTGTCTGTCTGTCTATCTATCTATCTATCTATCTATCTATCTATCTATCTATCTATCCATCCATCCATCTATCTATCTATCCCATCCATCCATCCATCCATCCATGTATCCATCCATCCATCCATCCATCCATCCACATTTTGTCTATATCTATCTATCTATCTATCTGTCTATCTATCTATCTATCTATCTATCTATCTATCTATCTATCTATCCATCCATCCATCCATCCATCCATCCATCCATCCATCTATCTATCTATCTATCTATCCACCCAGCTGTCCTTCAATCTCTCTCTCTCTCTCTGCCTGCCTGCCTGCCTATCTGTCTGTCTGTCTATTTGTATCTATCAATCTATCATCTCTGTCTCAAAACCCATAGTCAGTTTAAAAGACTCTTGCTCTCTTGTTTAAATCACTTCAAAAAGATCTCTCCACCACCCTGTATTGTCCTAACAGCTCCTCATGGCTACCTGTCTATATTCTGGGGCTAGAAACATGGTTGTCTAAAGGGGGTGGTCAAATGAGTGCAATCAAAGTTCTACTCATTTTCTTTGCATTTGATGCATTTGCCGATTTGACCTCCTTTATAATATAACTTGAATCTAATATTGCTAAGTGATCCTCTTGTATTTATGCGCACACTCCATATTTTTGTCTGTAACCCTTCATCCTCCAGCTGCACCCGTCAGCTTTAAAGATAAACTGAAGAATGCCGAAGCTCTGGAAGGTGGAGTAGCTACTCTCTGCTGTGAATTAAATAAACCCGCTCCAGTGGAGTGGGTGAAAGGACAAAAAACTTTACGGCCGGGCAGCAAATACCGAATGAAGAAAGAAGGTGCCATCGTCGAGTTGACAATTCATGATCTGGACTTGAAAGACGCTGGAGATTATACCTGCATTTCTGGAGACCAACAGACGACTGCAGTCTTAACCGTGAACGGTAAAAAAAGCCAAATCAAAGCACAGCTTTGCTTATCTTATGGAGGTGTTCCTACACCCCTATATTGGTGTCCTTTCAAAGTTTGACCATCTTGGTTTACTCTCTTTTGCCTTGGCCTTCTGTGCGTTCTTCAGGCCTGAAGATCTCTGCTTTCCTTTTCAGCTTGACAGGAAAGGATGCTTTGCAAATTGTTTCTGAGCATTGGCATTGGTAGAGCAGGTGAAAATAGTCCTCGTGTCCGTTTTAAGCAAGGCTGAATCCTGTTTCTCCAAATAATTCTGTCTTGTGTGTGTTCAACTTTTGACCTTAGGAGAAGTCTACTTTGGGGACCATCTTCCAAATTTGGAATGGGTAGCAACTGTTGAGAACACACCAGATGGTAATCCATGGGTGTCACACTAGGACATGTGTGTGTGAGAGAAATAGTCTTCCCTATAACTTGCTGCTGTTGATGTAGTAACATCTCCTTCTGTGCCCTTCAGCCGTGGCTGCACATTTCAAAACTCAACTGAAGAACCAGGAGGTGACTGAGAGTGGAACTGCCACTCTGCATTGCGAGTTGACCAAAGCTGTGGATTCGGTCGTGTGGATGAAGGATGAAGAAGTACTGAAACCGAGTGAGAAGTACCGAATGAGACTTGAAGGGCGCTTTGCGGAGCTTTCCATCCAAGATCTGGAGGTCCCAGATGCTGGAAGTTATACCTGCGTGTGTGGGGATCAGAAGACCAGAGCAACTTTGAAAGTGAACGGTAATACGCTTTGCAACTGATCTTCCTTGGGTTTCTTAGTTTCTCCTGATAACTCTTTCATCAATCACCTGAAATGCAATTACTTCTAATGTAGTTTCAGAAGCAGGATCTTCTCCAAAATTTCATAAGCCTTGTTTTGGTTTTCCTGATTCCCCCCCCCCCCCTCGTGGTATGTTTCAAACATCGCAAGGGTTTTATCCATCAAGATCTAATTCAAGCAGTAATTTGATCCTGTCTTTCTCCATGTCGCGTCCTTCAGCACTGCCCGTGTTTTTCCAAGAAGAATTAAAAAACCAGGAAGTGACCGAAGGGGAATCGACCATTTTCCAGTGTAAGCTGAACAAAGCAGCAACTGTGGAGTGGTACAAGGGATCCAGGCTGCTGAAACCAGATGGAAAATTCCAGTTAAAACAGGAAGGTCCTTGTGTTGAACTGATGATCCAAGGCTTGGACATTGCTGATTCTGGAGATTATACTTGCAAATGTGGAGCCCAGAAGACTACAGCTAAATTGACCATAAATGGTAACACCCTTAATCACTGTATCTTAAAGTCTTTAATTTTCTACTTCTTCAATGAAACTCAGCATCGCAGTTCATCTTTTTACGTCTAACTTGCTTCTTCTTCATAAACCATTCTTTGACTTATGATCATCAATCTTGCAGTCTTATAAAATGGGATCTTAGTCTTTAAAACGTTTTGGTTTCCAAGGGAAGAGGTCAAAACATTTCTTCCTCAACATCCCTTTCGGGATATCCAAAAGTTTGCAGCAACTATTGGGAGAAGGCCTTATTTAAACTTGCACTGGGAAATGGCTGAAGAGACTAATTCAAAATACAGAATAACAGAGTTGGAAGGTACCTTAAAGGTCTTCTAGTCCAACCCCTTACTCAAGAAGGATACCCTATACCAGGGGTGTTAAACTCACCGTGTCACGTAACGTGTCGTGACGTATAGCGACTTTTTCCCCTTGCCGGAGCTGGGGTAGGTGCGGTTTCTGCGTAACGCATCCGGCCCATGGGCTGGCAGTTTGACACCTCTGCCTTATACCATTCCAGACAAATGACTGTCCAATATCTTTTTGAAATCCTGCAGGGATGGAGCAACCACAACTTCTGGAGGGGAAGCCATTCCACTGTTTAATTCCTCTCACCATCAGGAAATTTCTCTTTAGTTCTTCCATCCATCACTTCTTGTCCGGCTGTTAAATGCTAAATTCAGCAATAAGATTCTGTTAGTGGATTGGAAGATATACCTGCACCTGATTTATAAATCTGTATAGGTAGTTATCCAACTTTGTTGCTAGATCCTCCTAGACCAGTGGTTCTCAATCTTTTTAATGCTGCGACCCCCAGCCGATCGTAAGTCAAGGACTACTCAACCGGTCATAAGTCGAGGACTACTCAACTGGTGCAGCACCGTTTGCAGAATGGGACTTTTGGCGGGCTCAGCAGGGCAGAGACAGCCTGGACAATCCCTATTGGCTTTTGAAAGCCAATAGAATTAGACTCTATTCAAGAGAGTCTATTCTATTGGCCTTCAAAAGCCAATAGAATAAAAGGGAGTAGCACAGCTAAGGAAAAGGGGGGAAAAATGGCGGACTGCGTTGTTTGGCGACCCCCGTGAAATGGTCGTTCGACCCCAAATGGGGTCCCGACCCACAGTTGAGAACCACTGTCCTAGACTCCTATATGTCCTGTAGAAATGTAATAACAGGGAGCGAAAATTAAACAACATAAGAGATGAATAATGTTCTATTAATCTATGTTAATGGCATAGTTAATAGTTTCAAAGGATTAAACTCTTTGAGCAATAGATGTCCTAGTGAACAATTACTTAAATATGCACCAGCTGTGTGCTGCAGCTGCCAAAAAAGCCAACACAGTTTTAGGCTGAATTAACAGAAGGATAGAGTCAAGATCACGTGAAGTGTTAATACCACTTTACAAGGCCTTGGTAAGGCCACACTTGGAATCCTGCATCCAGTTTTGGTCACCACGATGTAAAAAAGATGTTGAGACTCTAGAAAGAGTACAGAGAAGAGCAACAAAGATGATTAGGGGACTGGAAGCTAAAACATGAAGAATGGTTGCAGGAATTGGGTATGTGTAATTTAGTGAAAAGAAGGACTAGGGGTGATATGATAGAAGTGTTCCAAAATTGGAGGGGCTGCCACAAAGAAGAGGGAGATTAACCTGCCCTCCAAAGCAACTGAAGGCAGGACAAGAAGCAATGAATAGAAATTAAATCAAGAAGAGAACCAACCTAGAACTAAGAAAAACTTCCTGACAATTCAAACATTCAATCTGTGGAACAGAAGTTGCTCCCAGAAGTTGTGGGTGATCCAATAATGGATCACAGCGTTGTAGGTTCATTGGTCTCGAGAATACAGATAGTCCTTGACTTAAAGACTGCAATGCAGCCCAACTTTTCTATTGCGGAGCAAAATAGTTTTTCAGTGACTTTGGCCCCATTTGATGACCTTTCTTGCCACAGTTGTTAAGAGAACCACTGCAGTTGTTACATAAGTCACACAGTTTTTATGTGAATCTGGCTTCCCCATTGACTTTGGTTGTCAGAAGTTCGCAAAAGGGGATCACGTGATCCCAAAATACTACAACCATCATAAATACATGCTAGTGCAAATTTTGATCCCCATGGGGATGTTACAGTGGGTCATAAATCACTTTATTCAGTCTTGTAACTTCGGTCACTAAATAAATGGTTGTAAGTCAAGGACTACCTGTACCAGTGATCATATGGATCCCAATTCATGGACGAATTAAGGAGAGTGTGGGCTGATGATTGGACTAGATCAGGCTTCCCCTATGTTGGCAATTTCCAGCAGTGTGGACTTCAAATCCCAGAATTCCAAGTCTCTTGTGGGTGATCCAATAATGGATCACCCACAAGAGACTTAAGAAGAGACTGGACAACCATTTGCCCAGAATGGTTCAGAGTCTCCTGGCTGAGCAGGAGGTTGGGCTAGATGACCTCCAAGGGCCCTCTCCAGTTCTATCATTTTATGTTTATGTTCCAAATGAGCATGAACTGAAATCAGGGATCCTGCTGTTAGCGGCATCCTCTCTATGGGATCCATTTGAAACTGGAGGCAAATGTCTACATATTTTTTTTTAATGAGTCAGATATTATTTATACAGAAATTCTAGCTAAAAAACTAGCCCTATCTCAATGGTCTTCTCTGCATGATCTAATATAGTGTTTCCCAAATATGGTAATTTTTTAGGCATGTGGATTTCAAGACTCAGAATTCTAATCAATGGTCCTGCTGGCTGTGGAATTCTGGGATTTGAAGTCCACACTGCTGGAAATTGCCAACATAGGGGAAGCCTGATCTAGTCCAATCATCAGCCCACACTCTCCTTAATTCGTCCATGAATTGGGATCCATATGATCACTGGTACAGGTAGTCCTTGACTTACAACCATTTATTTAGTGACCGAAGTTACAAGACTGAATAAAGTGATTTATGACCCACTGTAACATCCCCATGGGGATCAAAATTTGCACTAGCATGTATTTATGATGGTTGTAGTATTTTGGGATCACGTGATCCCCTTTTGCGAACTTCTGACAACCAAAGTCAATGGGGAAGCCAGATTCACATAAAAACTGTGTGACTTATGTAACAACTGCAGTGGTTCTCTTAACAACTGTGGCAAGAAAGGTCATCAAATGGGGCCAAAGTCACTGAAAAACTATTTTGCTCCGCAATAGAAAAGTTGGGCTGCATTGCAGTCTTTAAGTCAAGGACTATCTGTATTCTCGAGACCAATGAACCTACAACGCTGTGATATTTTTTACATCTAATGATGAAGTCAAGCTGAGTTTGCAAGAATTCCAGATTGTAAACTCCATAAGCTGGAGGTTAAAATGGTAATTTCCAAGCTTTTGCGCTCTGACAAGATGGGGATCCACAGGGATTGAACACATCTCATACAATAACCCATTAAGGAAAATGATTAGGTTGAATTATGCATCGTAATTAATGACCCCAATTGTTTGCTAAGGAAGGAGTTGTTTGTGCTCCCAGCTAACCCTGATGGACTTCTGTCCTATCATTCTCCATTCTTCAGCCCTGCCAGTCCTCTTCACCAAATCCTTGAAGGACGAAGAAGCTCTGGAAGGCAAAGTTGCCACTTTCCAGTGTGAGCTGAACAAAATATCTGCCCCCATAGAGTGGAAGAAAGGACACAAGATCCTTAAGCCAGGAAGCAAGTATAAAATGAAACACGAAGGAAAAATTGCTGAACTGGTCATCCAGAACTTGGAAGTAACTGATTCCGGAATCTATGCTTGTGTATCTGGAGAACAGCAAACCACAGCATCTTTAGAAGTCAAGGGTAAACCTTTATCTCTCCACATATATATTTCTTCTATTGGTTCCCTTGATCTCCTGGTCTTTCTCAGCCTTTTAGTTTCTCCTGAAATCCTGATCTTTGTGCTAGAGCTGGACTATATATGTTGACAATCTTTCATCAACTATCTTAGAATCACCACGTTTGAATAGATATCAGCAAAGTTTAGTTCCCTCAATCGAATTTTAATCTTTTTATTTAAAAAACCATTTTTCTTATTTCTGAAGGTATCCAAACATCAGATTCTTCTTATTAAGAGCTGAGATTGTCGTAATGTTCATAAGAACTTTCCTCAATTTGGGGCCTTCAAAAGGATTTCAGTAATGGGCGAGAAGACCCATTTATTATAATTATCTAAGCCAGTGGTTCTCAACCTTTCTAATGCCGCGACCCCATAATATAGTTGCCCATGTTGTGGTGACCCCCAACCACTTATACATCACCGGGTGCCAGGGGCGTGGCCAAAGAAAAGGGGAAAAAAATGGCGGACAGCCTTGTTTGGCGACCCCCATGAAATGGTCGTTCGACCCCAAATGGGGTCCCGACCCACAGGTTGAGAACCACTGATCTAAGCAGTTCAGATAAATCCATAGCAAATATTAACTTCACAGCTACTATTCAGCCTAAAATATATATGTTCAACCACTTTTTTAATGCTTGGAACTTAGAATTGCTATGATTGAGTAAAGAAGAACCTCAAGGAATCAAGAACAGATTCTTTCTTGGGTAAACCTGGAATGTAAGTGCCTCAGAAATGACCATATGCTTTAAACATCATACCATTATTTGTCTTCCCAGTGTGTCCCTGTTGGACAATAATTCTATAAAAATGTCTAACATAGTATTCTCCCAATCCATAAGTTCTTGTTTTGCTCTGTTTGACTTCCATGCTTGTATGATGCAGTAAATGTCCTATGAACAAAATCTCTTTGTTCCATCTCTTTGTTCCTCCATGCTTACTTTTCAACTCTGTCCTTGTTGCCATCTTCTCAGCTCTGCCCGTTCTTTTCAAAGAAGGGCTGAAGAACCGGGAAGCTGTTGAAGATACCACCACTACTCTCCATTGTGAGATGTCTAAAGCTGGGGCTGAGGTACAGTGGAAGAAAGGATCACAAACTCTTAAGCCAAGCGATAAATACAGAATGAGACAGGAGGGTCCTGTTGCTGAATTGTTGATTCGAGATCTGAAAGTGATGGACACGGGAGATTACTTCTGTGTGTGTGGAGATCAGAAGACCACAGCCGTCTTGACCGTTCATGGTAATCAGTTGTTCCATAGTCTGTTGTATTAATCATCTTGTGTAGTTTGCATTGTGATGTCTTGTCTCCATTTTGGTCACTTGGTCAAGTAACCCTGTTTGTGTCCAAAGTTAACAAGAGTGTCATACCTTGACTGATGGTGGTTACAACTATTTTGGCAATGTCAGTTCTCATCAGGGTTTGAGTTGTCTGCTTGAGACCCTCAGAAGGTCCTTAAATTAAGCTTTGCCCCATGAGGTTCTCCAGCATGACATTCTCCAACATGAGGTTCTCCAAATTGATGTTCTCCAGAACATGAGGCTACAGTCCCAAAATTCCTAAGCAAGATTTTGTCCCACCACATCTGGACCTTCTTACATATTTAACAACTTCTTCAGACTCCTCACATTCTGTGTTCTTGGTTTGATGATGGGTACTTACTTTGCAAAAAGAAGATTCCATATCCATGTTGGAAACCCTAGCTACACAATACTTTTAGGTTGTGAAGGCAGATTTTTACGGGTTGAAAGTATCTTCCACAATGCTGGCCTTTGAAAATAGCTAGCTCAAGTCAGTAGACAGCCTTTGTCTTTTCATATATCACAAATCTCTTTCTTTCTTACAATTTCCTAAAATTATGCTACCATTTCTTCTCTCTTAATATCTTCTGCAAATTAAGATATTTCTCTCAAAACAAAATCTTCTTGATTCTGCAAAACTCCAGTGTGGTCTCTTTTCTCCTCTCACATAACAATATTCAAACTTTGCTAATACTTATCACAACATGCTAAGATTCCTTGATTTTACAAATCTATGCATTCCCACATGGAATGTTGGTGCTTTTTGATACAGGGACATATTATTTTTTTCAGGGCAAAAATCACAGTCCCTTAACAAAATATTCCAACTATCTAAAACAATTTCTTTCAGTTAGCTTCTTTCTTCTTTCTTCTTCTACAATGCCAAGAATTGATTCTGCATTTTTGAAATGTATTTCTTTAATTGTGTCCTACATCCTATATTTAGTTTATTTATTTATTAGATTTTTATCCCACCATTATTATTTTATAAGTAATGCAAGGTGGCAAGTATACATAATAATACTTCTTCCCAGTGCTTTTTTTGTAAAAAAAAAAAAAGGTGCCGGAACTCACACATGTCATACAACCCGCCTTGCCTACCCTACAAGGTTCCATCCCAAAAAGGTGCCGGAACTCCGTTCTGGGCGTTCTATGACTTACTACTTTTATTTTCCCCACAACAACATTGTGAGGTGGGCTGGGCTGAGGGGGGGGGGTGGCTCAAAGTCACCTAGTTGGCTTTCATACCTAAGATGGAACTAGAACTCACCACCTCCTGATGATTGGCCCAAAGTCACCCAGCTGACTTTTGTGCCTAAGAGAAAACTAGAACTCACCATCCCCTGATCACCGAGCTGGCTTTAATGCCTGAGGTAGGATTAGAACTTACCGTGTCCTGTAATTGGCCCAAAGTCACCCACCCACCAGTCTTCTATGCCTAAGACAGGTCTGGAATTCCCCATTTCCTGATACCTAGCCCAGCACCTTAATCACTACACCTTACTGACCCTCATATTAATGCCTTCTGAATCAAAACAGGAATCAGAAAACACCTCTTGCAATGAAATATATACTCTTTTTTTTAACTTAGCACCTTTCAAAAATATGTTGATTTTTCAACTCTAAATGCATTTCAACATTAGCTTATAAAATGATATTATTTTTTTCTAGTCTGTGTTGGACAGACTATACCTTTAACAAATCTATTTCTAGGCCCTGCATTTTAAGAAGGATGTTGACATTTTACAAATGCATATTTCCATGTTTTTATTTATTGATTAGTTTTATATTCCACTTTCTCTTCATTTGGAGATTTCCAGAATGATCTTTGTGCTAAAAGGAGCACATGAAATTGGCTCTCCTAATACAATATTTTAATCCTACGCTTTCATTTCTAACATGACAAAATTCCAAAACTAAACACTGCAAAATTTAACACTGGAAATTCCATGTTAAACTTTCATCTTAGTCCAGAATTTGAGCCAATTCCAAAGGATATTTTGCATTGTGTCTCTACATTTGTTCCTTTAAAGCAGTGGTTCTCAACCTTTCTAATGCCGCGACCCCATAATACAGTTCCCCATGTTGTGGTGACCCCCAACCACTTATACATCACCGGGTGCCAGGGGCGTGGCCAAAGAAAAAATGGCGGGCAGCCTTGTTTGGCGACCCCCGTGAAATGGTTGTTCGACCCCAAATGGGGTCCCGACCCACAGGTTGAGAACCACTGCTTTAAAGATATTTTAATTCAATTGTTTATAAAGGTATTCAGGAAACTTTCTTTTCTTCCTTCTTTTTAATTCTTTTTTTATCAGCTGCCTTCTTTTAATTTCTTTCTTTTTAAAGATTTTTTCTGCTGGACCCATTAAAATGCTATTTTGGAAGTATTTTATTTTTGTTCCTGAACTTCTGATTTTTGAATTGTTTTTGTACTATTGTTGCTTGCAGTTATATATCTATTTCTAGACTCATGTGCTAGTTCCAACTGAGTTATTTGTGCAGAGAAAAATGCCTACGCCTTTCCTGTCTTCTTTATGAAAAGCATTTGGTGAAACAGGAAAAAATATGAATTCCACAAACTGGAAGAATAATACTTTAGAAAAAGAATGTTTTTTTTTCATCTAAAATGTTTGATGAAATCCAAATGATGTAGAAAAGCAGAACAGGGCTATCATGCTTTACTGTATACATTTGTGGGGTTCAAATTTATTTTGATCTTTAAAACAAGAAGGTGACATCTCAGCTGAAAATGTGTCTTTAATAGAAATCTTTGATTTATTTATGATTTATTTATCCATCCACCCATCTATTCATTCATTCATTCATTCAATATCTGTATAGATGCCATCCTCCCTCCCTCTCTCCCTCTTTCTTTGTCCTTTCTTCCTCCGGGTAATCTTTTTTTCCTTCTTTCATCCCTCCCTCTCTCCCTCCCTCCTTCCCTTCCTTCTCTCTCCTTCCCCCTTTCTTTCCTCCCTCCTCTCTCCTTCCTTCGGTCCTTCCCCCTCCTTCCTTCTATCTTTCCTTCCTTCTATCTTTCCTTCCTTCTATCTTTCCTTCCTTCCTTCCTTCCTTCCTCCCTCCCTCCCTCCCTCCCTTCCTTCCTGCTTCCCTACCTTTCTTCTTTCCTTCCCCTTCCACATCCCCTTCAAAAAATATAACATGATTTAAACACTAAAACCATTCTAAAACTGTAATAGCAATAAAAACAATAAAAAAGGATGTTGATCTTTAGCATGCAGCAGAACAACCAGCTTCAAATTACAAATTGCATTTGTACAATGAATGTTGTCCATTATACCGTGACATCATCATGCAAATGGAAGTGATGATGTCATGTATTATGCACATTGTGTCATAAACCCAGCTGGCTGCACCCTTCAGATGCTCCTTTCCTTGAGTTCCTTTCATCTTGCATTCTTGCAAAAGCTCCCTTTTGCAAATCTCAAAATTCTGAAATTTAAAATGACCCACACCCTGTCGGTGTTATGTTCCACAGCCCTACCTGTGCGTTTCCAAGAAGAACTCAAAAGCCAAGAGCTCTTGGAAGGAAAGACGGCCGTTCTGCGCTGTGCATTAAATAAAACTGCTGCGGTGGATTGGAGAAAAGATGCACAGGCGCTCCAACCAAGTGCAAAATATAAAATTAAACAGAAAGAAAATGTTGTGGAGCTCACAATCCAGGATGTGACAGAAGAGGATGCAGGAGAATATTCCTGTATTTGTGGAGATCAAACCACGTCAGCCTCTATCAGTGTGCAAGGTAAATATGACACCTCTCTCTTCCTCTCCCTGATTAAAAGGACATGTTGGTGATATTCTTTGAGAATATCTGTAGCTCAGGGATGAATTGTGGGGTCCTTGATGCTCGCTGAGCTGGATTGTTTTTTTGCAGAACATTTTATGATCCATCTAGGGCAGTGGTTCTCAACCTGTGGGTCGGGACCCCATTTGGGGTCGAACGACCATTTCACGGGGGTCGCCAAACAATGCAGTCTGCCATTTTTTTCCCCTTTTCCTTAGCTGTGCTACTCCCTTTTATTTTATTGGCTTTTGAAAGCCAATAGAAGAGACTCTCTTGAATAGAGTCTAATTCTATTGGCTTTCCAAAGCCAATAGGGATTGTCCAGGCTGTCTCTGCCCTGCTGAGCCCGCCAAAAGTCCCATTCTGCAAACGGTGCTGCACCAGTTGAGTAGTCCTCGACTTACGACCGGTTGAGTAGTCCTCGACTTACAACCGGTTGGGGGTCGCGGCATTAAAAAGGTTGAGAACCACTGGACTAGGGAATATCATCAGTACTGGAAGGGAATGGGGTTTGCTGAGAGGAGGAGGAGGAAGAGGAAGAAGATTGTGGGATTCTTGGTGCTCTCTGAGCTTGATGGTTTTCTTGAAGACCCAGCTAGGTAACGTCATCAGTTACCTAGTGATGAGTGGCAAGTGATCAGTGTCGGACTGATCATGAGTCATGAAACATCTGCAAGAAAACCATCAAGCCCAGAGAGCACTAAGCACAATCTTTGGTGCCTGTTTAGAGTTTTAGGCTACTTTTGGGAAACAGTCCACAGTGCGGGTAAGTTTCTTTTTTTCCTCCAGTTTCTACATCCAGTTTCTGTGACAACCTGAGCTCCCATCCTTTTAAATTTCAGTTTGGATCTTAGAGTTATAAAAGGACCGTTAAGATTATCTGGCCCTGCATCCTCCCCAGGGAATCCTGGGCGCTCAAGTTTACCCATATTAAATTTTCCAAGGTTGAGAAACACTGATCTAGTCCCTTTAATTGCACCATTTTACTGGAAAAGCCGGAAAAATTATGTCTACGGTTGGATTAGGAGAGTACAGATCATCCTTGACTTATAACCATTTGTTTAGTGACCGTTCAATGTTACATTGGCATTGAAAAAACCTGACTTATGACCATTTTTCACACTTACGACCATTGCAGCATCCCAACGATCCCATGATCGAAATTTAAATGCTTGGCAACCAGTTCATATTTATGATGGTTTCAGTGTCCCAGGTTCATGTGGTCGCCTTTGGCGACCTTGTAACAACGGGGAAGCCAGATTCACTTAGCAACCATGTGACTAACTTAACAACTGCAGGGATTCACTTAACAACTGCAGCAAGAAAGGTCATCAAATGGGGCAGAACTCACTTAACAATTGTCTTGCTTAGCAATGGAAATTTTGGACCTTCACTGTGGTCGTAAGTTGAGGACTACCTGTAAGTGATTCTACACATAATCCTTAAGAGGAATCCTGTGGATTTATTCCAACTGAGGTGATGAATGACCTCAAATGTCTTCTTTACTCTCTCCAGCCTTACCGCCACGTTTCAAAGTCGACCTGAAGAACCTTGAGGCTGCCGAAGATGGCACCGCCACTCTGCAGTGCGAGCTGACCAAAACCCCTGCCCTTGTGAAGTGGTGGAAGGGCAGCGACGTTCTGAAGCCCAGCGACAAATACGAAATGAAATTGGAAGGTGTGGTTGCTGAACTGGTGGTCCATCACTTGCAACTGGCCGATACTGGGGATTACAGTTGCACTGTTGGCGATTCGAAGACTTCAGCTTTCTTAAGGGTGAATGGTACATAAAAAGTTTTGTTTCCAATAGTCATATCCGATACATGTAAAACGAAGAGAACTTCTAGGTTTCCTCTGGTCATCTTAGATGTGAGAAAGAGGTCAAAAGATCTTTACAGCGCTTCGAGGCTGAGTAAGATCAATAGAAGAGAATATTCATAGCTTGGGGTCGAACTATGGAGTTCTTGGTGCTCTCTGAACTTGGTGGTTTTCTTGCAGACATCTCATAACCCAGCTAGGTAATGTCATCAGTACTCAAAGGGTTGGGTTTGCAGGGAGGACAAGGAGGAGGAGGATGGGGGAGGAAAGGAGGGCGGGAGGGAGAAGGAGGAGGAGAACTTCTAAGCCAGTGGTTCTCAACCTGTGGGTCGGGACCCCATTTGGGGTCGAACGACCATTTCACGGGGGTCGCCAAACAAGGCTGTCCGCCATTTTTTCCCCTTTTCTTTGGCCACGCCCCTGGCACCCGGTGATGTATAAGTGGTTGGGGTCACCACAACATGGGGAACTGTATTATGGGGTCGTGGCATTAGAAAGGTTGAGAACCACTGTTCTAAGCAAATTCCTTCTAGGTAACATAATCAGTGCTAGAAGAGAGAGGGGCTTGTGGAGAAGAGGAAGAGGAGGAGGAGAAAGAGAAGGAGAAGAACTATAGGGTTCTTGATGCTCTCTAAGTTCGGTGGTTTTCTCGCAAATGTTTTATGACCTAACTATATAACATCATCAGTTCAGGAAGGGAGTGGGGTTTGCTAGACCCACTCCCTTCTAGCACTGATCATATTGCCTAGTTTGGTCATGAAACATCTGCAAGAGAGCACCAAGGACCCCACAGCTAAGAAATATCCTTATATTTCACAATATATAAAGTACAGATAATATTCATTCATTTGCTATGGATCCTCCAGATGACCGTTGTATCTGATGCCATATTACAATTTGTTGCTGATGGGAACAGGAGAGGGAGGCCCCTTTCAGCAATTTTGGTAACTAGGAGTGTCTTTGATGTTTCTAGTTCTTTGAAGTAACACAGCAGGCTGTCTGTGAGGAATATGAATTCTGATAAGAACCGGTTCAAACCTGCTAAAGATAAGGATTGTATAAAGAGTCGAACTCTAGTAACCCTCCAATACATAATGCCTCATTATGAGTAGTCCTTGACTTACAACCATTCATTTAGTGACCATTCAAAGTTACAATGGCGCTGAAAAGACTGACTTACAACCATTTTTCATATTTAACAATCATTGCAGCATCCCCACGGTGATCAAAATTCAGATGTTTGGCAACTGACTCGTATTTACGACGGTTGCCGTGTCCAGGGGTCATGTGATTCCCCTTTTGTGATCTTCTGACAAGGAAAGTAAATGGGGAAGCCAGATTCACCTTACAACTGTGTTAGTAAATACGAGTCAAATGTGTGAATTTTGATCACGTGACCGTGGGGATGCTGCAACCATCATATATCTGAAAAATGGTCATAAATCACTTTTTTCAGTGCCACTGTAACTTTGAATGGTCACTAAATGAACTGTTGTAAATTGAGGACTACCTGTAACAGATTTGGAAGGGATCTTGGAGGTCTTCTAGAAGACAGCCCTGCTAATGGATCTTGCCAATGTTTATGGCTAACAGAACTTGAAAGGAAAGGGGGAGAATGGTCAATGGGGCCCCCAAATGGATCCTTTTCTTCAGCATCTGGGTATTCACCGTCTTTCTTCCTCCTGAACCCGTCCAGCCATCCCTGCGAGGTTCAAGAAAGGTCTGGAGGACCAAGAAGCTTCAGAAGGTGGAACAGCTGCTCTTCGGTGCGAGCTGACAAAAACAGCTACGGTGGAGTGGAAAAAGAAACACAAGACACTGCGTGCAAATGACAAATACAATCTGAAGCAGGAAGGCCCTGTGGTAGAGTGTGTGATCCACAACCTTGATCTTGGAGATGCAGGAGAATACTCCTGTGTCTGTGGTGATCATAAAACGACGGGGGCTCTGGCAGTCCGTGGTAAGTCAACCTATCTTGAGTTCGGTATTTGGCAAATCTGTTTTTTTTGCCTCCTTTGTGGATGTCAGCTTGTGGTTTGTCTTTCACAGTCTGCCTCCCGTTCACTGGAAACCTTTCTTCTTCCTGTTGTGTTGCCAGTATTGGTCTTTAGTTCTAGAACAATGGTTTTCAGATATGGTTCTAGGAAACCCTTGCATTTTCCAATGGAGAATCAGAAGTGAGAAAATGTCCAAGGTCTGAACATCATATGGCTTTGTCTTGACACAGTTGTTTATTAAAGCTGATGGTGAAGGCCAAAGGCTCCTGAGTTGTCTTCCATGATCTTTGTGTGTGCTCAAAAACATAAGTCTGAGATATTCTAGAACAGAGGTCCCCAACCTTTTTGGGCACCAGGGCCTGCTTCCATGGAGAGAGGTTTTTCTGTGGACCAGAGGGTGTGTGATTTTGTGTGCTGCCTGCATCCCATGAATGGGGCTTTGCTTGTTTGTGTGGACCGGTTGCTGGCCTGCTGCAGACCGTTACTGGTCCACAGACCGGGGGTTGGGGACCCCTGTTCTAGAACAATAGGATTGGAAGGGACCTTGGACATCTTCTAATCCATCCCTTACTCTGGAACAGAACAGAAGAAAAGGAAGGAAGGAAGGAAGGAAAGAAAGAAAATATGAAGAAATGAAAAGAAGGAAGAGGAATGACAATGTAAAAAGAGGGAGGGAAGGAAGGAAGGAAGGAAGGAAGGAAGGAAGGAAGGAAGGAAGGAAGGAAGGAAGGAAGGAAGGAAGGAAGGAAAAGTGACAGGGAGGTTGGGAGGGAAAAAGGAAGGAAGGAAGTGAGGAGGAGGGGAGGGAGGAAAGAAGGAAGGCAGGAAACAGGAAGGAAGGAAGGAAGAAGGAAAAGGTGGTTGGGAGGGAGGGAGGGAGGAAGGAAGGGCAACAGGGTGAGAGACAGAAAGGAAAAGAAATATAAAGGAAGGAAGGAAAGTACATATCCTATTTTGCTCTCACCCCAATTCCCTACCTCTGACTTAACCTTGTCCAAAGTCCATCTACCCTGGACAATTTCATATCCTCCTCTTATGTCCTACAGCCCTACCTCCCCAATTCAAACAGGAACTGAAGGATGTGTCAGCCACCGAAAATGAAACAGCCACCTTGCATTGTGAACTCACCAAAGCTGCTCCCGTGGAATGGGTGAAGGAAGGAAACAAATTAAAAGGGGACAAATACCAATTCAGACAGGAAGCGGCTGTCGCGAAGTTGGTGATCAGCAGTTTAGAAGTTGAGGATGCTGGACGTTACACCTGTATTTGTGGAGACCAGAAAACTTCAGCCGTTTTGACTGTTAACGGTAAAATGTGCACAAATTTATTAATAGATAATATGTAAGTCTCATTTAATGAAGAGAAGGACCAGGGAGGACATGATAGCAGTGTTCCAATATCTCAGGGGCTGCTACAAAGAAGAGGGGGGTCAAGCTATTCTCCAAAGCTCCTGAAGGCAGGACAAGAAGCAACGGATGGTAACTAATCAAGGAGAGAAGCAACCTGGAACTAAGGAGGAATTTCCTAACAATGAAAACAATTACTCAGTGGAAGGACTTCTCTTCAGAAGTTGTGCATGCTCCAACATTGGAGGTTTTCAAGAAGAGATTGCATAACATTTGTCTGGAATGGTATAGGCAGTGATGGCGAACCTTTTAGAGACTGAGTGCCCAAACTGCAACCCAAAACCCACTTATATATCGTTGAGTGCCGAGTGGGTGTGGCCCATGGGGTGTGTAGCCCATTGGGTGAGCATGGCTGCGATGATAACTGGGTGAGACTGAAAAGTTCAATTAATCAATTCCAACTTTGCGAGAACTTTTTTTTCTCTGCGAGAAGTTGAAATTGACTGATTGATTGAACCTGTTTTTTTTGCACACAGCAGCGGAGGCCTAAAGCAAAAAGGTTTTATAAAACCCAGCTGAAGGCCTAGGACTGGGGTGACGGCGTGCGTGCCCACAGAGAGGGCTCTGAGTGCCACCTCTGGCATCCGTGCCATAGGTTCTCCACCATTGGTATAAGATGTCTTGCTTGAGCAAGGGGTTAGACTAGAAGACCTCCAAGTCCCTTCCGCCTCTGTTATTCTGTTATTGAATAATGTTTCATCGCTGTCAATTTTTACTTGGGACATTAAATATCCATGGTCCTGTAGAACACGAACCCCCAACCTACCAGGCCTACCTATTCAGAAAATGGCCTCCCCCATCCCCAGCCAGGCCGTAGAGCTGCAAAGGTTGAGGACCGCTGCTTTAGAATCTTTATTCAACAGGCTTCTATTTTTCTGAAATTGCTCAGAATTTCACTTAATGGAAGAAGGGTTAAATGTTTTACTTATGCCTGTTCTTTTTGACTCTGCAGCCCTCAAGCCAGAATTCACACACCGGCTGAAGGATGAGAAAGCAGATGAGGGCAGCACCGTTAGATTACGCTGTGAGGTGACCGTCCCTAAAGCCACAGCAGAGTGGCGCAAAGATGGTGCAAGAATCTGTGCTAGTCCCAAATATGACATCAGACAGGATGGTGGCATCCGTGACTTACTCATTCATAATTTGGAACCCCAAGACAGTGGAAAGTATTCATGCAGTGTTGGAGACCAAACCACTTCTGCCACATTATCTGTGCAAGGTATGAATTTTTTGAATCAGACTAGAACTGTCACCTGGTATTTGGTTCAAAGTCACCCAGCCAACTGTCAAGCCTAAAGCAGGATTAGAATTCATTCACCACTTAGAGAGTGCTTGCACTTAAAGCGGTATATAAGTCTCATAAATAAATAAATAAATAAATAAATTGTCTCCTGTTGCTTGATTGTAAAGAATTCAGTTTTTGTAACAGATTTTTTAAAAGTCTGGATCATCTTACCCTATTGTGTTGTCTCAGTTACTAACTTTCACACTTTTAATTCTAACAACTTCTGTGGATCCCACCCTATATTTTAAGAGGTCCCTAAGGGAGCATGCATAAGACAACTAACATACCGATTGTCCCTGTTAACATTTTAATTTTTTCATTTTGCTCATTCGTATGTGTAATTTTCATGTGATGAAAAAATATACATCCATAGATATTAAATTTTTTATATGAAGAATATGAATATTCTTCTTATGAAAATTCAAATTCAAATGAGCCATTGAAAAAATTAAAAGGTGACAGAGGTGATAAGATGATTTATATACATATAAATGACAGCGAGCTAGCTAGACAACGAGCTAGCTAGATATAGATATAGGTATAGATACAGATAAATATATAGATATAGATATGCATTTCACCTCTTTCGTCTTAGGTCTATCCCTTTCAAGAATGTTTATGAAATAAATAATGTTTAATCATAATATTTTACTTCCTGGGACATCAAACATACATTGATCCTGTACAACCAATTTTCCCCAGGCTCCTATTTTTTCAGAAATTGGTGGGAACTGTCACTTAATAAAAATAATGTAATTTTTAAAAATTTTCTCCTATTCGTTTTGACTTCTGCAGCCCTCAAGCCAGAATTCACGCAGCGGCTGAAGGGTGAGAAAGCAGATGAGGGCAGCACGGCCAGGTTTTGCTGTGAGGTGACCCTCCCAAAAGCCCCAGCAGAGTGGTGCAAAGATGGTGCAAGAATTCACGCTAGTCCCAAATATGACATCAGACAGAATAGGGGCATCCATGAGTTACTCATTCTTAACCTGGAAGCTGAAGACAGCGGAGAGTATTCATGCATCGTTGGAGACCAAACCACATCTGCCCTGTTATCTGTGCAAGGTATGGGTTTTTTTAAAAGAGTTCTGTCAGGGAATTGCACAGCCGGTGTCCAAATGGAATCAGAGAGGCTGCTAGGAACTTTTTAAATTTTTTTAAAATTTTCTCCCATTCGTTTTGACCTCTGCAGCCCTCAAGCCAGAATTCACACAGCGGCTGAAGGGTGAGAAAGCACATGAGGGCAGCACGGCCAGGTTTTGCTGTGAGGTGACCCTCCCGAAAGCCCCAGCAGAGTGGTGCAAAGATGGTGCAAGAATTCACGCTGGTCCCAAATATGACATCAGACAGAATGGGGGCATCCATGAATTACTCATTCTTAACCTGGAAGCTGAAGACAGCGGAGAGTATTCATGCATCGTTGGAGACCAAACCACATCTGCCCTGTTATCTGTGCAAGGTATGTGTTTTTTAAAAGCGTTCTGTCAGGGAATTGCACAGCCGGTGTCAAAATGGAATCAGAAAGGCTGGCAGAAACTTCTAGTTTTATATATGTTTTCCATCAATATATATACATAGTATAGATAGTGAGGCAAAGAGGAGCATCATGAGGTAAATCGACACAGCAGGAACATCATGAGGTAAAATTATAGAGCACAAAAGAGCGCACAGAAGAAAAAAGGCGGGAAACAAGGGAACATCCCCTTTTCACTCACAGCAACCAATCACAGTGCAAATTGCCTCACCCAGGGGCCAGCTCTCTTCAGCTAATCAACCACAACTTGGTGTGTTCTGGCTCACTGCTCCAGCTACTAAATTTAAATATCTGAAAAGATTCATACCCTACAAAGAGTCCTCGACTTATGACCACAATTGGCCCCAGAATTTCTGTTGCTAAACAAAGCAGTTGTTAAGTGATTTGTGCACATTTTTAGGACTATTTTTACTGTGAATAATGCAGTCATTAAGTGAATCCAGCTTCTCCCATTGACTCTGCTCATCGGAAGCCGGTTGGGAAGGTCACAAACGGTGATCACGTAATCCCCGTACAACCATTGTGAATATGTGCCAATTTTCAAGCACCCAAATTTTGATTATATGATCATGGGGATGATCATAATCATAAGCACAAATTTGCTATGGTAAATTTGAATGGTTGCTAAATAAATGTTTTGTAAGTCAAGAACGCCTCTTAATTTTGTTAATACATAGATAGATAGAGAGAGGGAGAAGCTATTTTATTAATCAGTGGATTTGGTATACAGGTAGTCTATGAGTTACAACAATTCATTTAATGACCATTCAAAGTTACAACAGCACTGAACAAAGTGACTTAAGACTGTTGTTCACACTTATGATCATTGCTGCATCCCCAGGATCATGTAGTGTAAGTGGATGTGGAGCCAGTTCCAAGAAGGCTTCACACCCATTTGCACCACTCAGATGACCCTGAAGACCACAGATAAGCCTTCAGATAGCTTTAACGCCTCTCTAAAAGGATGCAAATGACCAGCGGTCTGCAAGGAGTATAAATCCTTCCATTCCCACCCTCCAGTCAGAGCTGAAGAAGCTTCTTGGATGAGAAGTAAAACATCTTCAAAGGAAAACAATAAAGTCCAGTTGCCCCCTGAAAAAGCATCTTTGGGAAATGAACAATATTTTGTCACTAATCATTTTTTATTTCCTGGGACATACAAGTATCCATTGGTCCTGTACAACCAATTTTTCCAGCTTTTACTTTTCAGAAATCAGTGGGAACTGCCACTTAATGAAAGAATTGTATTTTTTTTTAAAAAAACAAAACAAAAACTCTGCCATTATTTTGACCTCTGCAGCCCTCAAGCCAGAATTCACACAGCGGCTGAAGGATGAGAAAGCGGACGAGGGCAGCACGGCCAGATTATGCTGTGAGGTGACCATCCCTAAAGCTGCAGCAGAGTGGCACAAAGATGGTGCAAGAATCTGTGCTAGTCCGAAATATGACATCAGACAAGATGGTGGCATCCATGAGTTACTCATTCATAATTTGGAACCCCAAGACAGTGGAGAATACTCCTGTAGCGTTAGAGACCAAACCACTTCTGCCACATTATCTGTGCAAGGTATGGGTTTTTTAAAGCGGACTAGAGCAGTGGTTCTCCACCTGTGGGTTGGGACCCATTTGGGGTCAAACGACCATTTCACGGGGGTCGCCAAACAATGCAGTCCGCCATTTTTTCCCCCTTTTCCTTAGCCGTGCTACTCCCTTTTATTCTATTGGCTTTTGAAAACCAATAGAATAGATTCTCTTGAATAGAGTCTAATTCTATTGGCTTTCAAAAGCCAATAGGAATTGTCCAGGCTGTCTCTGCCCTGCTGAGCCCGCCAAAAGTCCCATTCTGCAAACGGTGCTGCACCAGTTGAGTAGTCCTCGACTTACGACCAGTTGAGTAGTCCTTGACTTACGACCGGTTCGGGGTTGCGGCATTAAAAAGGTTGAGAACCACTGGACTAGAGCTCACCATTACCTGGTGATTGGTTCAAAGTTGTGCCTAAAGTGGGACTAGAACTCTCAATCTCATGGTTTGGAGGAGGAAAAGCAGGAGGAGGAGGAGGAGGAGGAGGAGGAGGAAGTGAGCTGTGGGGTCCTTAGTGCTCTCTGAGCTTGGTTGATTTCTTACAAGCATTTCATGATCCAACTAAGGAACATTATCAGTGATAGAAGGGAGGGGGGTTTGCAGAGAGGAGGAGGAGGAAGACTGTGAGATCCTTGGTGCTCCCTGTTTGAGGGAATTTGTATCCTACAGGTAGTCCTCAACTTACAACCACAATTGGGACCAGAATGTCACCAAACAAGCCAGTTGTTAAGTGATTTGTGCCAATTTTTAGGACTCTTTTTACCATGGTCATTGTGAACATTGCAGTTAAGTGAATCATACAGTCATTAAGTGAATCTGGCTTTTCCCCCACTGACTTTGCTTGTTGGAAGGTCACAAATGGTGATGAAGTGACCGCAGGACATTGCAGCTGTCATAACTACATGCCTATTGCCAAACACCCAAATTTTGACCAAGTGACCCTGAGGATGCTACAATGGTCGTATGTTGAGGACCTGTTGTCAGGCCTTTTTCAGTGGTGTTGGAATTTCGACCGGTCGCTAAATGAATGGTTGTAAGTCAAGGACTCCTTGTATTCTAATGGTTTATTGTAGCCTTCATTGACATGCAGGTTTGTTTCTCCCTTAGCTTTTCAACATTTAATTAAGTGCACAATGCTTAGCGGCAGAAGACTTGAATTTGTAATCTGCATTTTCTTGAATTGGGTGATATAAATTCCCAAATCAATCTGTGGAATTTTCTCTGGAGGCTCTTTCAGTGGTAAAAGACATTACGGGTTGTCCTTGATTAACAACCATTCATTTAGTAACCATTTGAAGTTAACAACGGTTCAGAAAAAGGCACTTATGACCATCTTTCACACTGACAACTACTTGGTCATGTGATCAGAATTCAGACACTTGGGAAATAGTTCATATTTATGACGGCCGCAGTGTCCTGGGGTCACGTGATCCCCTTTTGCGACTTTCTGATGAGCAAAGTCCATGGGGAGGCCAGATTCATTTTATAACCATGTTACTAACCTAACAAATACAGTGATTCACTTAAAAAGTGTGGTAAGAAAGGTTGTAAAATGGGCCAAAATTTATTTAACAAATGTTTCACTTATCAACAGAAATTGTGGGCTCATCTGTGGTCATAAGTCAAGGGCTACCTGTATTTGGGGGAAATAGAAGTGTGATTCATAGGCCGGCGCAATTACAAACATAAACCTCCCCCCCCAAAATTCATAAAAATTTATGTCTGATTTTTTATATTTTAACAACTTTCACTTTCTATCAAAAACATAGAGACCTTCGGAATATGTTGTTTGTGTTGTGAAGGTACAAAATATTTTTATTTGATTATGAAATTTCTCTATGATCCATCTCACTTATGTGACTCTGATAATGACATGTGGGCATGAAAAGATACATTTCAGTTTGAATTTGGTTCTGTTTGAAACTGGGTTTTAATTACTTAACATTTTAAGAAATAAATATGGTTACTACGTCATAAAGTCTGATCTTGAGACAGGAAGCAGATTTTTATCTGCGATGTAGCTAAAAATATAGAAAAGGAGAGATTTAAATTATGTCCTTTTCCATCTGCTGGGCAATTCTAATTCAGTGCAATTCTGTTCAGATGTGTTACTGAAATTAAATTGGAAATAAATCTATTCCACAATTAGCCTCACAATAGGGTTGTGCAAATATTCAGTTTAGCTGAATAGTCAGTTGAGCTGACTTCCCAAACAGAATTGCAAAGCTGATTTTGAGCTATCAAATCAAATTTAATGAAAAAAAAGTATTCCATTTTCTGCCATGTGCACTACATAAATGGAAATCAGATCAAAGACCTTTTCAGTGCTTGAAATGAATCAATATTTGTTGCTCAGGGTTGAATTCTGGGGTCTTTGGTGCTTCTGAGCTTGGCGGTTTTATTGCAGACGTTTCATGGCCCAGCTAGGGAACATCACAGTGCTAGAAGGGAGGGGGGTTGGCAGAGTGGAGGAGGAAGAAAAGAAGGAGGAGGAGGAGGAGGAGGAGGAGGAGGAGGAGGAGGATGACGGCAACGACGAGGAGGAGGATGATTCTGGGATTCTTAGTGCTCTTTGAGCTTGGAAATTTTCTTGCAGACATTCCATCACCCAACTAGGTAACATTATCAGTGCTAGAAAAGAGTAGGTTTTGCAGGGAGGAATGTGGGGGTTTTGGTGCTCTCTGAGCTCGATGGAAGCTAAGTTAATAATATCTTTTGACCCTGCAATCCTCAAACTTTCCATTCCTTTTGACCCTGCAGTCCTCAAACTTGAATTTACGGAACGGCTGAAGGATGAGAAAGCGGATGAGGGAAGCACAGCCAGATTACACTGTGAGGTCACAGTCACTAAAGCCCCTGTGGAATGGCGCAAAGGCACTGTAAGAATTCATGCTAGCCCCAAATATGACATACAACAGGATGGGGGCATCCATGAATTACTCATTCATAACCTGCAATTCCAAGACAGTGGCGAGTATTCGTGTAGCATTGGAGACCAAACTACATCTGCCACATTATCTGTGCAAGGTACGTTTTTTTTTAAAGTAGACTAGAACTCCAGTCTCCTGGTAATTGTCCCAAAGTCACCTAGCCAGTTTTCATGGCTAAGACAGCACTAGAACTCCCAGTCTCCTAGTGATTGTCCAAAAGTCACCCAGCTGATTTTCATGCCTAAGTATGGACTAAAACTCCCAGTCTCCTGGTGATTATCCCAAAGTCACCCAGCCGGCCCTCATGCCCAAGGCGGGACTAGAATTCCCGATCTCCCAGTTACTAGCCTGGTGCCTTCACCATTAGACCAAATTAGCTCTCATAAAAGATGGTTGGTGTTTTATTTTTTCAGTTTCCCAAATTCTGTGTCCCATTTTTCCTAGTATGAAACTTGATTTATGAGACTTGTTTGAAACTTGATTCCTTGGTTGGGGGTTGCTGCATTGAGGTTGGTCAACAAGTAAAAACCACCCATCTAATCAACCTGCTATGACTTTAAAAAAAGTCCTTTGGTTTTGGCCTTAATCCTCCAGGTTAACCTTTGCAGCTGCAGTGTCTAGAACAGTGATGGCGAACCTTTTAGAGACCGAGTGCCCAAACTGCAACCCAAAACCCACTTATGTATCGTAGGGTGCCGGGTAGGCATGGCCTATTGGGTGGGTGTGGCCCATTGGGTGGGCATGGCTCATTGGGTGGCTGTGGTGGTAATGGCAGACTGGGTGAGACTAAAAAGTTCAATCAATCAATTCCAACTTTGCGAGATCTTTTTTTTCCCCTGCAAGAAGTTGAAATTGATTGATTGAACTTTTTGGGTTTTTTTGTACACGGTGGCGGAAGCCTAAAGCGAAAAGGTTTTATAAAACCCAGCTGAAGGCCTAGGACTGGGGTTACGGCACGCGTGCCCACAGAGAGGGCTCTGAGTGCCACCTGTGGCACGCGTGCTATAGGTTCGCCACCACAGGTCTAGAATGTTATAAGAGGAAACACAAAATTCTCTGATCTAAGAATTCTTCACCAAAGGCAGCATTTTTGTTTCTTGTCGAAACTGCAGAATATGCGTTGGTAAGTTACATGTAGTCCTCAACTTACAACCTTTCGTTTTGTGACCATTTGAAATTACAATGAAAAAAGAGACTTGTGGCTGGTCCTCGCATGTACGATTTTGCAACATCCCCACACTTATGTGATCAAAAGTTGGCATCTTTCTCAGCCAGCTTCTGACAAACCCAGTCAATGGGGGAAGCTGGATTCACTTAATGACCGTGTGATTCACTTAACTGCAGTGATTTGCTTAACAACTGTGGCCAAAAAGGTTGTAAAATTGGACAGGGCTCACTTAAAAACAGCCTTGATTATTAGCAGTGGAAATTCTCATTCCAGTTTTGGTTGTAAGTTGAGGACTGCCTGTAGTTAACGGGGATGAAGCCCAAACCTGAATTCCACTGGCAATGGGTTATGGGTGTGTGTTGTATAGTCTCTATGTTGTCACTGTCACTGAGGGATCTGCTGGCCCTTGTAGAAGTGGACATCACCATCATCCGGGGACTGAAAAGCGTGGAGGTTTTGGAAGAGGAAGAAGTCACTTTTGAATGCGAAGTCTCCCACGACAACGCAAAAGACGTGGAGTGGAAGTTGCAAGATTTGTCACTTCAAAGCAACCAGATGAATGAGATCTCGGTCGAGAGAGGACGAGTGCACAAATTGACACTACGCAACGTCACACAGCAGGATTCTGGCACCGTCACTTTCCGGGTGGGACCATACACCTCCACAGCGAGGCTCCGAGTGGACGGTACAGTGAGCTCTATCAAAGGAGTTTCTATCAGAAATCATTAAGCATCTCAGTTGTGTTGATTACTGTGCAGAAGGGGATAACATAAGAAAGACAGATTTTAAAAAAATGACAGTGAGAAAAACTAACCAGTGGAACAACCTGCCTCCAGAAGTTGTGGGTGCTCTGTCACTGGAGGTTTTCAAGAAGAGACTGGTGTGGGGTTTCCTGCTTGAGCAGGGGGTTGGACTAGAAGATCTCTAAGGTCCCTTCCATGTCTTGTTATTCTGTTTTCTATCCATAGATGAACTGTGTTAACAATCTACTCCACCCATATTTATTTATTTTATTTAGTAAATTTATAAACTGCCCATCGCCCTGATAAGGTGACTCTGGGTTGCTTACAATATAAAAAAATAAATAGAAAAACACTTACAATTTTTAAAAAAGCTATGCAAAAATCTAGATAAAAAATCTGCCTGTCTGTCTATCTATCATCTATATCATTATGTATTATCTATCTATCTGTCATCAATCTATCATTTTATCTATTTTAGATAGATGGATAGATAAAATGATAGATAGATAGATAGATAGATAGATAGATAGATAGATAGATAGAGATAGCTAAGATGATACCTATCTATTATCTATAGCTATATATTTATCATCTATAGCTATGTATATCTATATCATCTATCATCTATCTATACCTGTTATATCTCTCTATCATCTATCATTTATCTATATATTCTTTCTGTCTGTCTATCTATCTATCTATCTATCTATCTATCTATCTATCTATCTCTGTCATCTCTCTGTGTGAGAATCTAAAAGAACTAATTAAGAATTCAGAATTATACACATAGACGTACACAGAGACTCAGACAGCCAAACAAACAGACAGATAGGTCTGTCTGTCTATCTTTTTGTGTAAACTGAATTCTGCATAGACAGAATTCTGTGTGCAAGTGTGTGCCTGTCTCTCTTAATTTATTGTTTTGAAATTCACACATACTAAAACCTAAACTTCTTTCCAAAATTGTATGTAGGATTTCAGTTTAAATCCTGTCTACATTAGAAGTTTGAAAGCGGACTCTGTTTTGTTTTTTGCCAGTTCTTGCAATTTTTTTTTTCACTTTCCATTCCAGCCTTGCATCCTGCCTTTCAACAAGAGCTGAGCAATCTAGAATTGCAAGAAGGTAGCGCAGCTTTCCTCACATGTGAAGTCTCTATGCCCAACATCTCTGCCATCTGGAAAAAAGGCTCGGAAGTCATCGCTCCGAGCGCCAAGTACGAAATCAGTCAGCGGGGAACGACCCATATTCTAAAGATTTATGGTGTAACTCGAAGAGATTCTGGAAAATATATTTGCGACATTGGCCACGGGAGAAGCATGGCCACGTTATCGGTGGAAGGTAAAAGATTTATTAATCAAAACTCGCAATAGTTTTAATCCTTTCAAGTGTCTGCCTTAACGGGCTTTTATCCTAAAGTACTCAGGTAGTCCTCAACTTACGGCCACAATTCCAACATTTCCATTGCTAAGTGTGCTGTGCCCAATTTTACCATGTTTTTGTCAAGCAAATCACTGCGGTTCAGTGAGTGAGATGATCAATAAACAAATCTGTGTTCCCTCAGTCATTTTGCTTGTGGGAAGACAGCCGGAAAGGTTGCAAATGGCCATTGAGCCCCAAGCATCCATTGCTAAGTGAGACAGTTGTTAAGTGAGATTTGTCCCACTTGACCACCTTTCGTGCCACAGTTGTTAAGTGAATCACTGCCATTGTTAAGTTATAGTCGCGGTTGTTAAGTGAATCTGGCTTTCCTATGGACTTTGCTTGTCAGAATGTCACAAAAGGGATGTGACCATCATAAATCCGAGCCAGTTACCAAGTTCCCGAATTTTGATCATGTGACCATGGGGATGCTGCAACAGTCATCATCATCATCATGAAGTGTCAAAAATGGTCCTAAGTCATTTTTTCAGTGCTATTGTAGCTTTGAACAAACCAAGGATTGTAAATTGGGGACTATCTCTATTTTTTCTTAATTATTCTTTTGACTTTGCTCAACTCCTGGGAGCTTGTGGGATGTGGCTGCTGTCTTCAGAACAATGAAAGCAACAGTATGCGTTTAAGCCATATACTTTGCTTCAACAAATGCATGTGCAATATCATGCAGGTGGGCAAAAGGGGTGGGGCTTGTGCTGCATGGATATGATGCTTTTTTTACCATTCTTTACCACAGAGAGTCAGTTTGGTCTACTGGTTGAGGCAGCAGGCTAGAAACCAGGAGTTGGTATGTTCTAGTCCCGCCTTAGGCCTGAAAGCCAGCTGGGTGACTTTGGTTCAGTCACAAGGAGATGGTGAATTCTAGTCTCGCCTTAAACATGAAGCACAGGAGACAGTGAGTTCTTAGGCATGAAAGCCAGCTGGGTACTTTGGTTCAATCATAATGAGACGTTGAGTTCTAGTCCTGCCTTAGGCCAGAAAGCCAGCTGGAAAACTTTGAGCCAATCACCAGGAGATAGCGAGTTCTTATCCTGCCTTAGGCATGAAACCCAGTTGGGGGACTTTGGGCCAGTCATCAGGAGACTGAGATCAGGTCCCACTTAGCCATGAAAGGCTGCTGAATGACTTTGGGCCAATCACCAGGAGACTGGGAGTTCTAGTCCTGCCTTAGGCCATTTACAAATAATTCAAGACAGCAAACATATCCAACACACCTTCTATCTCTTATTTCCCCCTCAACAACAACCCTGTTACATAGCTCAGGCTGAGAGAGAGTAACTGGCTCCAGATGGCTTTCTTGCCTAAGACGAGACTGGAACTCATGTCTCCTGGTAATTGGCAGAAAGTCACCCAACTGGCTTTCATGCCTGAAGCAGGATTAGAATTCACTATCTCCCAGTGATGGGTGAAAATCACTCAGCTGGCTTTCATGCCTAAGGCAGGACTAGAACTCACCATCTTCTCCTGATTGGCCCAAACTCACCCAGCTAACTTTCATGCCTAAGGCAGCACTAGAATTCCTCGTTTCCTGGTCATTGGTCCCAAGTCACCCAGCTGGCTTTGATGCCAAAGCAGGACTAGAACTCACTGCCTCGCAGTTTCTAGCTGGGTGCCTTGATCCCTAGGCCAAACTAGCTCTCACTTTTCTTATTTTCCAGTGTAGTTGAAGTTAAACTTCTGACTTATGGTTCATTCTCCTCCTCCTCCTTCTCCTCCTCCTCCTCCTCCTCCTCCATACCTTGTATTAAAAACACATAACACATATCACATCTATGACAAAAGCTCACCCCTCTCTCTTCTTTTCTCTGGTGTAGCCCTCTCAGTCCGTCCAGCCCGTTTTCAAGTCCAGCTGGAGAACCAGGAAGTCAAGGAAGGGGCAACGGTCATCCTGGCCACTGCACTCACAAAACCCGAGGTGCCCGTCCAGTGGATGAAAGGCTCCACCCAACTGCAGCCAAGTCATAAGTATGAGATGAGACAAAAGGCATCCTATGTGGAGCTGCTAATCCATGAGGCGCAAGTGGAGGATTCGGGCCACTATACCTGTCAAACCGAGGATCAGCAGACCACAGCATCTGTGCTTGTCAAAGGTCAGGGGGAGTCAATTTTGTTCACTTAAGGTCATGCATGAATGACTGGATCCATATGTGAAGAGTTCAAACTAGCTGCTTTATTTTATATACTATTTGTGGTGTCTAACCTTGGTTGTTTCCTGGTACAGTTTCATGACTTGACTAAGGAAATTCATCAGTGCTAGAAAGGAATGGGATTTACAAGGAGGAGCAGGAGCAGGGAGGACTATGAAATCCTTGGGGCTCTCTGAACTTGGTGGTTTTCTTGTAGACATTTCATGAACCAACTAGGCAACATCATCAGTGCTAGAAGGGAGGGGGATTTGTGGAGAGGAAGAGGAGCAGGATGAAGAGTGGGAGGAGGAGCAGGAGGAGATGGTCAATAACTGTGGGGTCCTTGGTGCCCTCTGAGCTTGATTGTTTTCTTGCAGATGTTTCATGACCCAACTAGGGAGTATCATCAATGTTAGAAGGGAAGGGAGGGTTGCAGAATGGAAGGGCAAGGAGGAGGAGAGGGGGAAAAAGGAGGAGGAGAAGAATTGTGTGGTTCTTGGTGCTCTCTGAGCTTTGTTGTTTTCTTGCAAATCTTTTCTTGCAGATCTTTTCTTGCAGATGTGATGATATTGCTTAGTTGGGTCATGAAACATCTGCAAGTAGCTCAGAGAGCCTCAAGAACCAATATTCTTCTTCTTCTTCTTCTTCTTCTTCTTCTTCTTCTTCTTCTTCTTCTTCTTCTTCTTCTTCTTCTTCTTCTTCTTCTTCTTCTTCTTCTTCTTCTTCTTCTTCTTCTTCCTCTTCTTCTTCTTCTTCTTCTTCTTCTTCTTCTTCTTCTTCTTCTTCTTCTTCTTCTTCTTCTTCTTCTTCTTGTTGTTCTTCTTCTTCTTCTTCTTCCTCCTCCTCCTCCTCCTCTCTGCAATCCCCACTTCCTTGCAGCACTGATGATATTAACTAATTGGATCATGAAACATCTGCAAAAATATAACAGGATGTAACAGTGGGATGTAAATTCCCAGGGAAACAAATGAAATAAAAACTTCTCTCTTTGAACTGTAGAAATACCGGCCACCATAGAAGAAAAATTGAAAGATCTCACCCTTCTTGAAGGAGAGGATGCTATGTTTCGCTGTGTGATTTCTCATGAGAAGGCCAAAAACGTGCAATGGAGTTTGGCAGGTGTGCCTCTGCAATCCAATGAAATGAACCAAATTGCCGTGGAAGGCAAAATTCACACGCTCATTCTCCGAAAAGTCACCCTTGAAGATTCCAGCACCATCAGTTTCCAAGTTGGTCAGAATTCAACACAGGCTCAGTTATTGGTGCAAGGTAAGTTAGTCAGTCGTTCAGATGGACCTTGATCTTCCACAAGTACAACCATGGGAAGATGTGGGTCAAAAAAATCAAGATGAGATTGGCAGTCACGATAGGAGGAGGAGGAGGAGGAGGAGGAGGAGGAAAGGAAGGAAGGGAAGGAGGGGAGGAGGGGAAGGGGGAGGGGGAGGGGGAGGAAGAGAACAACTGTGGAGTCCATGACAATGGAATGAACTTTTTGTTTTCTAGCAGACATTTCACCCTAACTCTAACCCTATTTGTATTATTTGTATTTGTATTTAATTTAATTTATATGCTGCCCAATCCCAAAGGACTCAGGGCGGTGTACAGAGATTAAAACAATCATAAAACAATAAAATAATACAGTCATACCGCGAGTCCGATCATATCCCGCCCCCCCCCCCGGGACATCAGCCCCAGGCCTGCCGGAACAGGAGAGTTTTAACGGCTTTCTTATTGGCAGGGTGGCCAATTAGGTAGCGTCATCAATGCTTGAAGGGACTGGGGTTGCTCTCTCTCTCTTTATATACAAGTGGCTTACCCTGCCAGTTTAATGTTCTTGGTGATTTCTTGATTAGGCTGTTATTTACTAATAGCTAGTTTGTCTGAGTTGATATTTCCTTGATTGGGACATTGTTTACTTCTTGATTTTTGATCCAGTGTCAGCCTTGTTATTAATTTTGGCTCAGCTGAGAATTGATTGCTGGTAAGGAGTTGTTGTGGTCTTTTAGCTTTTTGATCCTCACTTTTGAATGGTGTGTAGATATCCTTTATCTCATTGTGCCTGTTGATGGCCAATTTGTCTGAATGCCAGTCTTCCAAGAATTCTCTAGCATTTGGGGGCTTGGCTTGTTTTAGGATGCTGATATTTTCCCAGTTACTGTGTCCAATTAAGGAGTTTTCATTTTGTCTTCTGAGGAGCTGTTGGTGTTGATGGATGCATTTTGCGATCTTCTGCCTGGTTGTCCTACACAGTGGCCATTACAGCTCTTACATTATATAGGATGACCACAATCGAGCCCAAAATTTCTGAGAAATTTGTTAAGTGAAATTTGCCTCATTTTACAACCTTTCTTGCCACAATTGTTAAGTGAATTACTGTAGTTCAGTTAGTAACATATTTGTTAAATGAATCTACCTCTCCTCGTTGACTTTGCTTGTCAGAATGTTACCAAAATAGACTACATGACTGCAACCATCACAAATAGGAGTCACTTGCGAAGCTTCTGAATTTTTGTGACATTAGGGATGTTGCAATGGTTGTGTGAAAACAGTCATAAGTAACTTTTTTCAGAGTCATTATAACTTTGAAACGTTCACTAAACAAATTGTTGTAAGCTGAAGTCTACCTGTACATTGGAGATGACTTTTACAGTCTATATCAGTGGTTCTCCACCTGTGGGTCGGGACCCCATTTGGGGTGGAACGACCATTTCACGGGGGTCGCCAAACAACGCAGTCCGCCATTTTTTTCCCCTTTTCCTTAGCTGTGCTACTCCCTTTTATTCTATTGGCTTTTGAAAGCCAATAGAATAGACTCTCTTGAATAGAGTCTAATTCTATTGGCTTTCAAAAGCCAATAGGAATTGTCCAGGCTGTCTCTGCCCTGCTGAACCCACCAAAAGTCCCATTCTGCAAATGGTGCTGCACTAGTTGAGTAGTCCTCGACTTATGACCGGTTGAGTAGTCCTTGACTTACGACCGGTTGGGGATCGCGGCATTAAAAAGGTTGAGAACCACTGGTCTATATACTCAATAAAAGTCTCTTTTGCCTCTCTATAGCTGTACCAATAACCTTCCTAAAAAAGCTGGAGAATGCAGAAGTAGATGAAAACGGCATGGCAACCTTCCACTGTGAGCTTTCCAAACCTGGGATCCCAGTGGAATGGAGAAAGGGATCATCCCTGATCCAGCCCAGCCAGAAGTTTGAAGTTAAGATTGAAGGCAATGCCTACACTTTGATCATCCATGATGTGGTCCCAGAAGACTCAGGAGAATATATCTGCAGTGCAGCTGACAAGAAAACCACCGCCAAGCTGAAAGTTAAAGGTGAGTGCAGCCATTGGAGAACTACAGGTACTCCTCAACGTATGACCATAATTGAGTCCAAAATTTATGTTGTTAAGTGAGAAATTTGTTAAGCGAGTTTTGGCCCATTTTACGATTTTTTTTTGCCACATTTGGTAAGTGAATCACTGCAGTTGTTAAATTAGTAACACGGTGGTAAGTGAATCTGGTTTCCCCATTGATTTTGCTTGTCAGATGGTCAGAAAAGGGGATTGCACGACCCTAGGACACTGCAACGGTCAGAAATGTGAGTCAGTTGTCAAGAATCTGAATATAAATCACGTGACCTTGGGGATGCTGCAATGGTCATAAGCGGTCATAAGTCACTTTTTTCAGTGTCGTTGTAACTTTGAGCTGTCACTAAATGAACTGTTGTAAGTCAAGGACTACTTGTACTGAGATAAGTAGTTGGAAGGGACGTTGGAGATCTTCTAGTCTAACCCTCTGCCCAAGGCAGTTCTTATACTGTCCCAGACAAATGGTTGTCCAATCTTTTCTTGAAAACCTTCAGTGATGGAGCACCCTCAACTTCCAGTGGCAAGCCATTCCACTGGTTAACTGTTCTTACTGACATTTTATTCATCTCATCTCCTGCCCTACTTATTCTTGATCCTGTTTCTCTCTCTTCATCCGTCCACTTAATCTTCAGAGATTTTCTTCTGGTTTACCGTTTTACCATTTTGTTTAATATTTCAGGGTTTAAGATAGCGTATTGCTTGATGGTATCTTTTCAATGCATCTATGTGTATCGAAACTATGCAGGTATTCCATTTGACAACCATTTGTTTAGCAATTGTTTGAAGTTACAATATTGCTGAAAAAAAGCAACTTATGACCGTTTTTCATACTTATGAGTGTTGCAGCACCCCCAGGGTCATGTGATCAAAATTCAGATACATGGCAACTGACAGTTGCAGTATCCCAGAGTCATGTAATCACCATTGGTAGCTTCCGACAAGCAAAGTCAATGGCAAAAGCTGGATTCGCTTAACAACTGTGTGAATCACTTAACAACCGCAGTGATTTGCTTTAGAACCATGGTAAAAATGACATAATATTGGCCCTGATGCTTTTCCATTGCCTTGCTTAGCAATGGAAATTCCAGCTCCAGTTGTGGTCATCAGTTGAGGCCTATCAAGATGGTCATCAACGTGACGACTGGTTGTAAGTCTCTTTTTTCAGTGCTGTTGTAATTTCAAACATTCACAAAATGAGGACTGGTTATAAGTTGAGGACTAGCTGTATAGGTAATCAAGAAAAAATAATACCTTAAACCATTCTGCATTTAGAAAGAATTGGAGGTTTTCAAGAAAAGATTGGACAGAGGGATAGAATCAAGACCACATGAAGTGTTAATACCACTTTACAAGGTCTTGGTAAGGAAGGACACACCTGGAATACGGCATGCAGGTTTGGTCGCCATGATATAAAAAAGATGTTGAGACTCTGGAAAGAGTACAGAGAAGAGCAACAAAGATGATCAGGGGACTGAAGGCTAAAACATATAAGGAATGGTTGCTGGAATTGGGTAGGTCTAGTTTAATGAAAAGAAGAACTAGGGCAGTGGTGGCGAACCTATGGCACGGGTGCCAGAGGTATCACTCAGAGCCCTCTCTGTGGGCACACGCGCCATCGCCTCAGTCCTAGGCCTTCAGCTGGGTTTTATAAAACCTTTTTGCTTTAGGCCTCTAACACCGTGTGCAAAAAAAAAAGGTTCAATCAATCAATTTCAACTTCTCGCGGGAAAAAAAATCTTGCAAAGTTGGAATTGATCGATTGAACTTTTTAGTCCCACCCAGTCTGCCGTTACCACTGCAGCGATGCCCACCCAATGGGCAACACCCAGCCAATGGGCCACACCCAGCCAATGGCCACACCCACCTGGCACTCGGCGATGCATAAGTGGGTTTTGGGTTGCAGTTTGGGCACTCAATCTCTAAAAGATTTGCCATCAGTGGACTAGGGTGACATGATAGCAGTGCTCCAGTATTTGAGAGGCTTCCACAAAGAAGAGGGGGTCAATTTATTTTCCAAAGCGTCTGAAGGCAGAACAAGAAACAATGGATGGAAACTAATCAAAGAGAAAACCAACCTAGAACTAAGGAGAAATTTCCTGACAGTGAGAACAACTTGCCACCAGAAGTGGTGGGTGCTCCATCACTGGAGGTTTTCAAGAAGAGATTGGACAGACATTTGTCTGAAATGGTATAGGGTCTCCTGTTTGAGCAGGGGGGTGGACTACTAGAGGATCTCCAAGGTATCCTTCAACTCTGTTATTTTATGATTCTATTCTCCAAAGCACCAGAAAGCAAGACAAGAAACAATGGATGGAAACAAATCAGGGAGAGAAGCAACCTGGAACTAAGGAGAAATTTCCTGACAGTGAGAACAATTAATCAGTGGAACGACTTGTCTCCAGAAGTTGTGGGTGCTCCATCACTGGAGGGTTTTAAGAAGAGACTGGACAGCCATTTGTCTGAAATGGTATAGGGTCTCCTGCTTGAGGGGTTGGACTAGAAGACCTCTAATGTGCCTTCCCACTCTGTTATTCTGTGTTCTGGTTGGTGGGCTGTCACCCAACAAGGTCTCTTTTAGTGTCTGCCTCTCTTTCAGCTTTGCCGGTGTTCTTCAAACGAGGTTTACAGAGCAAGGAGGTTGAAGTAGGGAACACTGTGTCCTTGTGTTGTGAGTTGTCTAAGCCAATGGTACCTGTGGTATGGAAAAAAGGAAACACGAAGCTTCAGTCGAGTGAGAAGTATGAGATCAGACAAGAAGGGAACTTTGCTGAGCTTCTCATTTATGATCTGGAAGTTCAGGACGATGGTGACTATACCTGCGATTCAGGAGACCAGCAGACCACTGCCACCGTGAAAGTCAAAGGTAGGGAATGTTGTGCAACTTCCAGCAACATCTACAGCAGACATGTAAAACACAAGGCCCGGGGGCCAGATGCGGCCTGCGAAGTGGTTTCATGTGGCCCATGAAGCCATCCTGGAAACAGTGAGGGAACAGCCCCCGCTGCCTTGGCCCTGGCCCAGGCCGGTCAGGAGCCAATGTACAATTTTGTGGTGGCCCTCTATGCTGAAACACATTCAGTCTTAGCTCCATAAGCCCCCCCCCCTGCATGGCCTGAGAGGAACAGTGAGGTTCCTCCAGTGGACCATGCCTTGGCGCTTGCCCCAGTCCCACCCCCTTCTGCCAGAGACCCTCAGATCTGTCCTACTCCTGTCCAGGCCCCCACAGGCACCCTTGACGTGAACGATGTAGAGCTGGCCACACCCACCCAGTAGGCCACACCCACCCTGGCCACACCCACCTGGCCCCCCAAGGGCAACCATAATGTTGATGCAGCCCTCAATGAAATTGAGTTTGACACCCCTGCTCTAGAGAGTATTTGTAGCTTATGGCTGAACTGTGAAGTCTTTTGTGCTCTCTGAGTTTGGTTGTTTTCTCCAATGTATGAATTTGATGGGAATTCTACCGTCAACATACAATCACAATTGGTACCAGGATTTCCACTGCTGAGCTTGGCAGTTGTTAAGTGAGTCAAGCCTATTCTATAGCCTTTTTTGTCAGGGTGGTTAAGTGAACCAGTGAGCCTATTAAGTACATCAAGTAATCATTAAGCAAATCTGCTTCCCCCAGAGATTTTGCTTATTAGAAGCCAGCTAGGAAGATCATAAATAGCGATAAATGGGACCCTTTTGTAAATACTTGCCTGTTGCCTAGCATCCAATTTTGGTATGGATGTTACGAGAGTCATAATTGTGAGGATTAGTCATCCATCACTCCTTTCAGTGCTGTTGTAACTTTGATTAACTTTAGTGCTAAACAAACGGCTGTAATTTGAGGACTACCTATAGACTGCGCACAGGTACAACAAGATCCAGAAATACTCTGTACAAATGGGGCTATCCAGTCGCTTCTGCTCTTTGAGATTGTGGTGACATGAAGACAACAACACATTTTGTATGCATGCCCTTTGGGCCCTGATTGGTGTTCACTTAAGGACCTCACGGCAGCATGGCAGAACACAAATGATGTTTATGGGGAAAATATGTTTAGCTCGTACATATTTTAATCTTGTATTTTATTTTTTAAATTTTATGTCTTTGACTTATTGACAGTTTAAAGTTACATTGTCATTGAAAAAAGTGACTTATGACCATTTTTTACATTTACAACCGTTGCAGCATTCCCATGGTCAGGTGATCAAAATTTGGAACCTTGGCAACTGACTCTTACTTATGATGCGGCCCGCAAAGTGGTTTCATGTGGCCCACGAAGCCATCCTGGAAACAGTGAGGGAACGGCCCCAGCTGCCTTGGCCCTGGCCCAGGCCGGCCGGGAGCCAATCTACAATTTTGTGGTGGCCATCTATGCTAAAACGCATTCAGTCTTAGCTTCACAAGGCCGTCTGGAAACAGCGAAGAACCAGCCCCTGCCACGTTGGCCCCGCCTCCTGGGTGTGCGCTGGGAAAGTGTCACCCTTTGTGAGGAATGAAGAAATGGACCGTGCCTTGGCGCTTGCCCCGGTCCCCCCCCCTTCTGCCAGAGACCTTCAGATCTCTCCCACTCCTGCCCAGGCCCCCACGGGCACCCTTGACACAAACGATGTAGAGCTGGCCATGCCCACCCAGTAGGCCACATCCACTCCATCCATGCCCACCCAGTAAGCAACACCCACCCTGGCCACACACCCCCCAAGGGCAACTGCAATGCTGATGCGGCCCTCAATGAAATTGAGTTTGACACCCCTGCTTTAGAGGTATCATTTAATTTCTGCAAAGGGTTTTGAAGGCATCACAACACTTTTGTTTCGTTTCTCCCTGGTAGTGTTACCCATCTTCTTTGAAGAAGGATTACAGAACATTGAGGTGGAAACCGGAGGGAAAGCTGTCCTGTGTGGCAAGATCTCAAGTCCTGACACAGCCATTGAGTGGTGGAAAGGGTCCCTCATTCTACAGCCCAGCGCCAAATATGAGATGAAGCAGAGAGGCACCACGGTTGAGCTGATCATCCATGACGTGGACCCGGAGGATTGTGGATTGTACACATGCAGCACTGGAGACGAGCTGTCCACAGCCTCGGTATATGTACAAGGTGTGTTCCTAGTTCTTATCTGTATTTTGTAAATGCTACAGCCAGTTGATTTGACGTTGTCAAACTCATCAACAGAGGGATAGTATCAAGATCTTGTAAAGTATTAGGGCGGCTTTATACTGCACTGGGTAAGACCACACTTGGAATGCTGTGTCCTGTTGTGGTCGCCAAATTTACAAAAAAAAGAAAAAATGGAGACTCCAGAAGGAGTGTAAGGGCAGAGCAGCAAAGATGATCAGGGAATTGGGGGCTAAAGCATATGATGAATGGTTGCAGGAACTGTGTAATGAAGAGAAGAACTAGGGGTGACATGATAGCAGTCTTCAAATATTTGAAGCGTTGCAACAAAGAAGGGGGGGCAACCTATTCTCCAAAGCATCTGAAAGCAAGACGAGAAGTAACAAATGGAAACTAATCAGGGAGAGAAGCAACCTGGAATTAAGGAGAAACTTCCTAACAGGGAGGACAATTAACCAGTGGAATAGCTTGCCTTCAGAAGTGGTGGGTGATCCAACATGGAGATTTTTAAGAAGAGATTGGACAACAATTTGTCCAGAATGGAATAGAGTTTCCTCCTCACGGAGAGGGTTGGACTAAAAGATCTCTGAGGTTTCTTCCAACTCTGTTATTCCGTCATTCTATTCTCCAAAGCACCTGAGGAGAGGATAAGAAGCAACAGGGTGGAAGATTATCAGAGAGAAATCCAACCTAGAAGTAAGGAGAAATTTCCTATCAGTGATAACAATTAGTGGACCTTGACACAGGCTATTATTCCATTGCTACATAGACTAGGGCAGTGATGGCAAACCTTTTAGAGACTGAGTGCCCAAACTGCAACCCAAAACCCACTTATGCATCGTCGGGTGCTGGATGGGTGTGGCCCATTGGGTAGGTATGGCCCATTGGGTGGGTGTGGCTGCGGTCGTAATGGTAGACTGGGTGGGACTAAAAAGTTCAATCAATCTATTCCAACTTTGCGAGATCTTTTTTTTCCTCGCGAAAAGTTAAAATTGACCGATTGAACTTTTTTTTTTTTTTTTTGCACACGGCAATGGAGGCCTAAAGTTAAAAGGTTTTATAAAACCCAGCTGAAGGCCTAGGACTGGGGTGACGATGCCTGTTTCCACAGAGAGAGCTCTGAGTGCTGCCTCTGGCACCCGTGCCATAGGTTTGCCATCACTGGACTAGGGAATTCCTCTTTATTTTCAAGTTTTTAAGGGCAAGTTATTTCTATACACGAAAGTGAAACTTACGCATCTGTTTTGTGCCTTTTCCTGTTATTAAACTAGGTTTGGAGGCAAATCAATCTTTCTAACATAGTCACTGGGAAGTTCAGTAGATCTGAAAAATGAACAATCGCAAATGAAATATCTCTTTGTTGTACAGATGACTAACATGTAGGATGCTTACTGCAGTTTGCTTCTGCAGTTCTGATGTGAGATTGCTTTAAAAAAGGGATTAATGTGTGATTTTGGGTGATTTTGAAAAGTTAAGCTTAGAGCTGTATTGTGCTGGCTTTGTGAAAAATCAGAACAGAAATAAAAAAGATAATATCTGGGATATGATGACAGGTAGTCCTCAACTTATAACCAAAATTGACCCGTTTGCTAAGCAAGGCAGTTGCTAAGTGAGATGCCCCTGATTTATGATTTTTTTGCCATGGTTGTTAAGTGAATCACTGCCATTGTTAAGTGAATCACATGGTTGTTAAGTGAATCCAGCATTTCTCACTGATTTTGCTTATCAGAAGCTGATTAGGAAGGTCATAAAAGGTAATCACATGATGCTGGAATACTGGTTGACAAGCATCTGAATTTTGTTATCACGTGACGATGGGGATACGGCAATGGTCATAAATGCTAGGACCAGTCATAAGTCACTTTTTTCAGTGTCGTTGTAACATTGGTCACTAAACAAATGGGTGTAAGATGAGGACTCCTGTACTTTTGTAGCTTTCAGTGTAAGTTTGCAGAGTTTTACTCTTGGGTGCTAATTTTGCAATGTCTCTCCTTGCAAAACGTTTCATGTTGTCAGATGAGTAGAAACACAAAGACGGTCCGTTTTCACACCTCCGTTGCGTGCATTCTCTTCCTCTGTTACACAGAAGAGGAAATACAGATAGTTTCTGGTTTAAAGAACACGGATATTTTTGCCGGGGAATCGGCTACTTTTACCTGCGAGCTCTCCCGATCTGGAACACACAAGGCACAGTGGTGGCTGGATGGCTCCCCTCTTCACAACAGCCCTGCAAATCAAATCTCGATGCAAGATGGGACCATTCACACGCTGACCTTAAAAGACCTGGGTCTCAATGATTCAGGAACAGTGATCTTCCGAGCAGGTTCTCTGATATCCTCAGCTAAATTATTAATCAAAGGTATTTCAGGCTTTCCGTGTCAAGCGACCGCCATGCTGCGCTTGTTCCTTTGTCACTGGACTCCTAACCAATTCCTGCAAAACAGCTCCTGGAAGGAATGCATTAACCACTAGGCACCACCACCTTAAACACAATCCTGCACCTTACTCACTGTCCTTGGAAGATATTTATTTATTTCTTAAATTTATATGCTGCCTGCCTCGCTAATCTGAAGTGATTCTGGAAGGCTTACAATGGCATGTAATAGATTTAGGAGCATCTGTGCTTTCCCGTTGCTGGATCTGCCGAACTGTCATAAATATTGGCGGCATAAAAGTTTAATAAATAAAATAAATACGTATCTGGTTTTAGGTGCTTCTGGAAACTTTTGCAGGGCATTTCAACAAAATGGTTTTCAGTTCAATTTTGTTCGGTGGTTGTCATTTGCGAGCGAGCCAGTCACGAATAGGGTCTCTTGATAGCAAGAGGGACAGCATACAAATTTAATTAGTAACAAAATATAGTCTAAGGCAGTGGTTCTCAACCTTTGTAATGCTGCGACCCCATAATACAGTTCCCCATGTTGTGGTGACCCCCAACCACTTATACATCACCGGGTGCCAGGGGCGTGGCCAAAGAAAAGGGGGAAAAAATGGCGGACAGCCTTGTTTGGCGACCCCCGTGAAATGGTCGTTCGACCCCAAATGGGGTCCCGACCCACAGGTGGAGAACCACTGGTCTAAGGTGATTCAAACAGGAGATTTTCAGAGGTGCTTAAATACCCATCTGAGTACAGTAACTAATTCAGGTATAGTATTGTCAGTAGATAGTCCTCGGCTTATGACCACAATTGGGATCAGATCCCATGACTCCTGGAACATTGCAATTGTCTTAAATATGAACTAGTTGTGAAGCATCTGAATTTTAATCACATGATCATGGGGATGCTGCAACAAATCGTAAGTCTAGAGTCACTTTCTTCATTGCTGTGGTAACTTTGAATGGTCATTAAACAAAAGATTGTAAGTCGAGGACTATGGTGTTAGGAAAAAGGACTTAACCTGGCCAGCTTTGTCAATAGCTCACCTCCCAGAATTCTCTGCAATCTCCACATTGGCTGAGGAATTCTGGGAGTTGCAGTCCATATCCTTGAGTTAGGCAAAACTGCTTTCAGCCACTCGGTCACTGATGATTTGCTGCCCCCTTTAGCTAACCTATGTGCTTCTATCATTTTCATCGCTGAGCCAAGCAAGCATTAAACCACCTTAGCAAACTAAAGAGTGCTTCTGATCCCTGCTTTCATACAACTCGCTGAGGGTCCTCCTTTAAAAGCAAAAAATATTCACCCAAGCCTGCACTAACACCTGACCTATCGGTTGACAGATCCGACCATCGAAGTGGTCAGCCCCATGCAGGACCTAACCCTGGAAGAAGACGGGACTGCAGAATTCATCTGCCAATATTCTCGGCCCGTGCAGGCCGTTTGGAAGAAGGATGACCAGCCCCTTTGGGCAGACGGCCAGCGAGTTGTGGTTGAGCAGGACTGGAACGTGGCCAGACTGAAAATCAAGCCGGCTCTTCCTGGTGACACTGGGATTTACTCTTGTGAAGCTGGAGGCACCAAAGTGGAGGCCATGCTTGATGTTCAAGGTGAGGTCAACCACAATGGAAGAAGATGATCATGGGAACACCACTGCAGCTGACACGAGGCCCAAACCAACTTCCTTTTGGTGACCAATATCAGAATAACAAAATAACAGAGTTGGAAGGGATCTTGGCGGTCTTCTAGCTCACGCAAGAGGCTCTATACCATTCCAGACAAATGGCTGTCCAATCACTTCTTAAAAACCTCCAATATTGGAGTACCCACAACCTCTGGAGGTGAAGTCATTCCCCTGGTTAAGCGACTAGCTTTTTGGAAATCAAAGAGCAAGAGGAGATTTTTCGGTACAAAGAGTCCAACTAACAATTTTAGCCGGCATTGGGGAACAGGAAAACCTTATGTAGGAACATAAGCATTCATGCAGGGTTATTGTGGTTCTCTGAGCTTGGTTGTTTTCTTGCAGATGTTTCATGACCCAACTTGGTTACATCTTAGTGCTAGAAGGGAGTGGGTTTGTGGGGAGGAGGAGGAGGAATGTGAGGTCCTTGGTCTGCTTTGAAGTTGGTTTTTTTGTTGCAGACATTTCATGACCTAACTAGTTTGTATCATCAGTGCTAGAAGGGAGTGGGGTTTGTGGAGAGGAAGAGGAGGAGGACTGTGGGGTCCTTGGTGTACTGTGAACTTGTTTTTTTTTTTTTTTGGCAAGACGTTTCATGACCCAACTAGTTTATGTCATCAGTGCTAGAAGGAAGTGGGGTATGTGGAGAGAAGGAGGAGGAGGAGGAGGAAGAGGAGGAAGAGGAGGAGGACTGTGAGGTCCTTGGTGTGCTCTGAACTTGATGTTTTTGTTGCAGACGTTTCATGACCCAGCTAAGTTATATCATCAGTGCTAGAAGGAAGTGGGAAAGGAGGAGGAGGAGGAGGAGGAGGAGGAGGAGGAGGAGGAGGAGGAGGAGGAGGAGGAGGAAAATGACTGTGGGGTCCTTGGTGCTCTCTGAGCTGGTTGGTTTTCTTGCAGACGTTCCACTACCCAACTAGATAACATCATCAGTGCTAGAAGCTAGAACCTCCCTCACTTTTAGCACTGATGCTGTTATCTTGTTGGGTTGTAAAAACGATCAATTTTTGAGAGCACCAAAGACCCTGCAGTTCAACCCTGAACTACAAATATTCTCTTCTATTATTAAGCATTTGTATTAAATTTTTAGGCTCTTAGCTGTCACAAAGAAACTCAGATGAATGATGAGAATTTTGAGGTCATGCAGATTTTAACTTGCCTGCATTTTCCAAACACACTTGGTTTGATTTCTTCTATCTGCCCTTAATTTTGGCAACATACTAACTGCATAAAATAAATTCAGAGAGAACCAGAGAGCTGGGAAAATCACTGGCTGAATTTGCATTGCTACCATGAAGAGTTTTCTTAATGCATGTCAGTGTCAGCAATTCAGTGGTCCGGTACATAGTTGAAGAACAGGAATCCTGGCCTACCTTGCAGGGCTGTTGTAAGGATAACTCAGCAATGCATTTGAGCAGCCCAAAACATTTTGTAATTGTTCTGTGTTATTGCAAGCTTAATTGTCATCTGCTCTTACTCGGAGCTGAAGCTTTTGAAAGGCATATTTTATGAAATATATTTTTTTTATTTGGCTTGTCTAATGTTCTGAAGTTATTTAATTTTTTTAATGATTTTATTGCTTGCATTATATTTTTTGAATGCTTGGCTGCTACGTTGCTTTGAATTCTGTAAAAAAACAACGATCCATTTTTAAATAAATTCACTATGGTAAAGCTTTGTGATGATAAAAAGAAAGATCAAATTATGCCTTTTATTATGGCCATTAAAAAAACACAATTGTACCGCATGCTTCAGATCATGCTTACAGTCTCTGCACCAGCCAAGATCAAGTAGAGGTTAAGGCACCAAGTTAGAAACCGGGAGACTGTGAGTTCTAGTCCTGCTTTAGGCATGAAAGCTAACTGGGGAACTTTAAGCCATTAACCAGGAGATACTGAATTCTAGTCTCGCCTTAGCCATGAAAGATATCTGGGTGATTTTGGGCCAATCACCAACAGATGGTGAGTTCTAGTCCCACCATAGGCCCAAAATACAGCTGGGTGACTTTGAGCCAGTCCCTCTTTCTCATCCCAACCCACCTCACAGGGTTATTATGGGGAAAATAGGAGGGGAAGGAGTGTTAGATATGTTTGCCATTTTGAGTTCTTTATAAAAAAATAATAAAGGCAAGACATAAACAAAGAAACAAACAAATATCCGAGGCTTGAGTTTCACTGGGATTACTCATGGTTCTTTACAGAAACGTTTTTATGGCATAAGAAAAGCATAATTAAAGAGGAAATCTCCATGGATATCAAAGCAACGTGTGCAATCTGTTGTCACTTCCTTGTGTCCTCATGAGGACACCCACAAGGTTTACCTTTACGTTTACTCATTGTCACATACAACATTTATGTATGTGTGTGTATGATTTTTTTTCTTGATTCGAGCCCTTATCTTGCCCTTGATTGAAATCTGGTTGAGCCAAACCTTAGTGTAGGATTACTTCTTCTTTATAATGCTACAGTCCTAATTGGAGACATCTCCATAAGGAAGAAAATTCAACAAAGATGCAACCATGAAATTAAACTATTTTTTAAAAAAAATATGTGCAGCATTTGACCCTCTCTGCAGAAGCTCCTGATCCTATTCCTGTGCATTTAGCAATCCAATAAAAACTCTTTCTCCTATCTAAAACTCTTAACCTACATCAAAATGAAGGTTGAATTTCACCTAAAGATGATGGTCACTTCATTTTTTGAATATAACTCAAAAATATTGCAAACAACCAAGTTTGCGATCTGTCTAAAGTTTTATATATTATATTATATTATATTATATTATATTATATTATATTATAATAATTTTACATTACATTAATATATAATTATTTCCAGCTAACTTAAATGCTGTATAGGTACAACTACAATTACTACTGAACTCAACATTTATGTTGCTAAGCAAGGCAACTATTAAGTGAGTCATGCTTCATTTTATGACCTTTTTTGCCATGGTTTTTAAGTGAATTCCTGTGATTGTTAAGTAAATCAGGTGGTTGTTGAGTGAATCTGGTTTCTCTCATTGATTTTGCTAATCAGGAGCTGCCTGAGAAGGTCACAAATGGTGAACACATGACACTGGGACACTGTAACCATCATATCTGTGAATTAATTGCCAAGCATCTGAATTCTGATCACATGACCTTGGGGATGCTACAACGGTCATGAGAATCGGCCCTAAGTCACTTTTTCTGTGCTCTTATAACTTCAAACAGTCTCTAAACAAAGAGTTGCAAAGCGAGGACTATCCATGTGATAGGAAAGTCAGGGATTGAGGCCTTTTTCTTATTAATTCCATTAATTTCTTTTGTCCTAACAGCCAAGAATACAGTCATCCAGGGCCTTGAGAACGTGGATGCGATGGAAGGAGGGGAAGCCCTTTTTGAGTGTTATCTATCCAAGCCAGAAATCTACAATTATAACTGGCTGATCGATGATGTGCCGGCAAAAACGTCCGAAAATGTGGAATTGGTTTATTTTGAAAATGGACTCCGCCATCTTCTGCTTCTGAAGAACCTCAAAGTCCAAGACAGCTGCAGGGTTTCTTTCCAAGCAAGCGATGTGGTCACGTCTGCTTTCTTGAACGTCAAAGGTGACAATCAGATATCTTGTTGCACAAGACAATCAGATACAGGTAGTCTTCGACTATGGCCACAACTGAGCCCAAAATTTCTGTGGCTAAGTGAGGCACTTGTTAAGTGAGTTTTGCCCCATTTTACGATCTTTCTTGCCACAGTTGTTAAGTGAATCACCACAATTGTTAAGTTAGTGACAGGGACTTCCCCATTGACTTTCCTTGTCAGAAGTGATCCCAGGACTGTGCAACTGTCACAAATATGAGCCAGTTGCCAAGTGTCTGAATTTCGATCACATGACCATGAGGATGCTGCAATAGTCGTTAGTGTGAAAAATGGTCACAATTTCCTTTTTCCAGTGCTGTTGCAATTTTGAGCGGTCATTAAACAAACGGTTGTAAGTCAAAGACTATCTTTCTAAAGCTGCCCACCTCAATCAATAACTGTGGATGGCTTACAATTAAAAAGAAAATCACAATGCAAATACTAAAAAAATTCTAAGATAATAAAAAACAATAAAAATAACCACAATAAACATGCATAGCAGCCGAGATACTTCACCTGTGAGCAGTACAGCTGGGAAATGGGTCCATTGTCATGTACAGATAGTCCTCAACTTACAACCATAATGGAGCCCAAAATTTATGTTGCTAAGTGAGATATTTGTTGTTTTATCCCATTTCTTGCTACAACTGTTAAGTGAATCAATGCAGTTGTTATCTGCAGTTGTTACATTAGTAACATGGCTGTTAAGTGAATCTGGCTTCCCCATTGATTTTACATGTCAGAAGATCACAAAAGGGGATCACATGACCCCGGGACACTGCGACTGTCATAAATATGAGTTAATTGCTAAGCATCTAAATTTTGATCTTGTCACCATAGAGATGCTGTAATGGTTGTAAGTGTGAAAAACAATGGAATGGAATGGAATGGAATGGAATGGAATAGAATAGAATAGAATAGAATAGAATAGAATAGAATAGAATAGAATAGAATAGAATAGAATAGAATAGAATAGAATAGAATAGAATAGAAATAAGAACAGAATAGAATAGAAGAAATGGAATATGGAATAGAATGGAATGAAATGGAATGGAATGGAATAGAATAGAATAGAATAGAATAGAATAGAATAGAATAGAATAGAATAGAATAGAATAGAATAGAATAGAATAGAATAGAATAAAAATAAAAACAGAACAGAATAGAATAGAATAGAATAGAATAGAATAGAATAGAATAGAATAGAATAGAAGAAATGGAATATGGAATAGAATGGAATGGAATGGAATAGAATAGAATAGAATAGAATAAAAATAAGAACAGAACAAAATAGAATAGAAGAAATGGAATATGGAATGAAATGGAATGGAATGGAATAGAATAGAATAGAATAGAATAGAATAGAATAGAATAGAATAGTAGAGCTGGAAGGGACCTTGGAGGCCTCCTAGTCCAGCCCCCTGCTCAAGCAGGAGAACCTAAACCATCTCAGACAAGTGACTGTCCAGTCTCTTCTTAAAAACCTCCAGTGATGGAGCACTCACGATTTCTGGAGGCAGGCTGTTCCACTGGTTAATTGTCCTCACTGTTAGGAAGTTTCTCCTTAATTCCAGATTGTTTCTCTCTTTTATCATTTTCCAATCATTGTTTCTTGTGCTGCCCTCTGGTACTTTGGAGAATAGTTTGACCCCCTCTGCTTTGTGGCAGCCCCTCATATACTGGAACACTGCTATCATGTCTCCCCTATTTCTTCTTTTCTTTAGACAAGCCAAACCTAAATCCTGTAGCCGTTCTTCGTATGTTTTAGTCTCCAGGTCTTTGATCATCTTCGTTGCTCTTCTTTGAATTTTTTTTTTCCAAACTCTCAACATTTTTTTTTGTGATATAGTGACCAAAATTGGCTGCAGTATTCCAGGTGTGGCCTCACTAGGATTTTATAGAGTGGTACTAATACTTCACATGATCATAAGTCCCTTTTCCAGTACTGTTATAACTTAGTACGGTCACTAAATGAATTTTCGCATGTCGAGGACTACCTGTACTTCTGTTTTTTATTAATCAGCCTACTTTCCCCCAAAGTTTCCCAAAATCTCACTTTCTTCTTTACTTTGAAAATATTGATGGTGTCATTTCTGATTGTTTCAGGATGGAGACTGGAATTCCTGCAGCCTCTGACAGACGTCACCGTCCGTGCCGGGGAACAAGCCGTCTTTAGCTGCGTGTTAAGTGAAGCAGTACCTGTTCATGAGATTGCCTGGTATATTAATGACGTAGACATCCAACCAAATGAAAACTGGAAAATTGAAGTCGAAGGAAATACTTACAAACTCATTCTAAAAAAAGCCCAGCTTCTCCACTCTGGGGAGATAACCTTCGCTGCCAGAGATGCTATTGTGTCTGCAAAATTGACCGTCATAGGTAAGTCGGAACAGGTGATTGTTTTCTTGAAATCAGTTTTGATTCATAGGTGGCTAAACGGACACCAACAAGCACAAGACATCAAGCAACTTGCGTACAGGATAGGATTGATGCAAAATGACCAAACTGAACACTAGGCCCTATCTAACAAAATGAAATTCAAGGTAGATAAAAGTAAAGTTTTACACTTGCATAAGAAAAACCAAATGTACAGGAATAGATTAGGTGAAATTTGGCTTAATGCCAGTAACTGTGAGAGGGATCTTGGAGTCCTAGTGGACAATCCAGTGTTCCAATATCTCAGGGGCTGCCATAAAGAAGAGGGAATCAAGCTATTTTCCAAAGCACCTGAAGGCAGGACAAGAAGCAACGGGTGGAAACTAATCAAGGAGAGAAGCAACCTAGAACTAAGGAGAAACTTCCTGACAGTTAGAACAATTAATCAGTGGAACAACCTGCCTCCAGAAGCAGTGAATGCTCCAACACTGGAAGTTTTTAAGAAGAGACTGGACAGCCATTTGTCCGAAATGGTGTAGGGTTTCCTGTCTGAGCAGAGGGTTGGACTAGATGACCTCCAAGGTCCCTTCCAACTTTTACTACTACTACTACTACTACTACTACTACTACTACTACTACTACTACTACTACTACTATTATTATTATTATTATTATTATTATTACTATTATTCCCTTAAACATGAGCCAAGAGTGTGCTGCAGCTGCCAAAAAAGCCAACACAGTGCTAGGCTGCATTAACAGAGAGATAGAATCAAGATCATGTGAAATTCTAGTACCTCTTTACAAAGCCTTAGTAAAATCATACTTGAATACTGTATCCAGTTCTGGTCACCATAATACAAAAAAGATATTAAGACTCTGGAAAGAGTGTAGAAAAGAGCAACAAAGATGATAAGGGGGCTGGAGGCAAAAACATATGAAGAATAGTTGCAGGAATTGGGTATGTCTAGTTTAATGAAAAGAACTAAGGAGAACATGATAGCAGTGTTCCAATATTTGAGGGGTACCTACAGAGAGGGGTCAAACTATTTTCCAAACCACCAATAGGCAAGACAAGAAACAATGGATGGAATCTAACCAAGAGAAGCAACCTAGAACTAAGGAGAAATTTCCTAACGCTGAGAGCAATTAACCAATAGAATAACTTGCATTCAGAAGTTGTGGGTGCTCCATAACTGGAGGCTTTCAAAAAGAGACTGGACAACCATTTGTGTAAAATGGCATAGGGTCTCCTGCTTGAGCAGGGAGTTGGACTAGAAGACCTCCAAGGTCCCTTTCAACTCTATTACTCCATGTTCTATTTACTAAGTCCTTAGTAGATTGATACAAATTGATCCCTTCTGGAGAAAGGAAAGGAAATTGAGGATTACTGCATGAAAAGCAAAGTTGTTCACCACAACAAAGAATGAACAGTTAGTGGGCATTGGACCACATTCAACCAGATGTGGTTCAGTAAGATCCTGCACCTAGGCAGGAAAAACCAAATGCACAGGTACAGAATAGGTGGCACTTGGCTCAACAATAGCAACTATGAGAGGGATCTTTCGAATTCTACTGGATCACCACTTAAGTGTGAGCCAGCAGTGTGCTGCACCAGCCCAAAAGGCTAATGCAATCCTGGGCTGCATCAAGATCAGAAAAAGTGATACTATCGCTCTATACTGCACTGGTGAGGCCACACTTGGAAAACAGGTAGTCCTCGACTTAGAACAGTTCATTTAGTGACCATTCAAAGCTACACCGGCACTGAAAAAAGTGACATGACCATTTTTCATAGTTACCACTGTTACAGCATCCCCATGGTCACGTGATCAGTATTCAGATGCCTGGTAACTCATTTATGACGGTTGCAGTGTCATGGATCATGTGATCCCCTTTTGCAATCTCTTGATAAGCAAAGTCAATGGGGAAGCCAAATTTGCTTAACAACTGTGTTACTAATAGTAACAGCAGTGAAGAGTATATTCTATACTTGTGTTGATTGAAATATATTTTCAATCTCCCCTGTTCTTTTACTTTCTTTGTTTTCTGTTCTTTATATCTTTTGCACCTTTCTCTCTTTTCTTCTATTCTTCTTTCTTTTAGTTTGAATTAATTTTACTATTGTAATTCAATTCATATGTATACATACACACACACACACACACACACACACACGTATATATATCCTCTTACACCTTCCTTGTATGTGACAACAGTCAAAGATATGGACCAGATGCCAAGGTCTGAATTTTGATCACATGACTCTGGGGATGCTGCAATGGTCATAAGTATGAAAAACAGTCACATGTCACTTATTCAGTGCTGTTGTAACTTTGAATGGTCGCTAAACAAATGGTTGCAAGTCAAGGACTACCCTGTAAATTGGTTTTTGTGTGTTGAATTTTAGAACCTGTGGAAGTCACTCTGCCTTTGGTTGACAAGTCTGCCACACAAGGAGAGAAGGCCCAGTTGCAGTGCGAATTGTCCAGCGAGACCCAAGAGGTGATTTGGGTCAAAGGGAAAGAACCGATCCAACCCGGAGGACGATATGAAATCGTCTCTGAAGGCAAAAAACAGACGCTCATCATACACGATTTTAAATCTGAAGATCAAGGATCCTACACCTGCATCACCTCGCCTGAAATCAAAACCTCTGCCAATCTTTCGATTGACGGTAAGTTAGAATTCCTACAGGTAATCCTCATTTTACGACCACAAGTCATATAATTGTATTTGGGTCATTAACCAGCAGAGACAACCACAACTAGGACTAGAAATTCCGCTGCTCAGCAACGAGGTTATAAGTGAGTCTTGTCCAATTTTAAGATCTTTTTTGCCAGGGTTGTTAAGCAAATCACTGCAGTTGTTAAATGAATTACAATGTCATTAAGTGAATCTATTTCCCCCATCAGCTTTGCTCATCCGAAGCTGGCTGGGAAGGTCGCAAATGCAGATCATGTCACGCAGGACGCTGTAACAGTCATATATACGCTCTGTTGCTCAGAGCCAGAATATTGAGCTCCTGACTATGGGGACACTACAAAGGTTGTAAGTGTGAGGACAGGTTGTAAATCATTTTTTTTCAGTGCTGTTGTAACGGTCATTAAATGAATGGTCATTACATGAATAGTTATAAGTCAATGACTAACTTTACTGAAAAAAGTGACATGACTGGTTCTCACACTTGCGACCATCACAGCATCCCCATGTTTATTTAATCAAAATTTGGGCACTTGGCAAGCCAGATTTACTTAACAACCATGTGATTCACTTAACAACTGCAGTGATTTGTTTAAGAATCATGGCAAAAAAAGGTTTTAAAATGGGGTGCGGCTCACTTAACTGCCTTGCTTAGAACCATGGAAATTTGGGGCTTGGTTGTGGTCATAAATCGAGGATTACCTGTACTATATTAATCCAGATTGATTGACTGATTACTGATTGATTGATTCTAAAATGGTGATTTCCAAAACTGAGATTGTCCTGTTGATCTTCTTCTTTTATGTCTAGAAGTTGCTATGTCCCAAATTCCTAATAAAAATCTCACCGTTTCGTTTCTTAGTTTCTCCAGTGTCGATACTGGAAGAAGTTGTTGAGGAAGCACCAATTTCTAAAGAGCCAGGCAAAGTAGCAGATGAAGAGGTCCAGCCCAGCTTGCCACCTGAAGCTGCCCAGGAAGGGGACCTCCACCTTCTGTGGGAAGCTCTGGCCAAGAAGCGGAGGATGAGTCGCGAGCCGACCTTGGATTCGATCAGCGAACTGCCTGAAGAAGACGACAAGCTTCATAAGCGGAAGAAGGAGGAGGTGGAGATAACCCAATACTATTCCGAGGAATATTCTACTTGCGATGAATCTGCAAAAGTTGGAGAAGCAGATTTCTCTGTCACAAGTTCAGATGATGAATCCAGAGCCGGGACACCTTCATTAATCACCTACCTTAAGAAGGCTGGGTCATCTACGGTTAGCATCAGTCGCAAAGTCGTAGAGAAAGTCTCTCAAGATCAGCAGAAGTCTGGTGAGGAACCGCCTCCTCCTGTGGAGTCAGCCGAAATGGAGATTATGGAAGGAGACTTGGAAGATCCTTCCATGTCTCAAGCTGCCGTCAAAATCCAAGCTGCCTTCAAAGGTTACAAAGTGAGGAAGGAAATCAAACAGCAGGAACGTCCAGTCTTTGCTGAGACCTTCAAGGACTTTGTCGGCAAGGTGGGAGACACCCTCCATCTGGAGTGTATGGCCCACAGCAAAACAGACATGAAAGTCAGTTGGCTGAAAGACGGGAATGAAATTAAGGATGGGCGGCATTATCACATAGACAATTACAGTGACGGGACTTGCTCCTTGATCATTGCCGGTTTAGAAACGAATGACAAGGGCAAATATACCTGCGAAGCCTCCAATAAATTTGGCAAGGTCTCCCACAGTGCCAAGGTGACCATCCAACTCCAAGCACCTTCTCGCAAGCCAAAAACCGCCAAGAAGCTTTCTGACAGCGAATCAGAGAGCTCATCTGGCAGTGAATTGGACGATGCTTTCCGTAAAGCTGGACGGAGACTTCACAAATTGTTCAAGTCCAAAATTTCGCCTGAGATTTCCGACGTCGAAGAGGAACTGTTTGTTAGTGCAGATGAGGGAGAGATTGAGGTGGTAGATCACCAGACCTACCGGGAAGACGAACGCTACATCTACATCAAGTTTGAAGTTCATACGGAGGCCAAAACAGCTGCAGGCCGGTTTCGGGAGATGTTTGCTGCCATGGGTATTCCTGTTGAGATTGACATTTTGGATCAGGGTCCTAAAAAGATAGAGTTGCGCATTGGGAAAGCCACGTCACCTCCTGTGAGACAGTTGCAGACTTTGGTTCAACGGCCACCACCTATTTTGCTGACCTCTGATACTGGTAAGTACAAAAGATTTGTAGTAGTGGCAGGACCTGGGGTCGGTGTCAAAAGAGGCATCAGCCTAGAATCCCTATATAGTCACAAGTGAACTAAGTCCAATCTCCCTGGAATTCCATTGATCCTTATCTAATCCTAGCAGGTGCTAACTGTTAGTTGAGAAGATTCCTGTGCATAGGCATGTGTACCAATAAATCAGTTTAAAGTGAAGTGTTAGTACTTCTTTACACTGCCCTGGTGAGATCGTATTTGGAATACTGTGTCCAGTTCTGGTCACCACAATACAAAAAAGGTGACAAGATCATAGAAAGAATGCAGAAAAGAGCAACAAAGATCACATATGATGAACGATTGAGGAAACTAGGTACGTCTAGTCTAATGAAAAGAAGGACTAAGAGTGATGTGTTAGCAATCTTCCAATACTTGAGGAGATGTCACAGAGAGGAAGGGGTCAACCTATTCTCCAAAACACCTGAAGGCAGGACAAGAAATAATGGATGGAAACTAACCAACGAGAGAAGCAACCTAGAACTAAAGAGAAATGTTCTGACTGTGAGAACAATTACTCAGTGGAACAGCTTGCCTTCAGAGGTTGTTGATGCTCCATCATTGGAGGTTTTCAAGAAGAGACAGGACAGCCATTTGTCTGAAGTGGTATAAGGACTCCTTTTTGAGCAGGAAGTTGGACTAAAAGGTAAAGGAGAAGAAGAAGGTGAAGGAGCAGAAGATAGACAAGAAGAAGGAGAAAAATAAGGAGGAAGAAGAGAAGGAGAATTGTGAGATCCTTGAGCTTGGTTATTTTTGAGCTTGGTTGTTTTCGTACAGATATTTCATGACCCAGCTAAAGAACATCATCAGTGTTAGAAGGGAGTGAGGTTTGCAGAGAGGAGGAGGAGGAGACTGACATATAGATGTGCTGTTATTGTTCTTTATTCATTCTAGCTCCAATCTTCATCACTGAGCTTCAAAATCAAGAAGTGCAGGATGGTTATCCAGTCAGTTTCGATTGCGTGGTGATTGGGAAGCCGATGCCGACTGTCCGATGGTTTAAAGATGGCCGTGTTCTTGAAGAAGATGACCACTACATGATCAATGAGGACCAGGAAGGATGTCATCAGCTGATCATCACTGCAGTGGTCCCTCTTGACATGGGGGTCTACCGCTGCGTGGCTGAAAACAGCATGGGGGTGTCTTCAACAAAAGCTGAGCTACGAGTGGACCGTGAGTCTAAAGCTGGTTTCTGGGAAACTGTTGCTCAAAGGTTGACCATAACTTTGGGGTGCATGAAATGTATTTTGCTTGTCTGACTTCATTAGGCAGCAGAATAAAATAGAGGTTAATAACTCATAGTCAAGCAAACAAAACATGTTTAAAGTTCTTTTATTATGATTTCCTTCCTTCCTTCCATCCTTCCTTCTAGTTTTATTTTCTCCTTCCTTTCTTCCTTCCTTCCTTCTTCTAGTTTTATTTTCTCCTTCCTTCCTTCCTTCCTTCCTTCCTTCCTTCCTTCCTTCCTTCCTTCCTTCCTTCCTTCCTTCCTTCCTTCCTTCCTTCTTCTAGTTTTATTTTCTCCTTCCTTCCTTCCTTCCTTCCTTCCTTCCTTCCTTCCTTCCTTCCTTCCTTCCTTCCTTCCTTCCTTCCTTCCTTCCTTCCTTCTAATTTTATTTTCTTCCTTTTTCTAATTTTCCTTCCTCCCTCCCTCCCTCCTCCCATAAAAATCATCTGATCAGAACTTCCTCAATTCTTGAACAATTATTCACCTTCTCTTATGCTGCTTTTGAGAAACATTGCTTTAGAGCAGGGGTAGGCCACCTTGGCTCTTTTATGACTCGTGGACTTCAACTCCCAGAATTCCTGAGCCAGCATGGCTCAGCATGGAAACCTCTCCCTTTCCCCTCAGCATGGCTGGCTCAGGAATTCTGGGAGTTGAAGTCCACCAGTCATAAACGAGCCAAGGTGGCCTACCCCTGCTCTAAAACAATGTTTCTCAACTTTAAGGTGGGTAGACTTCAACTTCCAGAATTCCCAGGTTGACCATGGCATTCTGGGAGTTGAAGTCCACTGACTTTAAAGTGGCTGAAATTAAGAAACGTTGCCCCTAAAATCCTCTTTTTACCATTCATTAGTAACCAGCACAGACTATGATACAGCTGGAGATGCAACAGAGACCTCATCGTACTACAGCGCCAAAGGTTACCTGTCCAGGTAAAAGCAATATTATTTATTTGTTATATTTATTTGCCACCTATCTCATATTAACAAATGTTATTTTGGAAAATATGTTTATTATCCTGACTAGTTTGCTTTCATGATTATTGACACAGCTTCCTTATTGTGGCACATCTTCTTTGCACTAAATGGATCTTGCACCTCACAACTTTTCTGATTAACCCATTTGGTGGCCTGAATGTTCTAGGTTAAAGGATCAATAACACTTTCTGATCAGGAATAAGATTTCTACCTCATCAGCATTATGGTGCCCTTGGGGGTGGGGTGGGGAGTGTGGCCCACTAATTGGGCATGGCTGCAGTGATTACGGCAGATGGGATGGGCGTGGTCGGGGTGGGTGTGGCCACTTCAATGTTGCTCATGGGAGGAATGCCTATGGGGGCCAGGCAGGGTTGGGGGAGATCCAGGGAGCTTCTGGCGGATAGTGTGGGCAGGAGGCTCATCCTGCGGGGTGAGGCGACGCAGGGGCAGGTCGGGGTGCCATTGCCACAGAGCAAGGCAAGGCAGGGGCTGGGACTGGGACTGCTGCTGCCTGACACCATTGCCCCCCCCACAGAGGTCACTGAGCGCATGGGGGCCGATGGTGTCCCTCAGCAGCCACAGCCTGCCGGCCCTTCGACCTGCGCACCCTGGGGCTCTGCAGCCTGCTGCCAATACCAGGCCAGCCCTCCAGCAGCAGGCGGAGTAGGGGAGGAGGGAGGCACGTGATGTAGCTTGCCGGACACACCTACTTTGTCCCATCTTTTTTGTGGTTGCTGTTGGAGAGCAGGTCGCTGCTGGTCATCTACCGGCCCCCTCGCAGATCTTGCCCTTGGCCCGCATGTAGACCTGTTCCCCTCACATACCCAATGCCCCTTGGCCCCGCCTCAGGCTATTGCCACGAACAGCTTGCGCAGGTCCATTAGGTTGCCACCAACGCCCAGAACGCCTGGCCCGCCCAGCACAAAGAAGGTGAAATGGCCAGCTAGCAAGCTCGAATAGAGGTGATAGGGCATGCCCATGCCCAGCAAGCCAAAGTCCACCCCAAGCGGGGAAAACTGGATCCCCATCAGGGCCATGGCCCCCCAATCCCCCCATCTCTGCTGGGCCTGGGCGGTCATGATGCCAATGGGGATCCAGCTTTCCCCGCTCGGGGTGGCCTTTTGCCTGCTGGCCCTGGATGTGCTCTACCGCCTCACTGCAGCTCTGGGCAGTGGCTTAATTGACCTGCATGAGCAGCTGGTGGCTGTGGTAGGTATCAAGGTGAGTGAGGGAATGTGCTCCACCCACGGGCCAAGGGCAAGACCCTCAAGGGGGCTGAGGAGATGACCAGCCCCTGCTGCTAGAAGCTGTCGGACCCTGTGTGCTCACCACCTCCTGTGTTTGTGCCTTGGGGCTGCCAGGCTGGGCAGGGCTGGGGCTAGGTGGTGGGGGCCAGTCCCTCGTCATCTCTGGGGCATCCTGGGGGCCAATGTCACTTGATCACTCACTTCCTGCCCCGTCGCTTTTAAATGCCACATGCTCACTACTCTGGCAAACTCTGCTGAGGCAACAGGGTATGTGCCCACAGAGAGGGCTTTGAGTGCCACTTCCGGCACATAGGTTTGCCACCACTGGACTAGAAGATCTTCAAGGTTCCTTCCAACCCTATTATTATTAATAATAATAGTAGTAAAGTTGGAAGGGACCTTGGAGGTCATCTAGTCCAACCCCCTGCTCAGGCAGGAAACCCTACACCATTTCGGACAAATGGCTGTCCAGTCTCTTCTTAAAAACTTCCAGTGTTGGAGCATTCACTGCTTCTGGAGGCAGGTAGTTCCACTGGTTAATTGTTCTCACTGTCAGGAAATTTCTCCTTGGTTCTAGGCTGCTTCTCTCTTTGCTTAGTTTCCACCCGTTGCTTCTTGTCCTGCCTTCAGGTGCTTTGGAAAATAGCTTAATTCCCTCTTCTTTATGGCAGCCCCTGAGATATTGGAATACTGCTATCATGTCCCCCCTTGTCCTTCTCTTCGTTAAACTAGACATACCCAATTCTAGCAGCCGTTCCTTATGTGCATTAGCCTCCAGTCCCCTAATCATCTTTGTTGCTCTATGTTCTAACTATATTTGGGAGTGGACTTTGCATGTCAATCATTCATTTTCTCTTCCCTTTCTTTCCCACCATCTCTTGAACCAGCCGGGAACAAGAAGGCGTGGAGTCGACAACCGAAGAAGAACAGTTGCCTCAAATCATGGATGAACTTCACGATATTCACGTGGCACCAGGAACCCCTGTTGCCAAATTCCATTTAAAAGTGAAAGGTAATAGATATTCCAGTTCACCCCCTCAATGCCTTCACGGCCTCGGGTAGATCCCATTCATACGATCTCTTCTTGCCTGCTGGTTTTTGGAATTGTTCATTGCAGCATTGAGCACTTTTTTTTTCAAAATGACCAAAACAGAATTTCATTATTCTGAAAATTCATTATTCATTATTTCATTATTGTAATGTAGCTTCCACTCCTTTTGTATACAACTGACATTAAAATGCATGTACAAAAGGGGTGGAGCTTGTATTGCAATAGGTTTGGGGAAGGCACCAGACTAGAAATGGGAGACCGTGAATTCTAGTCCTATTTTAGGCAGGAAATCCTTCACCAGTGACTGGCAAATTCTGACTCGAGAAATCTTCCCTGCATCAATTGTTCCTCTGACTATGTAGGACAGACGAGGAGGAGGCTAACCACCAGAATAGAAGTGAGTGGTCAGGCAAGGAGATCAAATTCATTGGTAGCCTCACATTGCAATGAAGAAGGATATAAATTGAATTTTGCAGCTACTAAGTAGGCACAAAAAAAGCCAAAGAAGCAATTGAAACCTGGGAGATGGACCCCTCGTCAGTCAACAGGAGTGCTGATTTACCACTAGCTTACTAAGTACTTAGGAGACAAGGACTTGGCAGCACAAGGAAAGAATAGCCAACAACTTTTTTTTATATGTAAATATTTTATTAATTTGGGGATGCTCTGGGAGATTATGGTCTCAAGGACGCCAGTTTAGGGTAGTCCAACGGCTTGTGGACATAGATTTGCAATACTTAAGAGCCAGAGCCATCAAAACCTGCTCCCCTTTGATCTTTAGCCATTCTAATAATTATGGATTGAGGATGGCCTCTTATTTCTATACTCTAACCATCCCCAAGTATAGAAGAGTCTTTTCCCTAGCCCGTTCCAATGTCTTGCCCTCAGCACTACTCGACGGGCGATTCAAGAGGCTCCCGTTTAGTGAGCAACTATGCCCCTGTGATAGGGCTGAAGCTGAAACTCTGGAGCATGTCTTATTATACTGCCCTATGTATAACACAGCCAGAATTAAACTATTGGCTCTCCTTGGAATTGATCCCTCTGGTTCTAATGTTAGTAATTTGGTTTTATATTGTCTAGGGGATGGCTCCTCCTATATTACTTCTCAGGTTTCTAAATTTCTTTTAAGAGCTGTAACTATTAGAGGAGAATGTTGTAATTCCCTTTAGCCAACGCATCTGGTGTTAATTGTTTGTGATTATATTTTTCTTGTGTTTTCTTTTGTTGCACTTGTATTTTGGTCTGTGACTGCAAAATAAAAATTATTATTATTATTTTATTAATTTTCTAATTTTACAATCATGACTACCTAATAAACAAAGTGTTGTCTGGGTCTACTGGTAATTCAGTGGTACATATTAACTTTCTCAGTCTAGTTCCAATACTATACCATCCAGTGCTTCCTCAGTCTAGTTCCAATACTATACCATCCAGTGCTTCCCCTCTTCTTCCGGTGGTATGCATTTTTCCACACTTGGCAAATACAATTCTTGTTACTGTTAATACATATACAATTAAATATAGACATCTTCATCACATTTTTTCTGGTATTATACATAATATCGATAGTGTCAGTTTATAATATCTTTTCTAGCCAGAACATATCTCAATTGCATTTGCACTTAAAATCTATTTGTTCAATCAATATCTTGTTTTTCCCACTTTTTAAAAATTTTAATTTCCCATAAATGTTCAAAATATCTCTATCACTTATAATTTTCTCATAATAAATTATATTTGGGTAACCAAAAACTTCCCTTATTCAAACCCTTTTAAAATTTTTATATTTCCCATCTCATAACAAAGTATAATATTCTAGTTACAAATCCTGTCTTTCTAATTATAATAATACTTTTATTTCTAACAGTTATCTATTTTCTTAACCATATTCAAACATTCATTTAATAGTATAATATCCCATCTAATAGGTCAAGACCTCTATTTTCTTCAGTCTTATTCTAGCTTTCTTCCTTTGCCAAATAATTTTCCAAGTCAGTTCATTTGAATTATCAGGTAATTCTTCCTCTGTTTTTGTATATATTGTTTGGAATGAGGAAGAGAATTTGATTCTGGAAGAACGCTCAACCCATTTATATTCATTAAACAGCCTCCACCTTTCTTCTTCAGTTTTTCTATTTATTTCTTGTTTGTCAATATTCAGCATTTCTCCTAACAGCTTTATCATCCATTCGATCAGCTCTTCTTCGTTATCCTCAAATGTGTTCTGAGATCTTGACAAGTAAGATATCTTTTCCATTTCTGGTGTTATCACTGCGTCTTCTAATTTGTCAGTATCTGTCTGTTAATTCCTTCCTTTAGGTCAGTGGTTCTCAACCTGTGGGTCGGGACCCCATTTGGGGTCAAACGACCATTTCATGGGGATCGCCAAACAACGCAGTCCGCCATTTTTTTTGCCTTTCCCTAGCTGTCCTACTCCCTCTTATTGGTGGCCACACCCACTTGGGGGTCACCACAACATGGGGAACTGTTTTATGGGGTCACGGCATTAGAAAGGTTGAGAACCACTGCTTTAGGTCCTCCATCTTTGGATCCATTTCTTCTAATTTGCCTTCTGTTTTCTGGGTTACTAGTTCCTTCTTTGTAGTCATTGTCTGGATTTGTAAGTTTAGGTTAGAAAATTGTTCTTTTATCTCATTTGTGTTATTTTTAGTCTCATCATGAAACAAAACAATTATCTCTTAGATTGATTTCAACATAGAAAGAATTTCTTTTTGAGATTCAGTAATATTTTCTTGCTGGTATATCAAGCTGGGGGCTTTGGAGACAAGTGTTAAAGATGGTTTTTTACCATTTGCGGCTAAGTATGGAACACCCATTTTGTTTTTGTATGTAGTTTTTGTAGTCCAATAGGCCCCCCAACACAGATAAGCAGGCCAAGAGTTTTTTTCCCTTTTCCAGCTGCAGTCTGTAAAAGTAAAAGTCTCCAGGAACAACAAAGAGTCTTATCTAAGTCTGAGCTTCAAGCCAAGTTCCTTTAAGCATAATAAATTGTAGTGCTGTGATTTGCCACTAGATGTCATTGACACCATATTCCAGCTTTCCAAATCCAAGCCTATTTTACAGACTTTCAAATATCTTTTCTAAAAAAAGGTCTCAAAGGTATTTTTAGTCCCCAAATTTCAAAGCTATATACCTGTATTAATTCCAAATTGATCTTGTAGTGTTCTCTATTTTCCCCAAAGCAATTAATTTGTCACTTTTCTTTTCCTGAGGGAATAGGACAAGAACTTCCCTTCCCTTTCTTATCGGGGAGGATTCTTTGCTTTAGGCATTCTTTTTTCCAGGAAAAAGATCATAAAAAGAGGATAAAGTGTCACCCAGTTCCATCCATGTTGCTCAAAAATTGCTAGTTAGTACTTATCTTTGGTTGTCAGCAGCTTCTGACTGGCCATACGAATGTAGTCAGTCTTTCCCTTACCAGTTTGGAGGGCTTCCTTGGATCCAGCGGAAGGGCCACTGCCCCTCTGCAATCAATGAGAGTCCCCTCCTTCTTCATTGCCTCTCCGGGGCGACTTTCAACTCTTTTTAGGGTCCCCAGTGGGGCAAAATCGAATGTGGAAGTCGAAGCCCCATCTTCCTGCGCTCATCACGCCACGACGCCTAACCGGAAGCCTCAGTCAACAACTTAATAGACAGACATCAAAACCCCAATCAACAACTAAAAAGCCACACATAACAAGCATCATGTAAATATCACACATAGAATAGCTCAAAGCACACACTCTGCTAGAGAAAAGTTCCCTAAGATGGGCTCCAGCACGAGTCCAAAAGCTCAGAAGTCAAAACTTCTGGTTCCAGTGACCGACCAGTTTGGATCCTGCAACATTATCCTGGGACAAGTATATTTGCCTTCGTTCGCAATAAATCTCTGATTCTCAGCATTGAATGATTAAAGAGAGTTAGTGGCATACTGTGACTAGTCAAATAGCTGAATGGGGTGGTAAGTAGGACAGTGATGGATCCCTTGTTTAGTCTTATAACTCATACATCTCTCTCTATGTTTGTTGTATGTCCGCCTAGGTTTCCCCGAGCCCCGTCTTTACTGGTTCAAAGATGGTCAGCCTTTACACACAAGCGATCGTCTCCAAAGGACAGACAGCCATGAGTTTCATGCTCTGGAAGTTCTCCAGGTCACCAAAGAGGACGATGGCCAGTATTCTGTCTTCATCACCAACTCTGCTGGGTCTGCGTATTCAGCAGCTAAGCTCGTAGTCAAAGGTGAGCAGGCTGAAATGGTTGTTAATGCTATTCCTTGATAGGCCATACCTGCCCTGCAGAACTACAGAGCCCAGGATTTTTTCATATTATAGTGTCTTTTGAAAAGAAAAATCCCCAACTTCTTTAATAGGCGTTTCAGAGGCTGGTTAAAGCAATATTGTTCCAGCAGGAAGTTGTCATTTGATTAAGGAATGATACCTTGGATATTGTTTATTTTCCCTCTGTTGATTTATGTTACGTACACACAAACAAACACTGGCAATGATGTATTCTTTTAGACTATTGTATCTTTTTTTAAAAAACAAGTTTTATTATTTTTTCAAATTTTAACATCCAGATACTTAGGAAGGGTGCTAGGGAAATCAGTCAATAACAAAATCATTCATATATATCTCAGGTTACATCAATAACATTCCCTCACTGTTTCCCTCAAATATTGTATCATATTCATGTTAATAAGTTTCTAGGTAGATTCAATCAATCAGTACATTTATCAATAGTATTTTTCTTTTATATATATGTCCAAATTCTGTTTAAAGGTTTTATTTAATTCCAATTTATATATTCCAATTTAGCCTTTTATAACCAATGTTTAAACTTTGGATAATCTTGATTTCCCTCATTTCATTATAATTAACATAACTAAAATACACATATTATTTCAAAATTTGCCTTCTTTATAGACAAATATATTCTGATTCTCATTCTAATAACTCCTCCTTTAATAACAAAATATCTTTCATTATGACAAATCTATTTCCATATAACAATTAAAATTATAGCCTAACAGTTAATTTTAACTCCCATTATAAATCTAAGTGCTAAATATTAAAAAAAAACATTATCTCTAAGACGCCGCTTTACCCATTAAGTAGATTTCTAAATCCCATTTTTAAATCTAACTCTGGCTTTCCTTTTGTGCCAAGTAGGCTTCCGTGCCAGTGTCTCTAAACCTCGGATGTATCTCCCTTCATTCCTACACCTGTTGTTTGAGTCAAGGGAGAACGTCCAGTTATCAGTCTTTCAAAGGAACTGGCCCCTTTGTAATTGTTAAGTTGTTGCCCTAATGATTCAAATCTCCATGTTTGGTTTAGGGTAATTATAGTCGATTTAGTAGTCTGGTCCTCTTCTTGTGATTTCATCTGAGTAGAATAGAGAGTCATATCCGGTGTTGTTGTTTGGTTATCTAAAATGTCTAAGTTCTCTGCTTTTGGAGTTAGTTCATCTTCTGTTATTTTTTGGGTTATAGGTTGATCAGTTTGGATGTGAGGTTCAATTTGTAGTTTTATAAAAATATCTTTAGCTTTCACTCTTGAGATGATTAATTCTGTTGCTTCACGAATTTTTTCAACGATAAGTTTGTAATTAAATTGTGGATAGGATTCGTTCATTTCCATGGTGATTAAAGATAGTCCTTTAGTGGAGGCTATGTTTAGTAAGACTCAACTATTATCCACCTCCACAATTTGTAGGAATTATTGTCACTACAGCTGTTTCTACGTCTTATCTTTTTTGATAGTATGAAGGACAAATCAAAGTAATCCACAAACACCATTGAAGAAAGAAATTCCAGTTGCTATGCCAAAGTTTGCCACAAGATGTCCCAGCAGACCACAAAATCTTTTTCCAAATGCTGAATAGCCTCTTATTCAATTAAAACACACAGAAAAGCGGATATTTTGCAAAGTTAATAGTTAAAAAAGTTAAAAAAAATGCTAAGTATAAGGATACCCCCAAGGTATCCACAAAACAAAGATCCAATTATTTAATTGTTGAAGTTAGTAGTTCTTTCATTTTCTTTCCAAGCTGTAAAATCCCATGTATGCAAACGCTGCTGAATTGAGAGCGGGGAAATGAATTTCAAAAGGCTTTCACAGGAAGGTAATTAGGGTGATTAGGGAAAAAGAGAGGTAACAAAGGATCTCACCCAAAATCCTCTACTCCTGCTTCATATGCTTAGCTATTATTGGGACTTTCGGCTGGTGTGACTAAGTGATCGGCCATGTTAATGGACAATCTTTTCTTCATCGGTTCTAGGGAGCTACCTCAGATCAAACAGAAGGGCTACTGCCCTTCCGCAATCTTGCGAGGGTCCTCCCCAACGGTGGTCGCCCCTCCAGGGCGATGTTCGACCCTTTCCAGGGTCTTCTGACGAAGGGAAAACAGACGGCAGAGAGCAGCTTTCCCCTCGCTCATCTGAAGGCGCCGCGTACGGAACCAGAAGCCCTCTAGAGTCTAGACTATTGTATCTTGCCTAGCATCTGGGCAAGCTATCAGTAATGTGAAAATGATAGATAGATAGATAGATAGATAGATAGATAGATAGATAGATAGATAGATACATAGATAGATACATAGATAGATAGATGGTATATAGATGGCAGCTAGGTAGACAGATGAAAGCTATATGGATGATAGATAAATAGAAATAGATGAGAGGGGGGTAGATGGAAAGACAGACAGACAGACAGGATAGATAGAATAGAGAAGGAGATGATAGCTAGAGCGATAGATGAATGGTTGGTTAGGTAGATAGATAGTTGAGAGAGAGAAACAGTGAGAGCGAAACAGAAACAAACATACAGAGAGAGAGAGAGAAAGATAATGAAATAATTCAACCCACTCCTTTTTTATCTTCTGCAGGAGTTGGTGAGGACAGAAAACCAGAAACAGGTAAGAGAATGAAACACATAAGATATCAAAGTAAACTAGGGCTGAAGTTCCGTATGGCTTTGCTTGAGGATTGCTTTGCCCAAATCAAGGCAGTTTGGATGCTTGGTCCATGCAAAATCAAGCAAGCTTAGTCTGAGCTGGGAGGGGGGGGGGAGTATTTTTTTTCTCTCTCTCAGTTCGTCTTGTGTTTCATATACAGATATTTTCTGTTATTTTAATTTTCAGACATTTATGAACAGCTGGTGCCACCAAGATTCCTGGAAAGATTTACCAACAAGAAAGTGAGGAGAGGGGTCAGCATCACCCTTTCAGTGAAAGTGGAAGGTAAATAAGCTTCAAGGACATCCCACCCACTCCTTTTGACTACCAGATAGTCCTGGACTTATGACCACGACGGAGCCCAACATTTCCTTTGCTGAGCGAGACATTTGTTTAAGTGACTTTTGCCCCATTCTATGACCTTTCTTCCTACAGCTGTTCAGTGTTAAATTAATCACATGGTTGTTAAATGAATTTGGCTTCCCCACTGACTTCGTTTGTCAGAAAGTCACAGAAGGGGATCACGTGATCCCGGGACATTACAATATGAATCAGTTGCCAAGTTCTCTGAATTTTGATCACGTGACCATGGGAGATGCTGCACAATAAATGTGAAAATGGTTCATAAGTCTCTTTTTTCAATGTCGTTGTAGCTTTGAATGGTCACTAAATGAACCATTGTAAGTCAAACTGAGAAGCTGTACTTCTCAGTTCGTTTGTAAAACAACAAGTGTGATACAGATAGACTTCAACTTACAACCACGATTAAGCCCAAAATTTATGTTGCTAAACAAGACAGTTGTAAAGTGTGTTTTGCCCCATTGGAGGCAAGTAAGTTTCTTTCCACAGTTGTTAAGTGAAGTGTTGCAGCTGTTAAGTTAGTCATACCATTGTTAAGTGAATCTGGCTTCCCCATTGTTTTTGCTTGTCAGAAGGTCGCAAAAAGGTATCACATAACTCCGTCATAACTATAAGCCAAGTATCTGAATTTTGATCATTTGACCATGGAGATGTAAAAATGAATCGTAAGTCATTTTTTTCAGTGCTGCTGTAACTTCAAACGGTCACTAAATGAACTGTTGTAGGTTGAGGATTATCTGTACTGAGGTCATTATTCTCATTCTTGTTATTTTGTCTGTATAAATCAACATTCCTCCCCCTCCAAAGTTTTTCTATAACAACCTGTTGTTTTTTTCTTTTTATTTTTTTAGGGACTCCACCACCCTCAGTAACATGGTTGAAGGAAGAATTTCATGGCGAAAACATCCTATGGATCAAGTCGGACGCTCCAGGTTATAAACTGGCCAGTTCAAATATGCAGCACAGTCTGATCTTATTGGATGTAGAAAAGACCTATAGTGGAAATTATACTTGTATTGCCTCCAATCAGGCTGGTCAGTCTATCTGCAGTGCTTCCCTGGAAGTTTTGGATGGTAAGTTTGTCTGTCTATTATCTGTCTGTCTGTCTGTCTGTCTGTCTATCTCTCTATCTATCTATAGATTTGCAGAGAGGAGGAGGACTGTGAGGTTCTTGTGCTCTCTGAGATTGGTTGTTTTCTTGCAGATGTGATGGAGGAGGAGGAGGAGGAGGAGGAGGAGGAGGAGGAGGAGGAGGAGGAGGAGGAGGAGGAGGAGGAGGAGGAGGACGACGACTGTGGGGTTGCTCTCTGAGCTTGGTGGTTTTCTTGCAGATGTTTCATTACCAAACTAGGTAACCTCATAAATGTTTCTATTGTCTTGCAGTGAAAGAGGCCGAATCTCTGACGCAGGAGCGTGTGATGGTGACAGAGGCCATCATGACATCAATTGGGTAAGCATGTCGTGGCTTGGTCAGACTTTAATGAAACTACATAGTATTCATAACTTGATTATTCTAATTAGACAAATAGGAAAATCTAGAGAATATCTTCTCTAGCCTTCAAATTCCTGCCTTCCTAGGAACCAACCTGTAAGTGGGAGAGGACACCTTTCTTAAATACCTGACGGGGTATAGAAAATGTTCTCTCTTATTGAAATTTTAAAAATACCTTTGCACTAATTTTCTGATTACAGGTATGAAGAGAGCAAAAAAGAAAATGACTGTGGATAATATTTCTTTGTTCGTTTTAATCAACGTTGCCCAGAGATATGTAATGTATATCTATTTGGGACGATATTGAAAGCCTTGATTGTTTAAATACCATAATGAAATTGTGATGGTTTTTTTTTTTAAGAAATATTGAAACACTTTAAAATGTTTTCTATGAATTCTGCCATAGGATGCTGGAACAGTTGTTTGATTAAATTATCCTTCTAAAGAACCTGTGGTTTCCTTCCTTCCTTCCTTCCTTCCTTCCTTCCTTCCTTCCTTCCTTCCTCCCTCCCTCCCTCCCTCCCTCCCTTTCTTCCTTCTTTCCCCAATAAGCAATTATGGCTTATCTACAGCCCCACTGCCTTCAAGCTTCAATATTAATCAGGAAAAATGGCTGGAAAGAAAATCTATATAGCAAAATGAGTCTTGTTTTTCCTTTTTTTCAGAGCTCAAGCTCCTGCAGCTGGAAAAGGTATGAAAAACTGAAAAAATTGTAGATATGCCAAGAAGACTAATCTTTCCTAACCATCTCAGGGAGATGTTGGTAGAAGCTGTTTGTTCCTTTTTTATTGTTACAAATTAAATCAACTCAACCCATGAATATATTCAACGTATTTTCCTCTTACTAATTTCCCCACAACAACAGCCGTGTGAAGTAAGTTGGGCTGAGAGACAGGGATTGGCCGAAAGTTACCAAGCTGGTTTTCATGACTCAGGCAGGATTATAACTCACCCTTTCCTGGTGATTTGCCCAGTGTCACCCAACCATTTTTTGTGGCTAAAGTAGAACTAGAACTTACCATCTCCTGGTGATTGGCCCAAAATCACTCAGCCAGCTTTCATGCTTAACTATAATTCACTTTCTCCTGGACATTGATCTATAGTCACTCAACCGGGTTTCATTCCTAAAATAGGAAGAGAACTCACAGTCTCTTGGTGCTTGGCTCAAAGTCACCCAGCTGGCTTTCATGCCTAATGCGGGACTAGAATTCACTCTCTCCCAGTTTCCAACCTGACACCTTCACCCCTAGACCATATTATCTGTGACCAAGCATCATGTTCTTCTTTCTTTACCAGGAGAGTACATGGAAGGCGAAACAGTTCGGAGTCAGATTTCTCTAACTGAAGTGGGAACCGAAGAATTTCTGCAGAAACTGACATCTCAGATCACCGAAATTGTGTCTGCAAAGATAAGCCAAGGTAATGGTGGTTCAAGTGAACTCAATGCAGGAAGACACTTGACAGTATTGGGTTTGGGGCTGTCAGTTTGAGACAGGACTATTGGGAGGAGGAGGAAATCATATGAGTGGACTTCAATTAAGTTGATAGATGAGATATAAAGCCAAAATTTGTTACCTTATTAGACCAATCCCTTAGATTTGCAATGACAAATGTTTGCTTGTCCGGTGGCTAAACCATATGATGAATGAATGAGGGAATGTCTATTTTAATGAAGAGAAGGACCAAGACTGACCTGATAGCAGTCTTCTAGTATCTCAGGGGCTGCCCCAAAGAAGAGGAAGTCAAAGTGTTCTCCAAAGCACCTGAAGGCAGGACAAGAAGTGACGGATGGAAATCAGTCAAGGAGAGAAGCAATCTAGAACTAAGGAAGAAACTTCCTGACAGTGAGAACAATTAATCAGTGGAACGGCTTGCCTCCAGAAGTTGTGAATGCTTCATTACTGGAGGTTTTCAAGAAAAGATTGGACATCTACCTGTCTGAAATGGTACAGGGTCTCCTGCTTGAGCAGGGGATTGGAATAGATGACCTCCAAGGTCCCTTCCCAACTCTGTATTTTGTACAGATAGACCACAATTGAGCCCAAAACTCCATTGCTAAGCAGGACAGATATTGTGAATTTTGACCCATTTTACAACATTTCTTGCAATAGTTGTTAAGTGAAGTATTGCAGCTATTAAGTTAGTAACATGGTTGGTTGTGTGAATCTGGATTCTCCCTTGACTTTGCTTGACAGACAATAGCAAAAGGAGATCAAATGATCCTGGGACATGGCAACTGTCATAAATATGAGTCACTTGTCAAGCATCTGAGTTTTGATCATGTGATTGTGAGGATGTTGCAACAGTCGTAAGTGTGGAAAATGGTCATGAGTCACTAGTTTCATTACCATTGTAATCAGAATAGAGCTAGAAGGGACCTTGGTGGTCTTCCAGTCCAACCCCCTGCTCAGGCAGGAAAGCCTATACCATTTAAGACAAATGGTTGTCCAGTCTCTTCTTAAAAACCTCCAGTGTTGGACAAGCTGTTCCGCTGATTGATTGCTCTCACTGTTAGGAAGTTTCTCCTTAACTCCAGGTTGCTTCTTTCCTCAATTCATTTCCATCTATTGTTTCTTGTCTTGCTTTTTCTGGTGCTTTGCAACTTTGAACAGTCACTGAATGAACTAAGCCAAGGACTACCTGTGTTCTGTACTCATTTCTTTGCTAAGAACTTTGGCATGTCTATAGGACACAGATTAGGGAAGGCTGAACTAAATACACCTGAAGTTGAACTTCTTTTAAGTCCTTAGAAGAATGGAATTTCTCCCTCACAACGTTTTTTTAATCATAATTTCCCTTCCATTTCAGCTTCCCTCCGAGTTCCTGGAGCTGATAGTGACGATGAATCAAAAACACCATCAGCATCTCCACGGCATGGCAGGTCCAGACCTTCCTCAACTGCTCAGGAGTCTTCCTCCGAATCGGATGAAGGGGATGCAAGGGGAGAGGTAGAGTGCCTGCAAAATTAAAGTTTATGCAAGCTTTCCCATAGGGAGAAAAATAAGATTCTTTGGAGTGAATCGGAGAAACGATTGGTACCAAGGACCACTGAGCTTGGTGGTTTTCTTGCAGATGTTTCATGATCCAAGTGGAGAACATCATCCATGCTGGAAAGGAGGGGGATTGGAGGGGGAAGAGGAGGAGGAGGAGGAGGAGGAGGAGGAAGAGGAGGAGGAGGAGAAGGACTGTGGGGTCCTTGGCGGTGCTCTCTGAGCTTGGTTGTTTTCTTGCAGACATTTCATTACCAAATTAGGTAGCATCATCAGTGCTAGAAGAGGGAGGGGTTTGCTCTGTTTTATACAGCCTCTTCTAGCACTGATGTTACCTAGTTTGGTAATGAAACATCTGCCTGAAAACAACCAAGTTCGGTTTTTAAGAACCCTACAGTGCTTCCCCTACTCCTCCTTCTTCCTCCTCCTCCTCCTCCTCCTCCTCCTCCTCCTCCTCCTCCTCCTCCTCCTCCTCCTCCTCCTCCTCCTCCTCCTCCCCCTCCTCCTCCTCCTCCTCCTCCTCCTCCTCCTGCAAGCTCTCCTTCCTTCTAATACTGATGATGATGGGTCATGAAATGTCTGCCAGAAAAAAACCAATCTCAGAGAGCCTTTGCAGATTGGTGGCCTGGTGGGGAGGGGGGAGGGGAGAAGGGAACTGGGCCATTCAAGTGGTGAGCTCAACTTGCACAGCTCAACTTGCGCAGGGTGGTACACACACATCTATGCCTGCAACTTGATTTGTGCAGGTTGAGCTGCAGATATGCCCATGTGCACCAGCCTGCTGCTGATGCGGCCTTGTTCCAAAAAGACCATGGCCGGTAGTGGGCCTATGGCCCATGGGGGACTCCTAGTTCAACCCTGAGCTGCAAATATTCTCTTCCACCCTGACCCATAATCTAATGGAATGGCTTTGGATAGCAATCCTCCCAATGGGAGGGGGGTCTAGCAAGGAATTAGCCTGGATTCATTATCATCATCATCATCAAACACAAGAGGCTAAGCCTGACACCCCCCCCCCCCGCAAATGCCTTAATACCTTATCTGGTTGTTCCCAAGCCAAAGCTGCCAGTCTGGGCAGATTCCTATGTTAGAGGTAGAATACAATAAAACAATCAGCTTGAACTCTGCCTCTGTGAGTCTGGTTGTTCACACCCAATAACGGCTTCTGAAATGTTATTTAAGAAGGTGGCCCTTGGCCCAATAAAGTATTTATGCTGTTCTGTTCTGTTTTGTATTCTTTATTCTACTCTACTCTACTCTACTCTACTCTACTCTACATTTCTATTCTATTCTATTCTATTCTATTCTATTCTATTCTATTCTATTCTATTCTATTCTGTATGTTCTGTTCTGTTCTGTTCTATTCTTTCTATTTATTCAGTATATTCAGTTCAATTCAACCATCCTTCTTTTCATAGATTTTTGACATCTACATGGTCATTGCTGACTATACCCCAATGGGGGCAGACCGTGAAACCATCACTCTGAAGGAAGGCCAATATGTGGAGGTTTTAGACTCTGCTCATCCTTTGAAGTGGCTGGTCAGGACCAAACCCACCAAATCAAGCCCATCGAGGCAAGGTTGGGTTTCTCCAGCCTACCTGGATAAGAAGTTAAAGGTGAGACTTATAAATAGTTGGGGAGGGGGGAGGTTCTTCCAAAATTGCTTAATCTTATGTCCCTGGCCTCTAGGTTCCCATGAATAGTTAAGCCAACTTCTACCCAGCAGTTTCAGTAAAGAATTACTATATTTCATGTATAGTCATATACAAAGTAAAGTAGTCCTTAATTTATAACCATTCATTTAGTGACCATTCGAAGTTACAGTGGCACTGAAAAAAGTGACCTATGGCTACTTTTCACACGTATAACTATTGCCGCCTCCCCATGGTCACATGATCCGAATTTGGACGCTTGGCAACTGACTCATATTTATGGCGGTTGCTTGGTCCCAGGTTCAGGTGATTCCCTTTGGCGACCTGCTGACAAGCTGAGTCGATGGGGATGTTGGATTTGTTTAACAACTAAGTGACTAACTTAACCACTGCAGTGATTCATTTAACAGCTATAGCAAGAAAGGTTGTAAAACGGGGCAAAGCTCACAACAACTATCTCACTTAGCCCTGGAAACTTTGGGCTCAGTTGTGGTCATAAGTTAAGGACTGCCTGTATATTAACATTTATAGGTATGTTTTTATACAGAATGGGACAATTGATTGCAGACCCATGGATGTGCCCATTTCATCCTGGCTTTCTCAGCCCAGCTGACCCACTGCAGGCCTTTGTCCATGACTGGCCTTCCGTGGACACTTAATCGCATCCCCCCAGGCGACCCACTGCTGGTCTTCATCCACGGTGGCCCTCCCCTGGTGCTATGCCACCCCATCACTACTCTGCTTCTTCTCCCACACTGCCTAGTAATAGTAGTAAAGTTGGAAGAGACCTTGGAGGTCATCTAGTCCAACCCCCTGCTCAGGCAGGAAACCCTACACCATTTCAGACAAATGGCTGTCATGGGTGATGTACTGCGACACAAATTTCCATGGCTGATTCCACCCACGGGACAATTAACCCTGCTTCTGCCATGCCCTCCAGCAAGAGACACGAGGGGAGGGGGTTGGGGGCAGGTAGGGTTGAGGCAGGAACTTGCAGAGAAGTGCCAGCATGATCCAGGGCCTCTGTGAGGTGCAGAGGGGTGATGGGAGGATATCGGTGCCAGGCAGTTGGGTCGGGAAGGTGCTGGAAAATCACGTGAAGTATTAATACCACTCTACAATGCCTTGGTAAGGCCACACTTGGAATACTGCATCCAGTTTTGGTCACCACGATGTAAAAAAGATGTTGAGACTCTAGAAAGAGTACAGAGAAGAGCAACAAAGATGATTAGGGGACTGGAGGCTAAAGCATATAAGGAAAGGCTGCTGGAATTGGGTATGTCTAGTTTAACGAAGAGAAGGACAAGGGGGGACAGGATAGCAGTATTCCAATATCTCAGGGGCTTCCCCAAAGAAGAGGGAGTCAAGCTATTCTCCAAAGTGCCTGAAGGCAGGACAAGAAGCAATGGATGGAAACCAGTCAAGGAGAGAAGCAACCTAGAACTAAGGAGAAACTTTCTGACAGTGAGAACAATTAACCAGTGGAACAACCTGCTTCCAGAAGTTGTGAATGCTCCAACACTGGAAGTTTTTAAGAAGAAACTGGGAGGGAGGCAGGGAGGGAGGGAGGCAGGGAGAGAGAGAGAGAGAGAGAGAGAGAGAGAGAGAGAGAGAGAGAACTCATGCACAGCAGCCTCTATTTCTTTTTAATTAAACTCTTCAATCAAGCTTCTCCTCCTTGCACACATGCGTGCAAGTTTTGCGGCTCCCAGTGTTTTCTTTTTTCTGGGAAACGGGTCCAAGTGGCCCTTTGAGTGTTTAAGGTTGCCGACCCTTGGGCTAGAGCAGTGGTTCTCAACCTTTTTAATGCCGTGACCCCCCAACCGGTCGTAAGTCGAGGACTACCCAACCGGTCGTAAGTCGAGGACTTTCCCTGCCCGGGAGCGCCGCGCATGCATGGTGCTGCCCCCTGTGCCGGCCGAGGCGTAGCTGGCAAGGGCTAGTGACGGCGCAGGGCGACCACCGGCTGGGCCATCAGCTGGCCCAGCCCAAGGGAGGTAAGGCACTCGCTGGGCCCCACGCGCGCCAGCAACTCTCCCTGCGCCCGCCGGCCTCCCACTTCCCACCCCTGGCCCTCTTTTCTTAAACTTTTAGTAGTTGCTCAGCAGGGAGGGGTGGAAGCTTCCAGACAGCTCGCCTTCACTGCAGACAACTTGCAGCACCGTTTGCAGACTGGAGCTTTTGACGGGCTCAGCAGGGCAGAGACAGCCTGGACAATTCCTATTGGCTTTTGAAAGCCAATAGAATAAAAGGGAGTAGCACAGCTAAGGAAAAGGGGGGAAAAATGGCGGACTGCGTTGTTTGGCGACCCCCGTGAAATGGTCGTTCGACCCCAAATGGGGTCCCGACCCACAGGTGGAGAACCGCTGAGCTAGAGTCTAGACCTTTCTAAGTCGAGATAGGGGATCCCATGTACTGCTATAATCCAACTACTTCCTATCTTTTGCACCTTGTTTGATAACCTCTGTTGGAAGACCTGGAAGCTGTCTTAAGGACAGTCCTTCTTGGCAGATACTAGATCAGAGGTTCCCAAGCTTTTGGGCACCAGGGACCGGTTCCGTGGAAAAAGGCTTTTCCGTGGATCGGAGAGTGCATGGTTTTGTGTGCTGCCTGCATCCCATGGATGGGGCTTTGCTTGTTTGTGCGGACTGGTTGCTGGCATGCTGCTGCCTGGTACTGGGCCACAGACTGGGGGTTGGGCATCCCTGTACTAAATCATAAAAACCTACATCTGGAAAGGACCTTGGAGGTCTTCTAGTCTAACCCACTGCCCAAGGCAGAAGTCTCTTATATCTTTGTTTTTTTTTTTAATTGTAGCTCTCTGCAGAGTGGGGTATTCCCGATGTCCCAGAGTTCCATGGAGAATTTGTTTCAGAAGATGAATACCGGAAGAAATTAAGGTGAGCTTGGTGAAAATCCTTCCTGTTGGAGCAAACTACTTCTCTCCCTCAAGGGCCGTGTATCCTACTCTTGCAGCTGGGGATATATAAGAATTATTTCATAGAATCACAGCATAGGAAGGTACTTAGACATCATCTTGTATAACCCCCCACCATGCTGCAGGATCCAGTAGAGCATTTGTGATCTTTCCAGCTGGCACCCCGTCAGCAAAGACATTGGGGAACCAGCAGGAAATGCCACTAGTCCAGTGGTTCTCCACCTGTGGGTTGGGACCCCATTTGGGGTCAAACGACCATTTCACGGGGGTCGCCAAACAACGCAGTCCGCCATTTTTTCCCCCCTTTTCCTTAGCTGAGCTACTCCCTTTTATTCTATTGGCTTTTGAAAGCCAATAGAATAGATTCTCTATTGGTTTTCAAAAGCCAATAGGAATTGTCCAGGCTGTCTCTGCCCTGCTGAGCCCGCCAAAAGTCCCATTCTGCAAACGGTGCTGCACCAGTTGAGTAGTCCTCGACTTATGACCGGTTGGGGGTCGTGGCATTAAAAAGGTTGAGAACCACTGCACTAGTCAGCCCTGTAAGTCACTCCTGCCTGTTTGTTATCCCAGAAGCCCCTATGTTAATGGGGGATTCATGGACAGGGGGACTCTGCCTGCTTGCATTTCTGGCACATGGCACCATCCCCTTACCACCCCCTGTACAGGTAGTCCTCCACTTATAACAGTTCATTTAGTGACCATTCAAAGTTACAATGGCACTGAAAAAAGTGACTTATGACCGTTTTTCATACTTACTATACGATCGTTGCAGCATCCCCATGGTCACATGACCAAAATTCAGACGCTCGGCAACTGACTCATATTTATGACAGTTACACTATCCCCGGGTCATGTGGTCCCCTCTTGTGACCTTCTGACAAGCAAAGTCAGCGAAGAAGCCAGATTCACTTTGCCGCAGGGATTCACTTCACCACTGTGGCAAGAAAAGTTGTAAAAGAGCCGAGGTGGCACAGCAGTTAGGGTGCAGTACTGCCGGCCACTTTAGTTGACTGTGTTCAGCAGGTCAGAGGTTCAAATCTCACCGGCTCAAGGTTGACTCAGCCTTCCATCCTTCCGGGGTAGGTAAAATGAGGACCCAGATTGTTGGGGGCAATGTAAATATATATATACATTGCTTACTGGTGTACACCGCTTAGAGAGTGCTTGCACTTAAAGCGGTAGATAAATATATATATATACATTGCTTACTGATGTACACCGCTTAGAGAGTGCTTGCACTTAAAGCGGTATATAAGTCTCATAAATAAATAAATAAAATGGGGCAAAATCCCCTTAACCACTGTCTCACTTAGCAGTGGAAATTTTTGGGATCGATTGTGGTCATAAGTCAAGGACTGCCTGTGCTTTCATGCTTATCCGTTGAAATTTAGAATGAATTTCCGCGACGGTTACCTTCAAAGGACGGGGTGTGTTTTTATGAATTTTCACTCGTTTTTCTGTTTCTGCTTCCTTTTCAGTCTTATCGTTCAAGACCTGTTGGGAACGGAAGAGGAGTATGTCAAGGATCTGGAGTTCCTGCAAACGCACCACATCCAGTTCACGGAGACGTGCCCTGCCGTTCCTGTTGCTGTGTCCAACCAGAAGCCCGTTATTTTCAGAAACATTACTGACATAACGCACTTTCATTCCAAGTACGTAGCGGGGAGGCAGATATATAGTATAACAGCCAAATGGCTTTGAAAGGATAAAGTACACTAGAAAAGGTAGTTTAATAGGAACCCCTGCACTCCTGTGTGCTGCTATCCACTCAACCAAAGTTTTATAAAACAGTGTCCTCTGATGTACTATCCACAGTATTATTATTTTGCTTTACATGTACGGCCACCATTGAGCCCAAAGTTTTTGTGAGACATTTCTTAAGTGAGTTTTGCTCCATTTTACGATCTTTCTTGCCACAGTTGTTAAGTGAATCACTGCAGTTGTTCTGTTAGTCACACAGTCATTAAGTGAATCTGGCTTCCCCATTGACTTTGCTTGTCAGAAGATCACAAAAGACCCCAAGATACTGCGACTGTCATAAATACAGGCCAGTTGCGAAGCGGCTGGATTTTATTCAAGTGACCATGTTGTTGTTAGTTGCGAAGTCGTGTCCGACCCATCACGACCCCATGGACAACGTTCCTCCAGGTCTTCCTGTCCTCTACCATCTTCTGGAGTTCATTTAAGTTCACACCTACTGCTTCAGTGACTCCATCCAGCCATCTCATTCTCTGTCGTCCCCTTCTTCTATTGCCCTCACTCTTTCCCAGCATTAGGCTCTTCTCCAGTGAATCCTTCCTTCTCATTAGGTGGCCAAAGTACTTGAGTTTCAACTTCAGGATCTGGCCTTCTAAAGAGCAGTCGGGGTTGATCTCCTCTAGGACTGACCGGTTTGATCACCTTGCAGTCCAGGGGACTCGCAGGAGTCTTCTCCAGCACCATAGGTCAAAGGCCTCGATTCTTTTGCGCTCAGCCTTTCTTATGGTCCAACTTTCACAGCCGTCCATTGCAACTGGGAAGTGACTATGGGAATGCTGCAATGGTCATAAGTGTGAAAAACAGTCATAAGTCACTTTTTTCAGTACCGTTGTAACTTTGGTCACTAAACAAACTATTGTAAGTCAAGGACTTCTTGTATTGGAATTATTAGGTCTAATTCTTCCTTCCACCGAGATGCAACCCTCCCCCATAATTTAAATGCAGGGCCTTTTCAGTGTTAGCATTCAGAATCTTGTTTCCTGGGGAAACAATGTATCTTTGTTTCTCTAAGAACTTTGTTTGTCTTAAGAACTGTTTTCAGGATTGTTTTCAGGGTTTATGTGAATGGCACTAATAAAAATCGGTTGAGCTTTAGGTTCACTTCTAGTTTTTTGACTGTTTTGACCCTGTAGACTTTTAAGGAAGGCATTTGGACAAGGCGAGGCGGATTGTGTTTAACTGCTGCTAAATTGAATGATGGAGGATGCTTTAGTTGGAAAAGAAATTCAGTCAGGAAATGGAATATCATACAATCATCGGGATAGAAAGGATTTTAGAGGTCTTCTAGTCCAGCCCCCGGCTCACATCCTCTTCTCATGCTCCTTTCTGCTTTTTTCCTGCAGCACCTTTTTCCCAGAGCTTCAGAAATGTGACACGGATGACGATGTGGCTATGTGCTTCCTTAAAAACGAAGGAGAATTTGACAAATACATCACCTACTTGGTGGGCCGGGTTCAAGCCGAATCCATTGTGGTCAGCAAAGTGGTCCAGGAGTTTTATAAGGTGAGGTTAAATTCAGCTGAAAGGGTCTTCTGCTGGACTTTTCACTAACCTATTTGTCCTTACATGTAATGACCAAGAATTCTTTGGAAACAGTCGTATATTTGTACATCAAGCATTATTATACATTGGTGAATCAGTTTGCTATAGTAGTGAAGACACCAATTTGGAAATGAGGAGATTGTGAGTTCTAGTCTCACCTTAGGCATGAAAGCTAGCTAGATGACTTTGGGCCACTTACTAGGAGACATGAGTTCTATTCCTGCCTTAAGTCATGAAAGCTGACTAGATGACTTTGAGCTAGTCACCAGGAGTTCTAGTCCTGCGTTAGGCATGCAAGCCGGCTGGCTGATTTGAAAGCTGCCTGGGTGACTTTGGGCCAATGACAAGGAGACTGTAAGTTCTAGTTGCATCTTAGGCATGAAAGCCACCTGGATGACCTTGGCTCAATCACCAGGTGATAGTGAGTTCTAGTCCTGCCTTTGGTGACTTTGGGCCAATCACCAGGAGTCAGTGAATTCTAGTCCTGCCTTAGCTATGAAAGCCAGTGGGTGTCTTTGAGCCAGTCCCTCCCTCTCAACTCAACCCACTTCACGGGACTGTTGTTGTGGGGAAAATAGGAGGAGGAAAGAATATTCGGTATGTTTGCCATCTTGAGTTATTTATTTTAAAAAAACAAAGGCAGGATGAAAATAAAGAATTGTTCATCTTTGCAGCAAGGCAGAGCAATATGTGGATAAGGTCCTTCTCCTTGTATGGTGCTGAAACGCTAAATAAGTGTCTGTATTGAAGAAAGTTACTTCCTTATTAGAGCAATAATAGAAAAATTGTGTGGTTTGTAAAGGAATTAATGGTTTTCCTGGACAATAAGCAAACTGAGTTAACAAGCTCCTGATTCTCATCTTTCTTTCTCTCTCCAGCGATACACAGAGGGAACACTGGCCAGTGAGGATCCTTCTCTGCCGCCGATCCTCCCTCTGCAACACTACCTAGAGAGACCCATAAACCGGATCCAGAAATATCAAACGGCGATCAAGGTTGGAGCACAACTTTTAGTAACTTGTTGGTAGTGCAAGTTGTTGGGTCTCACATTGCTAAGGAATCTAGTACAGGAAGTCCTCAATTTACAACCACAACTGAGACCAGAATTTCCATGGCTAAGCAAGGCAATTGTTAAGTGGGTGGCACCCAATTTTACAACCAATTGCCATGGTTGTTAAACAAATCATGGCAGTTGTTAAGTGAATCATGTAGTGGTTAAGCAAAATCTGGCTTCCTGCTTTGACTTGGCTGGTTAGAAGGAGGCTGGTCGCAAAGGGTGATCACATGATCCCAGGACTCTGCAACCATCATAAATACATGCCAGCTCCCAAATGTTAATCAGGTCACTGAGAGGATGCTATGATGGCCATAAATACGAGGAGTAGCTATGAAACCATGCTTTTTTTCAGTGGGGCTGGAACATTGAGCAGTTGCTAAAGGAATGGTTGTAAATTGAGGATTACTTGTACAGATTGTCTTCAGGTTAAAATGGCAATTGGGACTGGGGTTGTTGTTGTTAAGCGATGCAGATTATGGAGGGGGTGTATGAATGCCCTTGACAGGTGCTAGGGAGGACAGGTCAGTTGGTAGCCAATGGGGGAGGAGAATGGAGGAGGAAGGTGGGTAGGTAGGTAGGTAATTAGGTAGGTAGGTAGGAAGGAAGGAAGGAGAGGATGGGAGGGAGGGAGGAGAGGAAGGATGAGAGGGAGGAAAGGGAAAACGAGAGAGGGAAGAAAAAGAGGGTGGGAGGAAGGAAGGAGTAAGAGAAGGAGAAGAACGGTGGGGTTCTTGGCAGGTTTTTTCAAGATGACTCAATTTGATAATATCAATGTTAGAAGGGAGTTGGGTTTGTGGAGAGGAGAAAGACTACTGTGGGGTCTTTGCTATTCTCTGAGCTTGGGGGCTTTCTTGAAAGACATAGCAAGAACCCAACTATGTAACATCATCAGTACTAAAAGGGAACAGGGCTTGCTCTCTCTCTCTCTACTTAGTGGTTTTGCCTGTCAATGTTGATGGGAATGGTCTTAGTTGTTCCTTGATAGTCAGTACTGACAGCCTTCCTTCCTTCCTTCCTTCCTTCCTTCCTTCCTTCCTTCCTTCCTTCCTTCCTTCCTTCCTTCCTTCCTTCCTTCCTTCCTTCCTTCCTTCCTCCCTCCCTCCCTCCCTCCCTCCCTCCCTCCCTTTCCACTTCAACCACATTTCTGTTGCAAATATTCATCATGGGCTAGGGCACAAAGTATGCAAACGGTGCCTTTCTTTGTGTTCACAGGATATGATCCGAAACAAAGCAAGGAACACTCAAAACTGTGCCCTCCTAGAACAGGCCTACGCCATTGTTTCCGCACTCAACAGGCGAGCGGAAAACAACCTTCATGTTTCTCTCATTGAGAACTACCCTGGAACACTGGAAATATTAGGGGAACCCATCCGCCAGGTAAATGAAAGCTTGTTCTTACAACACACCTTCCTGTTTAGGTTCTGGCTCTTTCTGCTGAACCCCAAAATATGTTTTTCACTTTGATCCTGGTGCTTTTCGCTTGACATGTCCTTTTATAGAGGTGCAATCAGCCACCTAGAATCATTTGACTGTGAGATCAGAAAATCAGTTTGGTCTAGTGCTTAAGGCACCAGGCTAGACACCAGGAGATGGTGAGTTCTAGTTCCACTTTAGGTATGAAAGCCAGTTAAATGGCTTTGGACCAATAATTAGGAGATGGTGAGTTGTAGTCCCGCCCTAGGCATGAAAGCTGGGTGAGTGATTTTGGCCAATCACCAGGAGGCAGTGAGTTCTAGTTCTGCTTAGGCATGAAACCCGGTTGGGTGATTATGGATCAGTCAACAGGAAACTGTGAGTTCTAGTCCTGTCTTAGGCATGAAAGCTGACAGTGACTTTGGACCAATCACCAGGAGAGGGTGAGTTATAGTCCTGCCTTAGGTGTGAAAGTCAGCTTGGTAACCCTGGGCCAAATCCTCTCTCTCAGCCCAACCCATCTCGTTGTGGGGAAAATAGGAGGAGGTAGGTGTATTGGATATGCTTGTTGCTGTGAGTTGTTTCTTCTTTGCAAAGAGAATTAAAAATCCTTCTGTTCTTTTCTGCTAACAGTTTGTTAGAGGTCTCAGACAAATAACTCAAACTTTAATCATGAATGGAGATACAGTCTGTTGCTCAACATGGCAGATCCAGAAGCAAAGGGTCAAAACTCTTGCTGGACCACCAAAAGAATTTTCTGATAATGTGATTTATGAAGCCTGTGGAACTCCCTGCCACATGTTTTGCTATTTTTTCCAGGGACAATTCATTGTGTGGGAAGGCGCTCCGGGGGCACGCATGGCTTGGAAGGGACATAAGCGACACATCTTCCTCTTCAAGGCTTACCTGCTCGTGTGCAAGCCAAAACGAGACACGAAGTTGGATACTTACAGTTACCTATTCAAGAACATGATGAAGGTTGAATATGTCCTTCCTTAATGGTTGACTTTTTCTGTCTCCTCTTGGGTATCTAGCTAAAACCAGGTTAAGCAATCAGAACAATACTGAATTTTCCCTTGATGTAGCTTCAGAGGTTCTAGATCTCACAGCAATGCAGCCAGTTGGGTCTGGTGATTAAGGCATCAGGTTGTGAGTTCTAGTCCCATGAAGGCCAGCTGGGTGAATATGGACCAGTCACTAGGAGATGGTGAATTCTAGTCCCACCTTGAGCCTGAAAACCAGCTGGGTGACTTTGTATGAATCACCAGAAGACAGTGAGTTCTAGTACCAACTTAGGTGTAAAACCTGGCTGGGTGACTTTGGGCCAGTCCCTCTCTCTCAACCCAGTCCACCTCACAAGGTTGTTGTTGCAGGGAAAATAGGAGGAGGAACTATTAGGTATTGTTTGCTGTCTTGAGTTATTTGTAAAACTAATAAAGGCGGGAGGTAGACAGAAAGACAACAATACAGGTAGTCCTTGATTTATGACTACATCTGAGCTGCAGATTTCTGTTGCTAAGCAAGACAGAGTTAAGTGAGTTTTGCCCCATTTTATGACCTTTTTTGTCACAGTTATTAAGTAAATCCTTGCAATTGTTAAGTTAGTCACATGATCGTTAAGTGAACTTGGCTTCCCCATTGACTTTGCTTATCAGAAGATTGCAAAAGGGGATCACTTGACCCCAGGATATTGCAATAGTCATAAATACGAGCCAATTGCCAATGTCTGAATTTTAATCACATGACCATAGGGATGTTACAAAGGTCCTAAGTCTGAAAAACAGTCCTAAGTCACTTTTTTCTGTGTCGTTGTAACTTTAAACGGTTACTAATCAGTGGTTGTAAGTCGAGGACTATCTCTGTACAGATGTAAGATCTACTGCAAATGGGAGTGTGATCCTGGCTGACTTGAAATCCTGGTTTTGGGTCCCTCAGCTGTCCCACATCGATGTGAATGATGTGATCGAAGGAGATGATCGGGCGTTTGAGATCTGGCACGAACGGGAAGATTCGGTCCGGAAATATCTCTTCCAGGCGCGGACCGTTATCATCAAAAACTCGTGGGTGAAGGAAATCTGTTGTATTCAGCAACGGATTAGTCTCCCTGTATGGGGTGAGTAGAAGTCAGGGCTTTGGTTCCTAAAATTGATTTTTTGCTGCTTTTTCATGCAGTCCTTCTTTCTGAAGACCACAGGTTCAAACCTGATTTTTTTTGTTTTTCTGTTTCAGATCCACCCGATTTTGAGGAGGAACTGGCGGACTGTACAGCAGAACTGGGTGAAACGGTCAAGCTCGCCTGCCGAGTCACAGGCACCCCTAAACCGGGTATCACCTGGTATAAAGGTATAACTAGCCTCAGTTTTTCCAAAATGAAGGTCAAAATGAATTGGTCGATTCTGAACAGGGAGACTACTGATGGTCCTGAACTTATGACCACAACTGGGCCTCAAAATTTCATTTCTAAGCAAGACACAGGTTGAATTTTGCTCCATTTGATAACCTTTCTTGCCACAAATGTTAAGCGAATCCCTGCAGTTATAATAATAATAATAATAATAATAATAATGAAGTTGGAAGGGACCTTGGAGGTCATCTAGTCCAACCCCCTGCTCGGGCAGGAAACCCTACACCATTTCGGACAAATGGCTGTCCAGTCTCTTCTTAAAAACTTCCATTGTTGGAGCATTTACTGCTTCTGGAGGCAGGTTGTTCCACTGATTAATTGTTCTCACTGTCAGGAAGTTCTTAAGTTAGTCACACAGTTGTGAAGTGAATCCAGCTTCCCCATTGACTTTGCTTATCAGAAGGTCACAAAAGAAGATCGCGTGATTCCAGGACACTGAAACTGTCATAAATATGAGTCAGTTGCCAAGCATTTGAATTTTGATCAGGGGACCATGGGGTGCTGCAATGGACGCAAGTGTGAAAAACAGTCTTAAGTCCCTTTTTTCATCATCGCTGTATCTTCCAATGGTTCCTAAGTGAATTGTTGTAAGTTGAAAACTACATGTATATTCTTCTTCTCCCTTATCTCGTGTTTGTTTCCCAGTAATAATAATATTGTACTGTCTGCTGATGTTAACATGAACTTATCTTGTTGGTCAGCTGCTAATTCCAGGATATTAAGGATATTAATTATAGCATAAAAACGATTCAGAGAGAATAAAACAACAGAATGCCTGCCAAACAAAGATATTATATATAGATAGTCCTTGACTTCCAGTTATACATTTAGCGACCATTCCAAGTTACAAGGCACTGAAAAAGGTGATTTATGCCTGGTCCTCGCACTTATGACCATCACAATATCACATTGTAAAAATTTGGGCACTTGGCAATCAGCTTACATTTTTAATATTTGCAACATCCTGGGGTCACACGATTGCATTTGCAACCTTCCCACCCAGATTAATGGAAGAAGCTGGCTTTGCTTAATGACCGTATGATTCACTTAACGATGGCAGGGATTCACTGAGTACCTGTGGCAAAAGAAATATGGAAATAAATTCATCAAAGTAATAAATCTCAACTTACTTAACAACTGCCTTCCTTAGCAAATGGAATTCTGGTCATAAGTCAAGGACAATCTGTGTGTCAAAATAAACAAAGGGAATCCATTTTACAATCATATTTAACTCTGAATCCAGTCCCGTGTTCGTCAAAGGGTGTCTTTTTATCTCTTGCTTTACAGATGGGAAGCCGGTCGACGTGGATCCTCACCACATCGTCATCGAAGATCCCGACGGATCTTGTACATTGATCCTTGATAATTTGACCGGAGTGGATTCTGGGCAATATTTGTGCTATGCATCTAGTCCAGCCGGTAGTGCCAGCACCCTTGGAAAAATTCTTGTCCAAGGTACCAGCAGTACACAAACAGACACACAAATACACACACATATATAGGCAACCTTGGAGATCCAGAAAGAAGTATGTAAAGTCTTTCATTGTTCCACACACTGGTCCTGCTCCCAAAGTGCATCCAACCCACTAGCAGGGCTGTTAGTGCGTGATGGGGAAACACAGAAAGTGGAGGTTGTCACATAACACTACAAAACGCACAGCATGAGAGTCCTCCCAAGTCAGCTGTGCAGAGGAAGGAAAGAAATTAAACCCAATTTAAGAAAAAGGCTCAAGAGAAGAGACATGTGCTCTCCAAGGTTTGCTGGAGGATATATTGATATAATGAGGTCCAGTTTGATCTAGTGATGAAGGTACCAGAAAACTGGGAGATGGTGAGTTCTAGTCCCATCTTAGGCAGGAAAATTGGCTGGGTGTCTTTGGGCCAATCACCAGGAGAGTAGGAGTTTTAGTCCACCTTAGGCATGAAAGCCAGCTTTCAGCCACCCAAGTAAGTTCTAGTCCCACATTAGGCACAAAAGCTGGGTGACTTTCACCAGGAGACTGGGAGTTCTAGTCTCGCCTTAGGCGTGAAAGCCGGCTTGGTGACTTTGGGCCAATCACCAGAAGAGAGTGAGTTCCAGTTCTGCCTTAGGCATGAAAGCTGGCTGGGTGCCCAACCCACCTCACAAGATTGTTGTAGAGAAAATAGGAGGAGGAAGGTGTGTTGGATATGTTCTCTGCCTTGAATTATTTATAAGAATAATAAAGACGGTATCTATCTGTCTGTCTGACTGTCTGTCTGTCTGTCTGTCTGCCTATCATCTATCACAGTGGTTCTCAACCTTTTTAATGCCGCGACCCCCCAACCGCTCGTAAGTCGAGGACTACTCAACGGGTGCAGCACCGTTTGCAGAGTGGGACTTTTGGCAGGCTCAGCAGGGCAGAGACAGCCTGGACAATTCCTATTGGCTTTTGAAAGCCAATAGAATTAGACTCTATTCAAGAGAGTCTATTATATTGGCTTTCAAAAGCCAATAGAATAAAAGGGAGTAGCACAGCTAAGGAAAAGGGGAAAAAAATGGCAGACTGCGTTGTTTGGTGACCCCCGTGAAATGGTCATTCGACCCCAAATGGGGTCCCGACCCACAGGTTGAGAACCACTGGCCTATCATCTATCTATATGATGAATGAATGAATGAATGAATGAATGAATGAATGAATGAATGAATGTCTCTTTGGTGCACCATGCTTCTAGGTGCAATATAGGTTTAGAAGAGGATTTGACTTACTCATCTCTCTTTTCACAAAGCTTACAACTTCCTCATGGTATATTTTAATTTCCAGTGCCTCCACGGTTTGTAAACAAGGTGAAACACGCCTATTACTCCAAAGGCACAGATGCACAGTTTACTTGCACCATCGAAGGGGCACCATGGCCCCAGATCAGGTAAGGGAATAATCAAGCCCATGCTCCACAGCGTTTTTAAATAGGACTTTCTAGCGTGCAAAGGCTTTCTAGAGAGCAGAGTCCTTGATTTACAACCAAAACTGGGACCTGAATTTTCGTGGCTAGGCCAGGCAGCTGTTAAATGAGTTGTGCCTGATTTTACAACCTTTTTGGCCTGTGTTGTTAAGGGAATCATGGCGGTGGCTAAGAGAATCACATGGTCTTTAAGCGAAGCTGACTTCCTCCGTTGACTTGCTTGTCAAAAATTGGGGATCATGTGATCCCCAAGCACTGCAACAACCATCGTAATGTCGGTTGCCAAACGCCTGAATTTTGATCACGTGACCATGGGAACACTGCAAAGTTCATAAAGGCGAGGATCAATTAGTTATAAGTTGCTTTTTTTCAGTGCCGCTGTAACTTTGAAGGGTTGCTAAAGGAACGGTTGTAAGTCGAGGACTACCAGTACTTTCTGAAAGCTGTTTCCAAGGGCGGAGGAGAACCACGTAGAGATAACAATTATTGTGGCTTCCGGTTTTTACTTTTTCATGTCTTACTGTGTCCCACTCTGTGAATAGGTAAGACATGAAAGAGTATTAAAAAAATCTGTATTCTCTGTATTGGGTCAATCACTGGGAAAGGGTGAGTTCTGGTTTGTCTCAGGCAGGGGTCTTCAAACTTGGCCCGTTTATGACTTGAGGAATTCTGGGAGTTGAAGTCCACAAGTCATAAAAGGGCCAAGTTTGAAGACCCCTGGTCTTAGTTGGGTGACTTCCCCCCTGTATATCAATGCCCTCCTCTGTAAATTTGTTTTCCCTTTCCTTCCCTCTCCTCCCCTCCATTATTCCTTTCTCCCCTCTATTCTTTCCTTTCTCCCTGCCTTCCTCCCTCTTCCTTCCTTCCTTCCTTCCTTCCTTCCTTCCTTCCTTCCTGCCTTCCTGCCTTCCTGCCTTCCTCCCTCCTTCCCTCCCTCCCCCTTCCTGCCTCCCTCCCTCTCTCCTTCCCTCCCTCCTTCCTTCTTCCCTCCCTTCCCCTCCCCCTTCCTTCCTTCCTTCCTTCCTCCCTCCCTCCCTTCCTCCCTCCCTCCCTCCTCCTTCCTTCCTCCCTCCCTCCCCCCTTCCTCCCTCCCTCCCTCCCCTGTTCCTCCCTCCCTCCTTCCCTCCCTCCCCCTTCCTGCCTCCCTCCCTCCCTTTCTCCTTCCCTCCCTCCTTCCTTCTTCCCCCCTCCCCCTTCCTTCCTTCCTTCCTTCCTTCCTTCCTTCCTCCCTTCCTTCCTCCCTCCCTTTCTCCTTCCCTCCCTTCCTCCCTTTCTCCTTCCCTTCCTTCTTCCCTCGCTCCCCCTCCCCCTTCCTTCTTCCTTCCCCCTCCCCTTTTCTCCTTTCTCCTCCCCTTTCCCCCTTTCCTCTCCCCTCCCCTCTTCTTTCCTCTCCTCCCTCCTCCTTATTCCAGATGGTATAAAGATGGAAATCTCCTCACCGATCCAAACAAACATCAGAGCTTCAGTGAGCCACGAAGTGGCGTGATTGTCCTGGTTATCAAAAACGCTTGTGAGGATGATGAAGGTTTATATGAGTGTGAGGTGAGTTTCTCTCTTTTTTCTTAAGTTGTTATGAAATAGGAACTTTCTCCATAAAATATCTGGGCTGAAGACCCGACTCGCATCTGCTGAGCAAATTCAATTGTCCTGAGTTATCTAAACCTAACTTATGTGAACAATCTAACAAAAAACAACAGTCTAATCAAGGAATCACCAAGATTCCCTCAGCACTGACAGGGCAAGCCATAAAATGAGAGCACTGTCTTCTAACACTGATGATGTTACCTAGTTGGGTCATCTGGAAGAAAACCACCAAGCTCATGGGGTTTTTTTCAGTGCCATTGGAACTTTGAATAGTCACTAAATGAACTGTTGTAAGTTGAGGCCTATGTGTAATGGATGCAAGCTAGTTAAAGTGAGATCCAACTTAGAAATAAGAAATTAACCAACAATTAACTAATGGAACAGCTTGCCTCTTGGAGCTGTGCATGCTCCATCACTGGACATTTTCAAAAATAGACCAGGCAACCATTTGACCAGGATGGCATAAGTTCTCCTGCCATGAGCAGGAGGCTGGACTAGAAGACCTCCAAGGTCCGTTCCAGCTTTATGATTCTATGTCCTACACAAAGCGATTCCTTGTCTAGATTTGTGAATGATTTGGTTTTCTCCTTCATCTGAAATCCACACATGTTCTAACTAGTGTTGTTAACTCGTGTTCAGTTGATAAACAGGTTGGGAACTGCAAAGGGAGGCGCACACCTTTACTGCCAAACTACAACAGCCTTGGCTCCGGAGAAGAGACCTGAGCAAGCGATAACAATAGAAGGTAGGGCCTCTTGATGTGCTCTTTCATGATGTGGTTAATTAAGGATGACTAATTGTGACTAATTAAGGACTGAATGGGTGCATTATCTTATCTCTCAGAAGATGTGGCATTCCTATTTGTTGTTGGGACTTTGTTAGTGATTGTGTTTGGCTGGTCCAGTATTGTTGTTATTTTGTGGTGGAAGAGATCCAGGTCTATCAGCCTCCTGCTCACTCAGGGGGTTGGACTAGAAGACCTCAAAGGTCCCTTCTAACCCTGTTATTCTACGTGGATCAGCTCAGGGCGATGCCTCCACAGAAAAGTCACCTAGCAAGACTACACAAGTGAAAGGAACACTATCAGTTGTTCAGTAACCACAACAGTGGTGTGAATCAGACGCAGAACATCTTGTAACCAATCAAAGTTTATTTTATGATCCCAGAATTTACTCTCCCAGTCCTCCATAAGTTGGCAATAACTAAGGTTCTTCTGTTCAGATCTTAAGCTGGATGAAATGGAATTTGTATATATATAGTTGTTTATATCCCGCCCCTATTATTTTTGTTACAAATCACTCAAGGCAGTGAACACGTCCAACATACTTTTCTCCTCCTATTTTCCCCTCAATAACAATCCTGTAAGGTGGGTTGAGCTGAGAGGAAGACTGGCCCATGTCACCCAGCCAGACCAAGAAGAAGGGCCTTCTCTGTGGTGGTTTCCTCTCTGTTACTTAAAGGCACATCTTTTTCAGGTTACAGCTACCTGACCCACCAGAGCAGGGAGGCAGGGTGTGTTATGGGTCTCCTCTCTTAAGGAGGTCTATCTGGTGGGACCAAGAAGAAGGAGGGCCTTCTCTGGCGGCTCCCCACCCCCGTGGAACATTATCCCTGTGAAGATAGATTACCAATAAATGGTATAATAAGTGGTGCAGCAGCCAATAAGTGGCGCAGCAGTGAGAGTGCAGTACTGCAAGCCACTTTAGCTGACGGTGTTCAGCAGGTCAGCGGTTCAAATCTCACCGGCTCAAGGTTGACTCAGCCTTCCATCCTTCCGGGGTAGGTAAAATGAGGACCCAGATTGTTGGGGGCAATGTAAATATATATATATACATTGATTACTAGTGTAGACCGCTTAGAGAGTGCTTGCACTTAAAGCGGTATATAAGTCTCATAAATAAATAAATAAATAAATAAATAAATACTAGATGATGTTATCAACCAGATCTCCTACTAAATTGAGACTATCTCAATGACATTTTTTTTTGAGATTGAGAAATGGAGGTTGTAAGGCCTACGACTGTCTAATAATGCTGTGAATAAAGTAGCTCCTTGAGTGTTCTAGGTATTACTAATTCTGGGGTTTGTGGGGGTTAGGATTTGCTACTGCAACAAATGTGGAATTGAATTATTTGTGAAGGGTAAAGCATTCTTGATACTGTGAATCTGGGTGTTTGCAAAAGGTGGAAGGAAGGACACCTCAACTGTGATATCCTCACACATTTGACACGACTTAAGGATCTACAGAGATTATGACACAATGGCACCACAAAGTGGCATGGTTTTGACATTTTAAGGGTTGTGTTGGCTGCCGCTAACGGGTGATTTACAGTTATCCTTGGCAAAGAGGAAACCTGGTTTAAAAATCATTGCTTTCTTTTCAGCTGACAGTTTGTTAGAGATTTCAGACTAATATTTATTTGTACCCCACTTTTTTTTTTACAAATAACTCAAGGCAGAGAACATATCTGACACACTTTCCTTCTCCTATTTTCCCCACAACAACAACCCTGTGAGGTAGGTTGGGCTGAGTAAGAGCCTTTCATACCTAACACATAACTAGAACTCACTGTCTCCTGATGAGTGGTCGAAAGTCATCCAGCCTGCTTTCTTTCTTAAGGCAGGGGACTAGAACTCACTGTCTCTTGGTAATTGGCCCAAGGTCACCCACCAGGTTTAATGCCTAGGATGGGACTAGAACTCACTGTCTCCTGGTAATTGGCCCAAGGTCACCCACCAGGTTTAATACCCAGGATGGGACTAGAACTCACTGTCTCCTAATGTGATTGGCCCAAGGTCACCCAGCTGGGTTTAAAGACTAGGGTGGGACTAGAACTCACTGTCTCCTGGTGATTGGCCCAAGGTCACCCACCAGGGTTTAATGCCTAGGATGGGACTAGAACTCACTGTCTCCTGGTAATTGGCCCAAGGTCACCCACCTGGGTTTAATACCCAGGATGGGACTAGAACTTACTGTCTCCTAATGTGATTGGCCCAAGGTCACCCAGCTGGGTTTAAAGACTAGGGTGGGACTAGAACTCACTGTCTCCTGGTGATTGGCCCAAGGTCACCCACCAGGGTTTAATGCCTAGGATGGGACTAGAACTCACTGTCTCCTGGTAATTGGCCCAAGGTCACCCACCAGGTTTAATACCTAGGATGGGACTAGAACTCACTGTCTCCTAATGTGATTGGCCCAAGGTCACCCAGCTGGGTTTAAAGACTAGGGTGGGACTAGAACTCACTGTCTCCTGGTGATTGGTCCAAAGTCACCCAGCTGCCTTTCATGCCTAAGGCTAGGCTAGAATTCCCAGACTTCTCGTTAGTGGCCCAGAACCCCATCTGGCTGTCATGGTTAATGTGGAACTAGAAAACGTCTCCTGGCAATTGATCCAAAATCAAGGCAGAAGTAGAACTCACAGTCTCCTGTTTTCTAGCCTGGTGTCTTAATCACTAGACCAACCTGACTATTTGTAGATTAAAAAAAAAATCCTGGGGTCATGGTATTCAGGAATTTAATCTTTTTAATTGAGTCTGTCTCTGTAGTTTATGCTTGAACTGGACAACCGTTTTTCTGAAGTGTTATAGGGCTTCCGTCTTGAGCAGAAGTTTGGACTAAAGGACTTTCATGGCCCCTTCCAATTCTGCTACGTCGTGTGGGGAAGTCTGACTTTTTCACTTGTGGCGACTAAACTGGAAATTTAAATTTTGTTTATACATTATACAAATTATAATTTAATTTTAATTTAAAATACAGTTCGTAGTAAATTTCTTATCCGTGTTTTAGAAAGAACGTCTGCGTTCCTCTATTAATACCCTGTGATGGAATTAATTTGAAATTTCTTTTGTCCAGTAAGAAATCAATAAATATTGGTGTAATTTGGGGTACCTGTACCATGCAAATGGCACTTTGCTTCTGAAGGGGAAACGGACAGGAAAGATAATAAAGCTGGCTTGGATACCATCTTCTCTGCCTGTTGAAGAATCAAATTTTGTTTTACTTTGTTTCATCGGCCTATATTATTTGAATTTTGCTAGCCTACCATGTTATTTGCTAAAAGCTGGAGCAATCAAACTCCACAGCTTTTAACCTGCTTTGCAATGCTCAGTGCTGTGAAAATATCAGAAGCATCGTATCTTTTTCTGAAAGGGGTTCTAAACATTCTAAAAAAACGGCCAGCGCAATGCTAATTTTCTCTTCTTGTTATGAATCGGACTGAGTAAATTCCAAGATTCTCTTTACGATGCCACATAATCCTTTTATTTCTTTTAGAAAGCAAAGGAGATTAAAAAATTGTAGTGTGATAAAGTGAATTTTATTCCTCCTGGGACAGATGGAGCACAGTTTTACTAAAGGAAGACTTACAAACTAGTTTATTTTAATGCACTTAAGAAATTCAGGTAGCAAGAATGCAAATGTTCCGATTTCTTGCAGTTCTGGAGCTGTTTTGTTAAATGAAAAAGTTTGCTGAAGTTTGCGTCAGAAGCCTCACAATTAAAATAAGGCATACTATATGACATAAAATTTAAAATACAAAATACAAGATTAAAATACAATTGTCTTCGACTTACGGCCACAATTGAGCCCATAATTTCTGTTGCTAAGCGAGACATTTGTGATGTGAGTTTTGCCCCATTTTGTGATCTTGCTTGTCACAGTTGTTAAGTGAATCACTGCAAATATTAAGTTAGTAACACGGTTGTTAAGTGAATCTGGCTTCCCCATTGAATTTGCTTGTGAGAAGGTCACAAAAGAGGATCATGTGACCCCAGGACACGGCGATCGTCATAAATATGAACCAGTTCCCCAGGGTCTGAATTTTGATCACATGACTCATGGGGCTGTAAATGTGAAAAATGGTCATAAGTCACTTTTTTCAGTGTCGTTGTAACTTTGAATGGTCACTAAATAAACTGTTCTAAGTTGAGGACTACAAGTATGTAGCCCCATCTCATATAGTTAGCCCTCAATGTAACAACCATTCATTTAGTGACTGTTCAAAGTTACAATGTCACTGAAGAAAGTGACTTACAACAGGTCCTCGCTCTTACAACCATCACAGCATCCTCACAGTCATGTGATCAGAATTTGGGCACTTGGCAACTGACTCCTATTTGTGACGGTTGTACAGTGTCTCAGGGTCATATGATCACCATTTGCGACCTTCTGACAAGCAAAGTCAAGGGGGAAGCCAGATTTGTTTAACAACCACCTGATTCACTTAACAACCATGGAGATTCACTTCACAACTGCAGCAAAAATAAAGATAATAAAATCTGGTGCAATACACATAACAACTTACTTAGCAAAGAATGTTCCATTCTCAATTGCGGTCGTAAGTTAAGGACTATCTGTATTTAAGAATGCGTGGAATATTACATTTTGAAATAGGTAATATTTTTAAAAATAATAATCATGTCCTATTCAGCACACTAATCCATTACATCTTGGTGTTTGGCTTTGCTTCTGTCTCAGAAACTTAGACTTCCAGGCATAATAAAACAATAAGATAGAGATTATCAGCGCGCCGTTTCAACATTACAAAAATTGGAAACGTTTTATTCAACCTGTTTTGCTTTCTTCTAAAAGGATATCAGGGCTGTTGTGGTTTTGTTACAGGTTTAACAGTGCTTTGAAACCCCAGCATCCTCAGAAGGGGTCCAAAAAAGTCAAGATGGTATCCCTGATAGAGCAATCAGAGCATATTTATTTATTTTGCATTTATTGTGACACACAATACAAAG